GGGCCGGAAGAGGGTACTTTGTCCTTGGGGCAAAAACTCGTGTCGTAAACGACTCGACTTTCGAAAAATTGCATGTTGCGTTGACGATGGAGCCGAGAATCTCGTTTCTTTTGTGTTCCGTCCATAAGACAAAGAGTCCTCCGACATCTACGATTGGACCATTCCCCCGCCCCCCCCCCCCCTCCCCCCTTCTAATAGATCTAAAAATTCGCGAATGCAATTATATCTGGGTCAATTTCTGCGATGGGATTTTGGAGGCAGGGCGATTTCCCACGTCCCCCGACCCGATTCTCGTTCCTCGGGAAGCAACGCCGAGAAGTTTCCCATCAGACTTGCGTTTCGTCCATTTTGCTCAGCCTTCTAAAAAAGAAAAGGGAGATCGAAGGATGTCGCTTGGATGCACACGGCGGTCGGGTCGGATCCGCCCGCGTAAGTGACACGAGACATTCGCGAGCACGTCACCGGTCGAGACCGATGGGGAATCCGTGCAAGACTTCGCGAAAGGAGGAGGTTGCACGGGGATCCGTGCAAGTCCGACCGTATCGCGAAATTTAGCATTTTTCCCGTCCTGTTGCGGCTCGTCTCTCCTGCACATTCCGTTGCAGTCGCGCAAATTTTTTAAGGTAATGTTTCTTTTCGCGGATAAATTTTCCACAAACGCTGGTGATGCTGCGAGGGGTGGCTGAAAATTTTTCGGCCTAAGGAAGAAGGGGATAGGCAAGGGGAGTGTCGTTTATGTACGTTGTAGCTTAACATCTTGTGATTATGCGTACACAGTTTCATGACAATATTTTCAGCGGTTCATTTTTAACTAATCATCGCGAGTGCTCGTGCGTAGCCGTCAGTCGACGTGGAGGAATTCGAGCCGTGATTCCATACCTTTTTCTGAAGGGCTCAAGGGCGAAAGACGCGGATATGCAGCAGACGATGAGAAATGATGTGCCGAGTTATTCGACTGTGATAAAGTGGGTAGCGAATTTCAAACGTGGAAGAGAGAAGATGAACCCCGCAGCGATCGTCCTGTCTCACCCATGATATTATCGTGGGCCAAAAAAAACAATCGACGTTGTGCGATGACCCGTGTGGTTATCCGACAATTGCCCATGATGATGGGCACAGCTTTAATGTTGTGGCTGAGTCAGGACGTCCACTGCGAGGTTCGCCTTCTCTCATAACCGTTTGAAATTTGCTTTGCACTTTTTCGCAGTCGAATGACTCGGCGCGTCATTTCCTACCGTCTGCTGCATATCCGCGTCTTTCGCCCTTTCGCCCTTTAGCCCTTCAGAAAAAGGTATGGAATCACGGCTCGGTGCTCGAATGTCTCCACGTCTACCGGCGCACGAGCGCTCGCATCGATTTGTCGAAAATAAACCGCCGAGAGAATTGTCATGAAACCGGGTGCACATGATCGCGAGAAGGCCGAGAACCTTTCGGCCACCTCTCGTGGAATTCTGGCGTAATGTGTGAAAAAAAACATTTCCTTTCTACTTTGGCCTTGTTCTCCGTGGGAGAAGTGTATGATGGAGCCGAAATTCAAGGTCACGAGGAAAAGAGGACAAGGAGCCAGTCATCCAGCTTGTGAAAGTGCATTATTCCCAAGCATGCGCTTTTCGCGAAGAACAAAAGAGGGGAGGGGAGAGGGAAAGGTGGGGAAACGAGGGGGGGAAGGAGGGGAGGGGGGAAGGAGGAATTTGATAGGTTCCGTTCGCAGCACTGTCATTGAATGTCGTGGTTGACATTTCGCGTTGATGGAAGGCGGTTAGTCTAAATGAGGACTTTGGTCGTGGTGTTTAGCATTTTCTGCACTTGACTGGCCATGGTGAATAGCGACAGCTTGTGATATCGATTGTTTTAAGTGGCGTCGGTGCGAACGAAGAAGAAATGGATGCATAGGTCACGTGCGGTATTCCCGAAAAAAAATTCCGCGACGTAAAATATTCACGATATTGACATATGGCACATTTTCGCGAAGAGTCTCTCGAAATTTTATATCGAACAAAATCTCAGGAACACAATACACCACGGGCAAGAAAGGTAATTCCACAGCTGGAACGCTTGCCTAAGGTTTCTCGACCGTTTAAAAACTTAAGACCGTTTCACACTTTATGTCTGCATGCATACCCACATACATTTGCAGGCGAAGAGGAAACGCAGTCAAGAATTCGGTTCCGTCCGATTCCGAACGTGAACGCGGTCATTTTTCCTTCGAGCGTGCGAGTGAACGCGGGCATTTCCCACCAACGTAAATAAGCATGCATGCATACAAGTGCAACCATGCGTGTGAACGCATGACACGCAGGAAATGCTAAGTGCGAAATGAGCTTTACGAAATGGTCCTAAATTAGCTAATAGTGAGGCGACCTTGGAACTGAGAAGCAGTGCTGACGAGGGCAGGGATTAGAGGGCGCCTGTATCTGGACTTCTTTTCTTTTTATTCTTCGTAAATATAACTTGTGGAAGAGGAAAAAATTCGCGTAGGAAAATTTTTCTGGCATCAGGGATCTTGATTCGTCCTCGTGTCATCTTCATTTTCTTTCTTTTGACAAGAAGTCACATTAACCCTGCATCTGCTTTTGAAACTTTTTAAATAATGCCTGTCTACAATGTCACACTGCATGGAAAAAAACAACCTTGCTTTTACACCCGTACTCATGCGAGTTGAACCATGATAGCAAAATTATTCCGATTCAACTATTCGATAAATGGCATCTTGAAGCACCTCATCAGACTTACGGATGAATTCGATCAGCCTCCCTGCACGGGTTTTTACCTTTCCGCTGGGGCCAAGACAATTTCACACGTGTTACGGTCGGAAGAGTTAACTCACTGACATGATATGGTATTTATTGAGAAGCCTATTGAGAATTTGAGAATGATACAGAAACAAGCGGAATTGAGAAAACAGGCATAAAAAAGGTTTCGCCATTCCACATGGAGAAACAAGAAGCAGCAATCGCTTACTTTTCGTAACAGCAACGAATTGAAATCAATGAAGTACATTTCTCCAGTCAGACCTTTCATCATAGCTGTATTTCTAGTGCACCCTGCAATCGACATGCACAGCTTGAGGATACAGGGTATAGGATATGAGAGGTTGATTTTGGTTGAGGGAAGGGGTAGGTCGAGAAGCAGCTTATACTAGGCATGGAAACACGTTTCAATCTTCATGTTTTAAATTCATGTAAGCTAATTTCTCTCCCCAACTTGATGTATTTTCATTCTCTTCCAGTATAATTCCTTCTCACAATCAGGATTTTGAATTGGATATTTGATATATTTCCTGAAGAGGGATAGGGAATGTGAACTGATTCATATCTTCTGGACGATTGCTGCCATTGCATTCTTGGCTGCTTCCTTAAAGTACCTTTCGTCTCATCAACCTAGTTTCTAACATAGGCATATCCCTCACACTTTCCTTCTGGTGGAATACGTCTGACTTGGTTTTTCTTGTATCTCTTCTCTTATAGGCCTGAAAGAAGAGGGAAAAGTAATGGAACTAGATTGATGTTTCTATCATAAAAAGCCACAAGAAGGAAAAGCTTCTTTTATGACTCTGGCATACTGATTTTTTTCTTTATTATAAACACTCTCTTCTGGGGAATCATTCAATATGACATAACATCCACTGGAACTGCATAAATTTGGAATAAATATCAGGAAGCTTCTGGAAAATTCCTTCCATGAGGCAGATGAGCTCAAATGACATCATCAGTCATTTCGAGGAACTGGGCATACACATTTCTGATGCACTCTCCTTTTTCTGAGATGACAAATTTGTAGTAACTTCCATCAATGCACACAGCTGTGGGAAGAATAAAAAAAAAAACATTTAAAACCATGGAACTACATCCAGGTATTTTATAAGCTGCAAAAATGATAACAATATAGATTTGCCTGAAAAAAATCAGAATCCTTCATTACTAGCTGGAAGAATGAAAAATCTCTACTACCAGTTCTACCTCTCTGTCTTTATTTCATTATGATTCCATGATGTGAAGATTATGGTCATGGTTTGAGCATGAAACCTGGTAAAGTTGAGCTTTTTTTTTTTTTAATAATAAGAAAGTATGACGTCTATGCTGCGCGTCTTGTACTTTAACAAGTTCAGAATCTGGTAATTCTAAGTACTGTATTTCATGAAATACTGCTTTGATGCTGCTGCTGCTGCAAGTGTCACCTCCTGACAGTAACTTTTCTTTTTCATCCATTGAACATCCATTGTCAGAACATAACATGAGTGTAAACTAGCTCTAAGCAATTTTTCTTAGTTAAGGAAGAATGACATGACAGGATGGAAAGTATTCTCTTTTCATAATCATTCTTTTGAGTCTCACTGGTTACAATAAGATTTTCCCCATATACACCATTCCAGCAAAAAAAGTGAGCACTAGTAAAGCGGCAAACAGGATGGATCCATTCATCCTTCAACACATTCTTGAAATTCCCATGTGACCACTCATGCATTGTATGGAAAATTAAAGATGAAAAATGATTTCCAGAAACATGACCACAGCAAATAATTCTAAGCAATGAAAGTGGAATGAGAGTCCACTTGGGAGGTTTGAGGAAGTGCTCAGCTCCTTTTTGGAATGTTACCCAGGTTCCATAAAATTACTATGGTATTTGAAATAAGGCAAGTTAATTTTTGCTCAGTTTTGAAATAACTCCTCTCTTCAACTCCAAATTACTTCTGTAAAACAATTTTATGCACAGAACACAGAGCTGTAAGCTGTACAAGTGTAATTTAGTGAAACTGAATTACCCATGTGAGACTAATCAATTACAACAATCTTGGACATCAAAAATATTTTACAAAAAAAGATAATTCTCAATGGAAAATAGTTACCTCAATGGCATACATTAAGGTTAAAACTCGTGAATTGACAAAAGGACAAAACTTAACTGAAACACTTTTACACAATCTTTATATCTGCAATGATGAATCTATGAAGACATTAATGACTCCTACCAATGATGGAGTTAGGATCACTACCAAAGGCACACAGGCATGGAGCATTTCCAGGAACTTCAAATTTGCTCCAGCTCCACTTGGAACTAAAGTACTTGGGTAGGAAAGATGCTGATGCCAAGCTAGAATAAAAAAAAGAAAATGTTTAAATTTACTTTCATGCACTCCCTAAGTAAGGGAAGCAAAGATGAGAGCTCCTACCTAGACTGCTTATTCCTGATGTTTCCATCAACAGAAAAGACATGAACGGTCCCATGGTCACTGGATACACAAAGCAGGGTGGACTCCAGGTTGAAATTGATGCTGAAATCATAAGAATAACCAATATTAGTCAAAATGGACACAATTTTTTCCTTTGATAAAGGCAGTTCTAAGGCTCACCAATAAATATTGGCAGAATGAGCTCCTCTGCGCAACTCATGTAAAAGGCCACCATTGTAGGTATCAAAGACTCTGATCAGTGTTCCCTGTTGGAGAAAGAACTTCCTGAATCATGGAATGCCTCTACCTACTTCTTCAATGAGCCTATGTACTACCTTCGTTGATGCAGTTGCCAGTCGGGTCCCTTGTGAATTGAGGGTGAGGCATGACAAGGCTGATTCATGAGCAGAGACATCCAGTGGAGGTCTGTCTGGGCTGCCAAGATCAATAACTTGTACGTGACCAGTCCTGCGGCTTGGAAATGCCAATAGGGATGATGTGCTGCTTGGGCAGAGGGCACAGAGACCTGGGGAAGGCCATATATCAAATAAACAGAAAAAGAATTGAAAGATCAGGAGCATTAAAAGCTACTATACAGTCCTTTGATATCCACTTATTCAAGTATATATTAAAGCAAAGAAGGTTGCTTAGGTTGCCAATGACTGCTTACATAGTAATGATCATCAGCAGGTTCCACCAATATCTTGCCAATTATTGCCTGAGATGTTACTTGGCCATGACCACATTCATCCAAAACCAAGAGCTGCAAGCACAAAGAATTGTTTGAGATAATATACCTTTAGGGTTGTTTGATGTATCGAAGACATGCAGCTGCTGTGGATTATGAGCAAAAGTGTAGACCTTGATGAGAGTGGTAAGGACGACAACAATGCGATCACGGCGTAGCTTGACAGCATTCACATCACTGGAGAATTCCAATTCTATCACTGGAGTTTTCTTCAGATCATCCCAAATGAGCACTAGAAAATTATTTAACAATTATAATAAATTTCAATGAAATCACATTGAGAAAGGTATCAAGTACCAATGCTGATTGAAACTAATTCTGAAATTATCTCTAACCTTTGTTTGTGGAATACTTGGGATTCGATCCACCCCCAACCAGAGCCAGGTAGTTGCAACGGAACAGCATTTCAACATGTCCAATGCCTCCATCTGAAAAATCTTGCCTCTCCCTCTCTCTAAGTGGGTCCATGTTGTATACTCTGAATCCATTTTCCATTCCACATGCAAAGCATCCTAGAAAAATATGAAAAATTGTAAGAGCTTGGTAATGCAGGCCACTAGTCTTGTGAGAAGCCTAAAATAAAGCATCAATGCTGGGCTGAAGCTAAATGCATCCATTGATACAACAAACAACATCACATTATACACAGGCAACATACCCTTAGGTTTAGATTGACCATAGAGTAGATGTACATACATTTTCCACAGGACTTGAACCCCAAGTGGAATGTCTACTATAATTATACACCTTATCTATCAGACCAATCATGTTAGCCTCATATTAGTTCCTACAGCCAAATGACTCCTCAGACATCATACCTTGATCTTGATTAAATCCAACGTATACCAGACCATTGCCATATGCAACATTATGGCGCTTGTTGTTGACGTGACTGACGCTGAGACTCATGTTTTCAATCACGAAGTCATGCACAGAATCACAGGACCCTGGTGGGCGTATCGTTAGCTCTTCGATGGACACCGGCTTCTAAGTTATAAGCTGCCAGGTAGGAAAGGTGAAGCCCAAGCATACGCCTATTCCCGGCGCTGGCGAAAACCCTCCAAAGTCTATGAGCATGAAGAACACGGAAGCAAACTGGGATGATGGAAAACTTCGAAGGGAAGCCCAGCGTCAGCCGGCGTTAGTCCTATCACTTCCTTGAATCAGCCTTCTATGTAGCTTTCTTCCACGAGACCATCGCGACGATAAGGCGAAACACAGCGGATCATATGTGTCGGCTTGGGATTCGCGTAGGTAATTACCTTATAGCGGCTGACATGATTGTTTACATCCCTCTCTCAGCCCAGTGCTGCCAGAATGCATCCGTCAAACTAAAGAACATCAAAACAGTCTCCACAAGTTCCTTGCGGCAGTAATATTGACTCTGAAGCTGCAATAATAAAAATAATAATCATTACCATCAAGAAATTCGGACAGTTCTGTTCGTCGTGAAACTATTTTGGTACCAATAGTTCGATTGTTACTGTTGTCATGGAAACACAAATCTGTGAGGCCCAGCTTGTTCCATTAACAAGCTGTGATTCCGTGGCCCTATCACTTCACTTTACCCCAAGTAACCTACCTGCTATCTCGTGATGTGAAATTTCCCGTGATCCCGACTTTGACTGAATTTGGCCCGACAGGTTATTTCGTGATGCCCCTCCGGTTCCCCCTCCACAGCCAGAGGTTTTCAACGTCCCGCACAGTCGGAAATACGCCTGACTTGGTTGATAAGGAACACAAGCCTGACATGGGGGCCAAGTTCGCTACCGACTGAGTCGTTCATCTACCTCGAAGGTAGTTCGAGCGAAGCCACCCGAGTAGACAATCTCTTAGATAAACCTAATTAGTCCAGAAGGGTGGACTACTTTCCGTCTGAGCAACGATGGATCGAGAAGACGGTGCCTTCTGGCGGTTCATGGCCAAGAAGCCCAGAACAGCCTTTGATAACCCCAAACCCACTTACAGCGTGGCCACCCGGGATCTTCTCGAAAGTAAGTCTAGGCCTCGACAATATCGAGCCTCGACGGACGAGAAACGCTCAATTTCGTTTTCTTCCAGCCTTGATGAAAGAGGCTCGCCTCTCGCAGCTGCAGAGAAAGAGACTCCTCTCACCGTCGTCGGAATCGACTCCGACGGTCAGGGTCCCCGTCGACGTGAAGCGACCCGCTCCGGTGAAGACGAAGCAGACGAGGAAGAGACCGCTCACTGCGATCGTGAAGAGTGGAGTCTTGGAAAGGGAACAGTTTAATCCTCGTAATGCCACTAAAGGTAGAGGACCTGCACTTCATTTCCCTTCTCCGATTTTACGACCTCAATCTGGTTTTCACGAGCAGGCAGAGATCCCGGGGAAAAGGAGAGACTGCAAGACATCATGGCTTATGGAAGACCGCTGAAGCCTGAAAATTCAGAACTTCTCGGCCTCGAAATGACCATTCGCTACGAAAAGGGGCCAGACAAGCCGAGGATGGAGGAAGGTGCGCGTTCGATATTGTTTCAAAAGTGCCCAGACTTTTCACGCACTCCAAGGCTTTCATGGCTTGAAAGACTGACAAAAGAAATAGATACGTGGGACATGTGATTGCTACTCTATAGCCACTCTGAGTAGCGTTCGCAAGGGGAGTTCAGTGACGTGGCCAGGATTTCGCCAAAGGGAGGCAAGAATTTCCATAACTCCTCCCGGGGGGTGGGGTGGCGGATGCATTTCGACCAGAGTTGGGAGGGACTAGTATCAAACTTAGGGGGCTTCAACCCCTCCTCCCTTCCTTTGCTACGCCAGGGGGTAGGGGGGGACTGAGGGGGTTTGAGTCCCCTCTCCTTTGAATCCTGCGCCCACCACTCGCCACAACGGAAGAAAACTTATTACGTGTTACTAGTGATATGAAAAATGAAAATAATTAATTGGTCGCGATAAAGACTCCCGATTGAAAGAGGTAGTTACCCAAGGATGTGTAGAGGGCAAGACAGAAAGACTCATCGTCATCGAGACAGATAGTTTTTCCCATTATGATGTCACTTGAATTGGCTAAGTCTCAGAGAATTGAGGATTAACACTTTGTTGTATCGCGTTAACGCAGGTGGACACGTTTTTGGATAACCTTTCGGATAGTAATACACTAGAGATAAGCATGGCAACACCCACTGTGATTTTCTTCTGAAAGTTTTGCACAAACATATCCTCTAAATAATTGGATTCTAAAGGATTAAGGACAAGTAATAAAAGAACAGGGGCAGACCCAAGAACAGGGAGTGGGTGGGTGTAGCGAAATCCCCCCCCCCCCCTCCATTCTGGAAAACAGGCAATGAATAACCAAAGAAATTGAGGGGGAGAATGCAGGGAGAACAGTATTAGAATAAAATCCCGGAAGATGACATCCCAATGAACACAATTCTTACTTTCCAGCTGTGTCACTGCTGAGATTAACGCCTCCAGACGAGAAAATAGCGATATTGATATAATCCTACCGTCCTGCAGCTGGGATTCAACAGCATCTCATCAGTTGCCATAAAACTGGTTATTTCCAGCAAGGATTCAGCTGGGAAGGAGCCGAGACAAGTCAGCTGAGGAAGCTCAGTAATGTCCCAAGTGTTTTCCTGCTCTGATCATCCAGCAGTAATAAGGGCGATTACTGCGTTTTGAAGTGCAGCTGCTATTCAACAGCTTGCATACAACTGGGGTGTCTCTGTTGTGAGGCAACTGCATTCCAACTGGGAAAGGCCAAGAAAGAGCTGGTCTGCGTGGGTACGTCATGGGGCGAATTCTACTAGATGCCACTAGATATCGGTATGGGTCTCGCTTTTTGCCAAGTACACAAAAGAGCACTTCCCTCTTTCCATGGAATCATCCCTCACAGGAGTGTTTAGTACCTCACCATATGTAATTTCTAGTTTCATTATAGAAATCAATAAAATCGAACATTTAATCATTTATTATCCCCATATTCGAGACAGAATCATGGAGCCCAGACGATAAACAAGCTCATATTCCCAATGAGAACCCCTTGCATTCTTGAATGCACGCTTGATAAGGCCCTTCCGGCCAGCTGGATCCGCAAATGCCTTATGATCTTCGGGGCATCTGTCCTTAACCCTTCCGATAGGATGTAAATATAATATCGACTTAAATAAAATCACATCTTACTGACTCACGAAGTAAAACGGCTAGGACCCTATAGATTTCATTCTTCTCCGGCTCAGGTGGACCTAAATACTAAGCGCCCCAAAACAGATACTAACCTAAATAAATTCAGGTTGCTTTCTCAATAAGGCCGCATAGTTTTAATTAAACCCCTAAAGTAAAAAAAAAAAAAACCTCAAGAGAGAGATCCTGGAGTGGGGGGAAGCAGGTCTCTCTCGGGTTGACTTCCCCCCCCATAGCCATGAGTCACCTTCCTAAGTCATTAGCCTCATGAGGGTCTTGCTCTCTGCCAGCCCTCATGTTGGGAGGATCTCACCATGGTGGGCGAGAGTCATGTGTCGGTCCACCACATGACAGCGGGGCCTACGATACCTTTAGCTCCTAACTTTATGTTTTCTAAATAAAAAAATAAAATAAACTAATTCTCTAACTATTGTCGCATCGCAATGTTGACGCATCGCTATGAACCCCTTCGAATCCTCTCTTCGCTCGAGATAATAACCCCTACAGTGACAACATTCGCATGAATCTTATCCCTCAGTCTCGCTCGACCCGTATTCTTGGAATACATTTATCCAGCAATTTTAGATGGAATAATCATGTAGATGTAATCCGCGCCAAAGCTACTAGGAAACTTAACTGCCTAAAAATCCTCTCTGGAGCCAATCGGTGCGAACCCCATGTAATACTAAAACTCTATTGCGCCTACCTTCGCCCTGTACTAACACGCCTTTGCAGCCTGGAATAACTGCCCCGAGGCGATCCTCAGCCCGCTGAAAAAAAAATTTTAATGCACATAATCAACAGTTTTTTAACTCGATCGCGAACATCGGCTCTATCCTTGGTGTCTCTATCTCTGAAGGGAGAAGGAAAGGGATTTCTCAGGTAGCACTCTCTGCGGGGAGGCAACTGGGAAAGAGCTGAGTATGCACCTTTAGGAAAGAGGAGAGAATCTGACATCTGTCACACATCTTGCAGCTGAGTAGCTGCAGAGGAAATAGAAGAGAAGCACTACTGTACCGGTAGCTCAACGGTGATCTAGCTGCACTAGAAGCATATGCTCCGTTGCAGTGCAGCAGAGCAGGTCAGCTTCCAGCACAGCAGGATCACAGCTGAGCCACAGCAGTTCTCTTCTATTTCTCTGCTGCTACTCAGCTGCATGACGTGTGACTTGAGATTCTACTGATTTTCTCCTCTTTCTCACAGCTGCACACTCGGCTATTTCCCAGCTGCATCCCAGCAGAGTGTGCTACCTGGAATATTTCTGACTACGAGAAGGGCCACTAAAGCCTATTGCAAATTATAATTAAATTCGACTGTAACCTCACTTCAAAGCTCCTGACTCCTTATTTCCCATCATGTCTCACAAAGAAACGAAGCACTGGCTCACAATCAATTGCCTAAGTTATCTAGATCCACTGGAGCCCCGCAATGCCAGTCGAGAGATCTTGGGACATTAACCATGAGACCACAATATTGCTTTTCAGTGGAGAATGAGATTCTGGAGAGAGAAGCATTCCTTCAGAAGATGACAGAGCTGGGGAGAAGAAAAAAATATGAGAGCATCATACAGAATGAAATCTCCCTACTCCAGCAAGAACTAAGCCAGCTCAGGCATGACACCTGATGCCCGCAGCTCCAATCACTTCAAATGACAAGTCCGAGGTGATGAAGCCCATTAACCGGTTTCCATTTAGTAATGAGTAGGGTAAAACCACAAATTTCGGACAGTTAGATTGGGCCAGCCTTGTAATTTGCTCGTCATGCCAAAATGGCAGAAGCCGGATCCTTTTTTTGTGCTGGGAGCACGATACGAGTAAGTGTAATTGCAATAAGATACTCTTAAGCTTTCGATGGCGCCTATTATGCGGATGTCCGAACTGGATGCGAAAAAATCAAGTTTAAACACATATTAGTTTGGTCCCACCAGAAAGCAGAATCCCGTTCATAGCATGCGCGTAGTGCTCCATGTTCCCTCGTTTCCTGTCCGTTTCACACATGGTACTGTTAATTCGCAGAATGAACAGTATCACGTGTGAAACTTTTCTCAGGTGTGGTCGTCGCCGTAGGTTTTCTTGAAAATTTCCCGCCCGCGATTTTACCTATGTTCCAGTCAAATATTTCGGAATCGGCCTCATCGATAGCAGCCACAGCAAGTCAGTAACATGTAACATGTTCATCTGCTAGGATGAACTCTGAGGACGATCTCGCAAATGCTTATTTATTAACAATATGCGTTCGAGTGCCGGAACTTAGGTGGTTTTACTCTACTGTGGCCTCTTCAAATAGGATAAAATACCCATTTATCTTCATAAAAGTCCTGACGATTTGGTTTGAATGAAAAGCATACTTAGGACATGAAAATGTTTATTTCCACACGAAAGGAATGTCACCACTAAGCTGACACGTGCAGTGTTGACATGGGAAAGGTTTGCCGTCACAGAGAGGTCGGTTGGAAACTTCGTTGATTCTAAATTTTCCTGCTACTGTTAGCACCATGCATCCAGCACAGCAGAACACTGAGTGTGTTTGAGAAACGAGACTCGTTTTGTGATTGACACTTTGCTTTGCTGAAAATCACATCCTTGCTGTACATGTATGATATAAGTCACAGGCCGGCCTGCAACCGCGTACTGTCGTATCCCATTTGGTTGGGTCCAGTCTCATGCACCAGAACATTACACTTTACAGGGAATTCAAAAGGAAGAAAACATGTCAAAGATCTGGAATAAAAGGGATGAAATTGCGTCGAAACGAGACGAGACCCAACAAGAGAATCACAACAGTTCCACAGCGGTCCATTGAGCACATCAACGTAGAATCATTCCATACGGAATGATTCATATCACAACACGTATGTTGGAGCGGAGCTTACAAAACTCCATGGGACCCAGCAACTGTTCTCTCTTCCTATGGCACCTTTTCAAACACGACGCTCGGCCACGTCTTCTCACTTTGGGTGTTGATTGTAGTCCACATAGACGCGTACCACTTCCCCGGAGTACTTGCGCTGTGAGGGCATGAAATAAAAGTCTGGTGGGGCGGCCTGGCCCATGGATCCATTGTAGGGACGCATGGGGGGACGATCTTGGGAGTAGTAAGACCCCGAATTAGGACTGAATGTGGGTCGCGGTAACGAGTTGAATCGATCGGGACTCTTGGAGTAACCATTCTTCACCGGACGTTGTAGGGATCGTGAATCTCCATAAGGCGCGTGGGAGATATTGTTCTTGTTGCTTCCTCGATTTTTCGATCCAGAGGCTCCTCTCTCTTCCGTCTCGAATTGCTCATACCCATAGTTGATGTTCCCTGTCGTGCTGTAGTCCTTCCATGCAGAGTTTGTGATCAACCGTTCCTGTGGATTCGACATTTGAAAATGTTAGAATTTGCATGCTGGAATTATCACTATGAATGTACCAACTATAGGATTAGGCCACTTGACTTGAACTTGAAGTCAGCACCCACGTTGATACTGACTTTTGGCCGATAAAGAGGGGAATCACATGAACAAGTACCTTTCTACATAAAGGCTATATATCCACCGAGAAACCATGAAAATGGAAGGTTATCTGGAAAGGCATTGGATGGTGGTGCCTTCCATTGCTCACCTCTGACCTCCCTTGAACATTTGTTTCTCATCCCTTATCCTACCTGTACTTTCCTGTTATTTTGCAGATAGAGTGATGAGTCATTGATGGATTTGAAGATATCAACCCATGAGTTTTCAAGTGGAAAATAGAGCTTCACACTGTATCGGCTCTGATAAAGTTGAGAAATATCATGGAAGAATATCCCAGATTGAGCTCAATTAATAATTCAATATACCTACTTTTATAGTAAACATTCATATTCATGCTCCCATGAGAACATGCACAGTCTCATGCATCTCCACATGAATGAAAAGAAAGCAAACTCAGCATTAGGAGGAGAAAAAAAAATCCTAAAGGTGTAAGTAAAACAGCACATTGATGACACACACAAGTAGAGAGAAGCAATGCAGGCATGTCCACAAGAACACACACCAGGGTTGGGTAATAATTATTTAGACTCTCTTGCCTTTATTTTCATTTGCCAATATCAATATTAAGCCTTGAATCTGTTTCCTTATTAAAATAAACAATTGGAATAAGATGGGCATTGGAAATCACCTTCCAAATCAATTGTATGCATGAGGAGAATGAAAGGATGCAGAATTATGAATACAAAAGATATATAGTATTAAAGACATTGGCATGTTACATTCCCAGCTTGGCTTCAGATAATTCCATTAACACTTCAACAAGCTAAACCAACATAATTCCAAATTCATTTCCATTACTCAACCCTCACCAACACACATGTGGAAAAGCATAAAAGGAAGGAAGATCCTTACCAAATAGGGGAAGAGGTTTACCATGAGTAGACTTTGGTGGGGATGTCAAAGGCATCCATGACTGGTTTGTGGTAGCTAATGGGCATGGGGTTCACAGGCATAGGGAGCACCTGACAGTTTGAGCCAAGCACCCAGTTGCAAGGCAGAGAACAGGATGGAAAAGCAGGACAGAGAGCAAGAGAGAAGGCAGGGGGTCAGCAAGTGAAGTGGAAGAATTACAATAAAAAGTATTAGTAGAAAAAGTGGAAATGACAGGACAAAATAGAAGGATGTGATGTTACATATATGAAAATCCCTCTAATCCAGTGTGATAAGGTTCTGAATTTTATGTTTGGAGTCAAACTACCTTCTGGACTTTTGGTCCCGATGGACGGCGCTTCATGCGATATATGGAGTAGGAAGCCTGGATGATTGCAATAAGTACTAGTGCCCCAATGCAGGCAATCACAGCATAGAGTCGAATCTGCTCTTCACTCAGTCCAGCGGGTGAATCTGCTGAGCTTGCCAGAGACACTACAACCAACATGAGCAACGACATTAAAAAATGCAATGCAGGTCTTTCTTTGAGCAGGAAAACAGTCAAGCACAGATTCTTTGAGAGGTTCATACCTTCTTGCTGTTTTTTTCCTAGCATTGAAAGCATTCAGTGCAAAAAAAGACCATTCTAATCCACTGTCTTAAATGTTATACGAGTTTGGAAGATTCCATTTAGCACTCACCTTGGGGTTGTCCCACTTTCAGGTATTGTGGGTCAACTCGGAGATTCCCAACTTGACCCGAGTGGACTTCTCGTTGCAGAGCAGCTTCTACCATCTCTTGGACTTTCTCCTTGTCTCCAGATTTTTCTTTGTCCATTATAACAATCAACTTTGCCACCATCTCATTCTCATTGTGATTGCCACTATGAAACAGGATGATTGTCATTGTTAGCCTGTGGTCAAACAACACAAGATGTCAAATGGATTTGAAATGCAATACCCAGAGAATTCAGTGACCATGACGTCCTCAAATCCTGGCATAGTATTTAAGGTGGATGACACTTCTCGCTTCACACGGTCAGACCAGTCTTGAAATTCTGTAGTACCCTTTTCAGGAATCACAAAGTTGTCTCCAATATCGATAACCTTTAACTCCACATCCATTAGCAGCTGTGGCTTTCGAGTAGTAGTTGTTGTTGGAGCTTCTGTCACCCTGGTTCCAGAACCACCTCCACCTGGTACTCCACCTACTTCAGGTATCACAGAAAATATCAAGGGACTCTACAAAGCATAAGATACACCTACACAGATAAATTTTTTATAAGATGCATGCTGCAATAATGGAATTATTGGAAGTTTGAGGCATATACTGAGATATTTTTACCCATCTTATTCATTCATACTGGAATTTAACATTTTTATGGTTTCCCATTGAAAAAAATTAACTGCTGGTGCATGAAAAATAAATCTAATCCTTAGATTTGCTTAGTTCTGCTGAAGAGTGGTACGGGGACAGAACCGATTCCACTGACCTGATCCAGCTATGGCAAGGGGACATAATGAGATGCAGATTTTGTCACTTGAGATCACTGGTGTAAGCTCGTGCTTTTGAATCTTCTTGTTCACAGAGTTGTAGGATCCACCCTTGACTGGGTAAAACATGAACACACACTCGCCAAAGGACACATCCTGTGGCATACAAGTTACACTGGGTCAGACAAAGAGAAACAAAAAAGAGATACTTTCAGAAATGCACAAGAACATCATACTGTGCTGTTGTCAGGAGAGAGTCGTGGACGGGAGAAATTGAGGGAAAGAATGCCGTCTCTGAGTCGTGCCTCTTCACCAGAGAGGTCTTGGGATGTATCCAACCTTGGAAGGTTGTATGATGATAGCCACATGTCAGCCACAAATGCCCTTCCAGTTCGATCAACCCAACCCAACACGGCATCTGATTGTGGCTGTTTCAGACATTTCCAATCATGAGTCCCATATAGCTCTCAGAAGAAAATAAAAGATCAAGACCACAAACCATGTGATTATTCTTGGAGAATGCAATTCCAGTCCACTTGTCAGTGTTAGAGGTTGTGATGTGAAAGTCAACAGAATCCTTTGCTGCATTGTAGTTCCAAGTGGCAGAGTATTCACAACCATCCTTGGAGCAGCCCCGAGGATAGGAATAGCTCCCTTCACAGTGGTTGTCCTCTGCAGAGGCACCAGTACTGGTGGATTCATTGCCTGTGCCTTGCTCCAACTCCTTTTTTGCTTCGTCTGAAAAATGAAAGAAAAATTCATCTAAGACAATCATGTAAGTTCTATAAAGTACCCTTGCTTACAGTGCATTGGCATGGATTGTGTTCTCGTGCAAGTGCAGGGTGCCTTGGAAAGAAAAAACTCGTATCTACTGAAAACATGACACTGTTGTATTTGATTACCGGTACAAGTAAATGAAAGACATTGGGTAGAAACACAGTCGAGAGTCCACAAGAAGAGGTAAAGGCATGTGAAAGGTTCAGAATTCCAAGACACAAATTAGACAAAAAATCAATGGTTTTAACTCACTTTTCCAGCTTAAAAGTCAAAAGTAGTCATTCAAAATTAAACAACATATTTCATTTGGCAAGATAAGGCAGAGTGAGAGAGACAGTTGAGTCAGATAAGACTCAAAGAGCATGTGCATAGAAAATCCCATATCATCATGAGAAGACCCGTGCAAGGTGAACGAATGCCACATATGCCAAGAAACGAAGAGGGGAGAGAGAAATGACTGGACGAGAGGACCCATTCTTGACAAATGAGAGAGATGGGGTGGGGCTACCGAAGAAATTGAGTGAGAGGCCTCCTCTTTGGGATCCATGCCCATGGTATTTCAGCTCGTCGGGGCGATAAAAGTCCCGGACGCTGGCAGATCCCACTTCCAGACCCGACTTGGGCTTATGGATGTATGATTGAGGGTCCTGGCCACGTGCCCAGATCACAGTCATTGGGTTGTTCTCGATCGAGTGATCTGTTGGCTCCTCACCTATTAAGAGAAGGAACAATTTTGAATACCATCCATCCAATAAAAGCATCATACTGATTGTCCTGGGAGCTCACTTTTAAGTTTCTTTCTGAAATAGATCGTGGTGACACCATCCTGTTCATAGCCATATGCAGCTGTTAGATCATCCTTCCCACCAAAGTAACTGTCAAAGTGGGGTGTTGACCTGGAACACGAGATCACAAGTTATTGTAAACTCTTGCTCATAAACAGAATGGAAGCCAAAGGTTGGTTCTTTGGTCACCTGTCTCTGGTGTAGTAATCATGGACACGGTGGAGAGGACCTCTGGCCATCCCAATGACAATGTCAGAACAGTCCATTGGGTGTATTGTGCCTTTGGGTGCATACTTTCCAACCTTGCTCTCAGCTGCAATTAAGCATCTGACGTTTAAAAAAAAAACTCTCTTTCACGAGCCATCATGAAAGTTCAAATAACTTACTGGTAGTTGCACCAGAAGCTTCAGGTTTTGGAGATCCCTCAGCCTTCCCCTCTCCTTCAGGTTTCCCTTCAGCTACAGCTTCTCCTTTCCTATCTGAAATCAGGCCATTAACCCACATACTTATCCTCTATTTGTCAATTACATAATAGTAAGTTGAGACAGAAGCAGCTGAGCATATGATACCTTGCGCATGGTGCTCAGGCTCATGTTCAGGCTCAGCTTCAGCCTCAGGAGCAGGTTCTTTGACAGCAGCAGATGGTTTTGCCTTGACTTGATGCTCTTTTTCAGTTCCTGTTGCCTCTGGTTCAGCTGTTACATCTTCCTCAGTTTCATCATATGGCAGCCACCTGATGGGGATCCAAAACTGATGCTCAATACTTCTAAGTTAAAAGAAATCATTTCATAGTACAAGAAAGGATGGAAATGGTTTCTATTACCCTTCCCGCTGAACGAGTTGCCTCTTAAACCTGGGAGGAATGATGTCTGTGGATTCTGGTGAAATTGTTGTGGTCTGCCCATCCCCACTATGCTCTGCCTCTGGCTCTGGTGTTGAATATTCAGCCTCTGGTTCTGGTTCACTGGTGCTGCTCTCCTCCTTTGCTTCTGCTCTCTTGACTCCTTTTACTTTCTGATCTGTCTTGGCCACCTCATTCTCTGGCTCTGGTTCACTTACACTGGTTTCTTCTGCAATGGGTTCAGCATTATGGTCCTTTTCTGTTGTCACTTTTCCATCTTTAGCCTGGTGTTCATGTTTTGTTGAGGTTTCTCCCTCAGGTTCTGCTGTACTATGTGTCTCAGGTTCGGGTTCTGCTTCACCATGTTTCTCTGACTCAGGTTTTGCTGTGCTATCTGCAAGTTCTACTTCTGATGCTGCTGTCTTATTCTTTGGTGTTGCTTCTGGCTTAGTCTTGCTATCTTTTGGTTCTGCCTCAGGCTCAGCCTTGCCATGCTTCTCTTCACCTTCTGATTCAGCGTGACTTTCAGGTTCAACCTCAGGCTCTGGTTCTGCAGCAGCTTTCTTTCCATCTTGGCCATATGGACGCTGGACTTTGGGAGGGGTGGAATCGACAGCTTTGGCCTGCTTTTGTCTCACATCTACTCGGTCCTGGATTTCGGTCACCGGATCCTCAATAGCAGGAAAAGCCCTGCACTGGGTGGTGAGACCCGCAGGCTTCCAACCCAGGGCAAGATAACTAGTGCCATTGCCCTGAAGGACGACTTCGAGCTCTCCCTGAGCCTTCAGGACCCTCCAATAGAGGATGAGACCAGGGCTGAGTTCCTGTTCCGAGAAAGCACCCAAGTTTATGTCCGAGGGTTTCTTGACTGGGGAGGGAACGGCGCACCCGGGTCCAAACCACCCTGCATCACAGTAGCACTGATGGCGGGGGAAGGTGGTGGCCTGGACGTCGACACATCGACCGTGACGGCCACAGTCGATGTCTTCCTGACATTCATCTTGATACTGACAGCGATCGCCGGAGTAGAGGCGGTCGCAGAGGCAGCGACCTGCGAAGCTTTTCCCGTGTCCGCTGCAGTCTTCCCGGTAGTCTGATCCTGACGGGAGATAAAAAAGAAAAAAATCCAGTGAATGTGTAAAGGTATTATTACATCACATTATTGATGGCGAGGACCTTGGTCCTGCCCAGCACGAGTGAATGAGAACGAGGCATTGTATATATGTCTGGCATCCCTTCACTCTCGTCCCTTGAGTGGGCTTGGCACAACAAGGACTCCGGGAACAACGAAGTAACAAGATTTTTGACCTCGAGATGAAAATGTAAGCAAGGAAAGGATGACTCACTTTTCACCACGTCCACATCGGCACAGGACCAGAATTGATAGGAATTCCCCCATTCCACAGCTTGTCGGATGAGACGGATCGTGCAATCTTCGCATTCGAAATCCGCTGGGAATTCCGCTTCCCACGACTGTGCCCTGAGGGGAACCAGGCGAATGGAAAAAAAAGTCTCTGGTAACGAACCTCTTTCACCGATACCAACAACACCTGTCATTTCTCGAAGCAACACATGCAGCTGTTCTCAAGTTCATTCACGACACACGCCTTTCACAGGCCCACTTTCCACTCCCGACATGTACTTGTCAGCACTCACCCAGTATGGTAATGACACCCGAAACAAAGCCCGCCGACAAAGGACTTCATTACGAACCATACTGGCGTTAAAAAAAAAAACTGAAAGACTCACGTGGCGTCTCCTTGGATGTAGTCGGTCTCGGACGTCTTCGGGGTGATGCTTCTCAGAGGTCGACCTTTAGAATCCAACAGTTCCAAGCTGAACCCTCCCTAATAAAAAAGACATTAAAAACTCAAAACAAAGGCTTTCTGAGGTCGTTCACACATTCATCCACACCTGAACGGAATGTGAAGCTCATTAAAATCAACTCGGGGGATCTGTTCCCATTAGTTCCGGCTTCCCGAGAGAAAAATAAGATAAGAGATTCGACACGCACCGCGTACACGTACGGCTTCCCGGTACTTTTCCCCCATTTATTTCGATTGACTCACCTGGTGAGGGTAGGAAAGATGCCAGGTGATGTTGAATGGTCGCCCAGCCAGGACCGTCGTCTTCACGTCTCCTGCAACGGCAACAGACAGAAAGGTCACAAAAGGTCAAAAACTTGCGAAGTCTGGGAGGTGATGTCAGCCACTAAACTATGAACCCTCTTCAAACTTCCTGTCTAAGAAACCCATCATTTTCCGGATGGCTGACCCTCTTGTATTCATAGGAAAACCCACGCTTGGGCGCAGGTTAATGACCAAAGAGAAAAGACGGAGAAAAAATCGATAATTCGACCGTCACGGACCGAAATCGTTTGCGAAACGCCGTGACGCGAGGGCAATGCGGCGGTGGGGGGTTCCCCGCATTAATGGACCAGAGATATACAAATGGGGACTTGTCTGCATCGCCTTCTTTCACCCCGGGAGTCCTTGATTATGATCGATGATGAAGTATCCCAACGAACTCATTCCGGTGAGAGTTCCCCAAGGTGTGCTGCCACCCCGGACACCGAAATTCCGCATCAAGGTTCCCCCCCCGCCCTCCCTCAAAGTCCATACCGGTCCTTGAACAGTTAGTGGATTCCATCTCGGGGCTACAAGCATGATGCAATGCGGTGCTATAGCACAGAAAGGGAGAGGGTCTTTTGTTCCGCTTTACTGACATGAGTGAACCCGGAGGGTCACGTCTGACGAGATTTTTGATGGATCTCGAGGGCGATCCCAGCTTCTTTTTTTTATATCTCGATTCCTTTTCCTCCTTTTCGCCATTAGTCTTCATTAAAGACCTGCGGTCCTCGACGTTTCCCAGGGTTACATCGGACCGCCGACCAGCCGTGACAAAGCGCCACGGACACGTCGAACGCAGAAGAGACCCCCTCATCTCGAGCGGGACACGCACTGGTTATGGAATCACGGAGGGGGAACAGAGGGCTGCAGAATCGGAGTGTGAAAACGGCATCGACTACAACCGCCGACGGGGCGGATGCGAAACCGATATGAAGACAATGCGGGTGGAAATCGTGCCCTGTCAGTGTGTAGGTCTACGAGCCAGGGAGGGGAGAGAAAAAAAAAAGTCAAGGTCAAAAAGACGATAGAGGCAAAGACGGAGGAGCTCATTTCCAATGCTGTCCCCTCGGGGCTTCACTCAGTCTCAGAGTAACAAACCCTGTCTCTGAATTCCTTAATTGGAGAAGGAAGCAAGAACTTTTAATGTCCTCTTTAACTGCTCGAATATTGGCAAAAGCTTCGGTTCGGTGGTTTGAGAAAGACGAAAAAAAAAGGGGGAGGAATCTTCACCTCGAAGAAATTATATTCATATGCCCAGGACCTCTCACCCCCCCATCAGAAATCATCAATCTCTTCCGGTGTAACCTCTGATCCGTCACCCATCATTAACTTTTTTTGTAATCCTCAATTTCGTTGTTGCGTATTTATATCGCGATAGTCTCGGTGATAACCGAAACCGAGCCGCAAAACGACCGCAGATACTTTGCTTCATCATCGAAAATGACTTCGCAACGTTGTGTGCTCCGAGTTTTTCCTTGCTTTGCCTTTCCTCTATGGAATAAAAAAAAAAAAAAACTACAGCATCACGGATGGAAACACATTCCCCGCAGGAGTGTCGCAACTGCCACGTGATGATGAGGAAAGATCGGGGCATACATTTGTCTTCTCGGAAGACTTTCCATGAGTTTTTGGTCAACGAGTGTGTCGCACTAGGCAAGGCCATATTTGTTCGCTCCACTGGATCGGAGTTCCTTCTCTGCGTGACTGAAGCATGGCATAATGAAATCACTTTTTCTGGATTATAATGTATAAGAAATGTGACGGAAAAGCACGTGCTGTGCATGCGGGCAGCTGCCTCATCTCTCTTCAAGGTCGCACCTGATCATTTTTGAAAGGCAGAAAAAGGCTCCCTCTTTTCCTCGCCTGACCCATATTTTCACGGTACGGGTTTTTTTTTTTTTTGGCCGCCCGTTCAAGGACTGTTTGCTCGGACCGATTGCCAGCTTTCGTTTTCGCCTCGAAGGGCCATAAAGTGGGTCGGAAATCTGCATGAAAAGGCCATGTGGTCAGCATCACAGAAAACGGTATAAGTAGGGGAAAAAGCTGCGGTGTGAGAATCGGACATTCCACCGGACATTACGTGCTTCTTTCGAGGACGATCGCAATTACCACCTCCTCTTAGTCCTTATCCATGGCCCTGGGATAGTTCCCACCACCCATTTCTTTCCTTTTTTTTTTAATTCTGGGTTTCCTGGTCAAGTCGGCTGCCCAGGGCGCGGAAAGACTAAGGAGGCTCTCGGAGACCTCAACGCACGGATCACGTCGATGTTGGCAAGGTTTTGCAACGGTCACGTGCGAGCGAGCGGACGAAAGGGGCTAGCTGGGGGGGAGAAGGGGACCTGGATCCATCTCAGAAGAGGGCTCATACCGAAGAAGGTGGACCAGAACCGAACATGGAGATGGCCCTTTCGTAAGATCGGGTCTACTCGTCGGAATACCAATGACCCCTGAAAGTAAAAGTTCCTCTGTAATGCCCCCATACAGGAAGTCAGTCGACAATTACAGGAAGCTGAGCGTGAGGAAAATGCTCGTATCAACTCCCACGTTCGGATGCCCTCGCTCATTCTCTAGTCCAACATCTCCCACCTCTCCCCCGTCCAATCAGATAGCTGTAACACCATCAATGGGGTCGCAGCGAAGCCCTTTGACCCAGTCACCGACTCCACCCATGTCAGTGTGCCAAGTCGGCTCGATTCACGCCCGAGGTGCGGAGTGTACGGTAGACGAGGAACGCCCCGAATCCGCATTTCAGGAAACGAGCACCTTTCTAATCCAACGTGATTAGAGAAGCAAACAGAGAGGAAAGCAGCCCTTCTCATTTTCTTCGTGGGGATTGTAACGGCCGTGCATGCCGCGCTCTAAAAAGTCGCCATCGTGCGAGGATGACATCATGTCATGCATCCTGACTGCTGGCCGTGTGGAATCCACTTTGCTCGCGTGCGTGGAGGGGATGGGCAGTTTCTCCCCGGGGATTCATTGTATTTCGTGTGTGGCGGCCTCAATTGTGTCGTATCGGATTTGGTCTGTCTCTCTCTCGTAAACAGGATCTTGCCTCGAGTTGAAAGAAAACGCACGGAACTGGGCATTCTTTCGGTAGCGATCGACCTTCGCGTTAATGACCGTCGTTCCCTCGGGGGTTTCCGGGGCTCATGCCGTTCAACTACGCGGAAAAATCTCCCACATCTCCCGTCTCGTATCGTCGTGCGACCGCGCGTCCCATAGCCTCTCATTAGAGAATAGAATCTTGAGAACGATTTCTACTCGTGACAATAACCGAGCTCTTGCGAAATCCCGTGCCGAAGAAATGAGATCGACGCGATTAGATTCGTCAATCTTTTTCTTCAGTTCAGAAGGTCGAGGGTCCAGTGACCTTGACATTCTAAATTAGATCTGTCTATCTTTCATGGCCGAAGATTGAAACCCTAGGACAACATCTTAGGATCACGACTCGTGTCAGCCTCGCTGGTATGAATTTCCGAAGCCAGACCATGTCCGGTGGCTACCTTTTATTCCTTGGCGTCAAAATGGGGCTGCAGGGTATTAAAGCAAATAAGCTTTCAGAATTGTTTTGTTGGTCCTTCTCCCTCTGAGGGGGAAAAAAATATTGTTGCAGGTGCGAAAGGCCGAAAGGCCTTGAAGGCGAAGGATAAGCCAGGATGCGGATAAAGCATCGCGTGCGATCGTCTAGGACAGTCCTATAATAAGGTAAAAGCAAAGGATGCGTTTTCCGCTCTGGTTTCTCGTGAGAAGCAGGGGCAGCCCTCCGTTTCTTATGGGATTCTGGTCACTCAACCGCACTTCCCGCCGGCCCCATACGGAGAAAGACTCCTGAATACACATGTTTAAACTTTGAACCGCAACTCCCGTGCTGTTTTCTTCGTTTCCCACGTCCCCTTAACATACACGGTCGCAGAGACTTTCTCCTCCTGTCAAGAGCTTCACACCCCCTTTTCATATCGTATCTCGACGCGTCCATCTTCGCTCGACGCGTGGAAAATCCGAGAAAATCTTGCGACAGCCGAATTCGATTCGGCTTTCTCGGAAGCCTGTCGGCTAAGTCCGGAATCTCAAGGACCCTTTCAGAATTCTACCCCCGTTATGGTGGGCCGCCATTTCACTCAATTTCGACCTTGCCTGAGCGACTCCAGCCGCGTTCTTGACCCCCCGACCGATCAAGGGCGGCGACCAGACGCGGGCGGGGTCCGCGTCCCGTAATGGATGGGAGGGAAAAAGAGTTGGCACGTGTATGAGAGATTTGCGGAGTGAAAGGTGTCTCGGACGAGATATCGAGGCGTGGTTTCACTCATGTCCTCACGACACGACCGTATCCTCCTCATACACCGTCCGGATTAACCATCTGGCTCCGACCAGATCTGCACTTTTTCTCCATTCATCTGTGGAAGATGGAACCGAATAGAAAGGGAAGGGGCTGCTCCATCCGAACGATCCACGTGTGGGATTGGGAAACCTGCGTTGCGCCAGGACTCCGGAACACGCGAATTCTCGCGAAAAGAATGCAGCAGTCGCGCCGAAAAAAGAACGAATTTCATGGAACCCTGCCGATGAACGGAATGAAGCAGGAAATGCGCTAACTGAAGAGAGAGAGAAAAAAAAAAGACCAGGAAGCCTTTCTCAGAAGACCTCGTTCAATGACCCAAGGAAAGAGGAAACCCCGTTAACGTCACTTCACATTGGACTCCACGCAGGACGACAGAAAGCCAACAGACATTCCCTGCTAATCTCAGGGGTTGTCGATGAAAAGAAGTGCTAAATCATGCCAATTTTTTTTTCCTCCCTAAAGACTTGACCTATAACTCCTTTCTCACCCCCCCTCCCTAACCCCTCCCCCCCCCCCCCCCCCCCCCCCCCCAATATCACAAAATCTGAAAACCCGGGTTTCCACCAAAGTGCCCAAGACATTGACCCACTCGTAGCGCAAAGGAATGGAGATTTCAGCTGATAGTCAGGCTGATAGTCATCCCGAGTGAAACTACCTTGCGCCTTCGGGGCAAAACCGAATGCCTTCCGGATGAAGACGCGAAGATCAACAGCTTCGATATGCGACTTCTGTTTTCATATCCCCGGGTGAAAGTAAACCACGCGGAACCAGTCTTGCGAATTCCAAACCGAGAAATAATGGTCGGGTTCGTGGCGGAATGATGTTACATAATAATTGTCGGCGTAATTTTTTGTCGTGTCCCCGCATGAAAGGATTTATGGTCGGAAAGTCCCCGGAAAGACGGGGAAAACGTTTAACGTCGACGATAACCGCCTACGTTTCTCCATCTGCAATGACGAAATAAATATATAAAAAAACTGACCTTTCGGCATGCCACAGGGTGGAGCGGTCCGAAAGCTGTCGAGGAAGTCGAGGTCATATTTCCTGGCCGGGGGATAGGTCAGCGCCACGTGACCCAGGGCAGGGACCGTGGATGCCACCAACACCGAGATCACCAAGGAACACACGTCAACACCACCCATCGCGTCTTAAAACTCTTTTACGCGCTTGGGTCAGTCATCGCACGGATTCCCACCTGGACGGAGAAAAGGGAAAAGGAATGAATCCTGCGCGGGAACTGCCGATTCTCGGAACTCGACCGAAGAGAACGACACGAGCGAATCGGTTCCGACGGGCGGGAGAGCGCGCAGACGAGCGATCGATGCAAGCGCGGAATGATAGGTGTAACGAGGCTGGCAAGGGACTGAAGGGAATTGGAAGAAGCAGCCTTGAGGCCGGGACAGGGGGTAACAGAGAGAACAACGCCTCGGGGTTTCTTCTCTCTCCCTCCCTCTCTCTCTCTCTCTCTCTCTCGCTCTCTCGCTCTCCCTGACGGCAAATTCCTTCACTCACTCTCATCTGGACGAACCGGCTTCACCTCTCCTCTTCGTCCTCCTCACCCAATCATATGCCTGTTTATCACCGTCATGTATTCTACTCCCTTCTGGAGACTCGTGTGCAGTCTCGAGTACCGAGGAAACCAGTTTGGAGGTGGCCTGCGGTACGCCCCCTCCCTTCGTCTCTCTGGGCAACCATTTCCACCTGTGCACCTTTTACGGTTCCCTCCAGTCCCGAGATGGACGTAGGAGATAAGTAGAAACGAAAATGCAAGGCTCGGGCTTGCTCTATTCCTTTCACTCCGCGGCCATCATTTATCAGCCGCACCCTGCTCCCGGCTTCATTCGATCGCATGTACGCTACGCAATCGAGAGCATTAAGTTGTTTAAGCGAGGAAAAAAATGGAATATCAATGAGGCGTTGCTGACGACGGCGAGATCCGGGAATTGAGTTACTCGACGTCGGATGCGTCCTTCTGTGTGGTCATTTGGGGGTAGTCTTATGGCCAAGGCCACTTTCACCCACATGATTTCCCACCATCATCTTCCATCTCGCACTTCCGGAACTGCCGCATCTCTGTGGTATGTGCAGACCATTGTATCGGTTGACTCTCAGTTCCCGTGGGAAATAAAATCACCTGGTCCCATTCGGGATGCTCTTGTGGAATACCTGTTATAGTTCCATCAATCAAATTCCTTTGCTCCATCTCGAGTCGAGGAAATCCTCGAAGAACGACACGACTACGTTGGGCTGACTTGGGCGGGATTCGCGCTGTCGGCTTTAATGACATAGCTCCATGTCACAGTACAGATGTTTCCATCCAAATGGCTTCGTATCCCATAGATAATCTGGGCGGCATTCTTTGATGGCTTCCGAAGCGAGGAAAGCTGGTTCCTCTTCTTCACACATTTTACGAACCGATGAGCTCGGATGCATCGCATTTGGGTTATCACTTCTCGAACAAGCCGCCCCGCCGTTAAGCAGTTGGCAGAATGCGGAGGCGCGACGCTTCCAAGTCGGTCAGGAGTCGCAATGGGTTCGAGGTCGTTGAAGGTGTGGCTCCGGAAGGGGCGAGGATTCTATGCGTCAGGGAGAGGATTCTAAGAATCGAGCCTGGTCGACGGCGAGGCGTCAGGGGAAATTCCCTTTGAAATTCTGCTTAATTGGGATTTGGGTAAAATGGCGGGGAAAGGTTGGTTTTGGGCTGTCAACGACGATGAATTTATCCTCGAGAGGTTATACCCGAATTTTCGGTTCCAGGTTTCGCGAAAGGTCGGGCAGTAATAAGTAGGCTCTTTCGCACCTCGGAGCCACCAGAACACATTCCCCGTGAAATTTCGGGGTCAGCCGAAATAACAGTCACCCCTTAGAATAGACAATAGAATGTTCCTCGCCAGAAACCGTGAGATGATCGATTCGATTTCCCTCAAGCGTGACGAGGACGCGATGAATCCCAACAAAACGGGCCACCTGAAGAAAACAACACGGATTTGCGACTGCTCGAAACAAAAAGGGAGGGAAAGGGATAGGCCGACGGGAGAAAACCTTGAATTTTGAGTGGCCACGCCCCTCCCCTCCCACACATCCTTTCCCTTCCCCCGATATTCAATACATTGCTTTCCTGTTGGTCCCCGCGGAGCGGTGCATGAGCGAGGAGAATCCTCTTGGGTTGCACATAAATGAATAAATCAGCGGGATGCGACGGGAGAGAGAGCCAGATCTCGCTCGATGGCCTTTTTCCAACTCTTTCTTTTTTTTCCTCGAAACACGGCGGGAACGATGAATAATGTGGAAACGTAGCGAAAGAAAAAGTTTTCGTCGTTCGGGGGAGAAAGTGCTCCCACCGGGAGACTCCTGGAAACCCACCGCGGAGCATCCATGCATCGAGCGGGAGAAAGACGAAAGACGAAAGACGAAAGACGAAAGATGAAAGACGAAAGGCGAGAGGCGAGCCCCTCGTCGATAGTTCAAAGGGGCCAGTCACGCATCCACTGAATCTTCCATCGTGTTATTCTCGTCGGGATCGATCGAAATGCACCGTGTAAAAGATTTCTCTAAAGAATCGATGGATCGTTCGTGTAGTTGCGACTTTCTTCCTCGAGACCGTGCTCTCGTTCTTAAGAGGGATCAGGCGAAGGCTCGAGGGGGTTTGTCCCGAGGGGTCTGGTATGATAATTACTCATTAATGATGTTAATAACAGGTACGAAGTAAACACGGTTCCGCCCCTGCAGCTCCGCAAAAGCGATCATTCACGAGGCGAAAATAAAAGCGGCAAGAATCAACAGAAGCAGGAAAACGCGAGGGCCTAATGCCGAAATGCCTCCGCCAGCAATTAAGTGAAAAGACCCGACTCGGCCTCGTTCCTCCGCCTCACTGGCTTTTAGCCCTCGAGATGTCATAAAACACTGTAATCAGGGCAGACGGAGAGAAAGAAAAAGAGGGGGAGTGCAGCCTGGCAGTCCGCCGTCGAAAGGCACTAATTCCCTTTCATCGAGATTTTCCATCTCGTGAGACTCGGGCACTGGCCGGCGGACACGCCCTCAGCAGGGAAGTGGGCGAACACCGACATCTCTTGGCCGGGTTCGGAAGTGTAGGTTCCTTCGTCGGCAGGAAGAGTGCAGGACGAGCACTGATCCGAACAACGGCAGACTAATTTCGGCTCGGAGAGGAATAGGCCCATCGCTCTTCGACGGAAAATAGGTTTTTTCCCGTTTAGAGTAGTTTTATTGGAAAGTTCTTCATCAATTATGAATAGTTTGGAAGAAATACAGCAACTTAAATGTTTTCTTGAACAAAAAACTAACAAATCCAAGCTTGATTTGCATTGACTTTTTTTAATTCTTATTTTTGGAACAGAGATTTGAAGTTGAGGTTGTGACTAGAGGGCCCACCCCCGATTGAATATCCTCAACACGGAGAAAAAAATAGCTGGTGATGTTTCCTGGCATCTAGGCCATCTGAAAGCGTATTTGCTAAAGGTTTAGGAGAGGGATGAATGTGTTTTTTATTTGATCGATCTTCGTGCACATGAGACTCGGCCATGTTTTCTTGCTGGCGCCAAACTCTTCATTAGGCTTTGCCTGAGAGCTTCTTTCCTTTCCCTTTCGTGCATGAATTTTTAAAGCAAAATAAAAATATGCCCTTCATGGTTTAACGTTTAAGGAGGTACTTTGCCGTAGTAGTCGAATGTTCTACTGCTAGAAAGAGACACTGAACAGAGTATGTGCCCTTGAGTTGACTGCACGCACCAAATGTTTCGAGGTATGAGTACCATAGCTGAAAACTCATAATTATCGCCAAAAATTTTGCCGTCCACTACAATGGACACCATGCACGAAAGGGTTAACGAATAAGTTTCGGGCTTGTGAAGCATGTTACTGCCCGGATGTCTGTGCACGTGCGTCCGGCTTAAAACTTCGCAAAGCCGTTACAGCTCCATTACAACTCCGTTACAGCTCCATCTTGGTTTGAACGACAGCAGCACGGTTCTCGGAAAAAAAAAAGAATCGTTAAAAATGGGAGTCTATCGCTTCGCAGCTTGGTGGTCCCCCTCTATTCCACTCCCCCTTCCCCCCTTTGTCCCTACAAAGAACACTCAAAGGTCAACGGTCTTTTCCTCGGGGATCTTCTGGGCTTTCCCCAGATCACCTTCTTGGTATTTCCCCGGGAAGCATCTCCGCAATTGAAACCCTCCATCCTCCGCGCTCATGCCTCCAAATTCGGCTGCAAACTGGATAGCCTGTGATTATCGGCCCTTAATCACATTCTAGCTGCCTCGAGTGGACCAGAAAATTTCCCGCCCTACGAGAAATCGACTGGGCGTGGAGGGGGAGGGGGGGGGGGGGGGGGGGGGGGGGAGGGGGGGGNGGGGGGGGGGGGGGGGGGGGGGGGGGGGGGGGGGGGGGGGTGGGGGAGGGGGAAGGGACTGGATTCCCTTCATTCGGTGCACGTGTCTCGTGGGTGGAGCATAACCCGTTCACGTTCGCACGGATTCGACGGTCACGCCGTGAGACTCGCGAGGTTCATCTGAGAACCGCCAGTTTTGGGGCGTGGCTCGCTCGACCGAATCGCATTCATCCGGAGAAGATTGGCACATGGTTGTAGCGGTTCGTGTTCGTTCCGACATACGGACTAACGATGGCCTTCGAGCAGCTTTTTTTTGCAATGCATCGCAGACGACATTCCCGCAGCCAGCACACTGAAATTTCGACTTAAACTTTCGGTTTATTCACAGTCATTAAGTCGGTTACTTCTCGAATCTTCTGTGTCTATTAGCGAATTCGTGTCGGTTGTGGGTGGAACTTACCAGTTAAAATGATACCAAATCGATATTCATTTCGAATCTGAGTTTGAAGTGGAAAAATTCGGAATGCTCGAAAAGTCGGATTCTCCCCCCCCCCCCCCCCCCCCCCGCCCCCACCTGCACGTTTCTACATGATTTGTGGCGACACAAAATGGTTCTGAAAAATTGCTCAATCTGCATCTTAGCTGTTTTCCTCTCCTCTCCTCTCCGAGCGGAAACTTCATAACTGTTCTCTGAAGGTCAACGAAACCGCAGGCATTTTTCACCGCCTCACGTCATTACAACGCGCATCGACTTAACCTTCTCCTTTGCAAGGACGATCTTCCGACGAATAAAAAACCCCCTTCCCGCCTCGCCTCGCCTCCCCCGACAAAGCCCGAAAACCCCGTCCAGACCCGAGGAAAATGCCTGCCCAAAAAGTGGAACGATCGTGACCAGACTGAAAAGACTCACGAGCGCGCCATCCCCGACGGGCGAAGGTAAACGCCGGCGACTCGACGAGAAAAGAATCTGGGCGCGGTCCAGCCCAAGTGCCACTCAAAGGGGGTGGGGGGGGGGAGGCAAGAGGCACGGGGGAGACGTGGGGCACGGGGTAGGCACGGTGCTTCCTGCTTCAGACGAATTGGCGAATTTGGTGTCAAAGTAAGAATTTTTTTCGCCGCACTATTAAGCGCTAAGAACCGGATTCGAAAATGTTCGTTTCTCGGACCCGTCCTCGTCAGTCGGCTCGAAACGCTTAATAGAAATCCAGTAGCTTCTTTCACCTTGCACGGCGCCACGGACAGGAGCAGAATGAGAAAGTAAAACCACGCAGACGAGTCTAACACGGCCATAAGCTGAGCTTGTCTTTTTTGCCGATGGCCACTTTAAGCCTGAATTTTGAAAGGTCCGAATTACAGTTTCGAGCTTAAGATTTATCTAGACAAACGAGTTGGAGGGTATGTATTCATTTAATTATTGTTAGTGCTTTAATGCTGGTCGTTTTTATGGACTCCCGAGGCGTTATGTTCCGCCCGTCTCGTCGCTGAAAAGGGCTCGGGGGGACTTGGGATTAGACGGATTAAAACGCCGGATTTAAAATCTCTTCCGGATCGTGGCAAGAACCGGAAGCGAATCCGCCTTTCGCGGGTGAAAGTGGGCGGGCGACTGGAATTGGTCATTCGTTTCGTGACGTCAGAGCGAGATGAGGATGCTGGGGGTGCATCTCGGGTGGATGCGGATTTTTGCGCGGCGGCGAAAGTGTTAATCGGGTCGGCACGGAGTCGATTAGCATTCACCCAGGTGCTTAAACTTACTTGGTATGAGCTTAAACTTAGCTTAAACCCATGAGGATGCTCGTGGCCCCAAATCTCACGTCACGCAGGGCCAAGGAAAGTGGTCGGTCGAAAAACCTGTAGACTGCAAAACGTGCCGGCCAGAAGTGACTTTCCTCCAATCACTTTAGAATCATTATCAGGATTATCAGAATTAATTATCCAGATATGATGTTTCAGAATTTTTATTATTCGTTTGAATGGAAAAGAAATGGAAGACCAAAATTCGAATACAAATTTGCCTTTGACCTTATTGCATCGAATTCTTGCAACATTGATTGAATAATGGAGCATTTTGAGAATAAAAACCATAAAAATTAGTTTACTCGAGAAAATGGTCCAAGGTATCGACAGCCGATATCGTTAAAAATCGATGAACAGGCTGCACAAATAGAAAGGGTTCCCCCAGATTCAGTATGAAAAAAAGTTACTTCATGGACAAAGCAGGACACCATTTACTGTGGGGAAAAAAAAAACTGTTGCATATGATTTCCTCCACAAATCGTTCAACTTGGCCGAACATGACAAACTCCCAACAGGAAATTATTTTTTCGAACTGCCAAAACCACTAACTCCCGATACGGAATGGCTTGGGGATGAGAGTGCTTGAGGTAAATCCTCAGCAATTGATCCGTGGTTCTGGTACGAAGAGGAAGAGGATAATAAGAAGGGAATTACCGCGAAAGAGGAAAGAAGAAACAAAAATGGGGGCTCGTCCGGGATTCGAACCCGGGACCTCTCGCACCCTAAGCGAGAATCATACCCCTAGACCAACGAGCCACAGACAAGTGAGAGGGTGAGAAAGGAGGTCTGAGTATCTGACAACTGGGGCTGCGCGACTACATCTCACGCATGCGCAGTGAGAGCCTTCCGTCCCCTCTATGACTGTGACCCGTCTCGGGCTAATGCGCGTCTCGCTCTGCAGCCTTAGGGAGGTAGGCAAGCGCATGCGCCCAATTACAGACGACGCTCGATATAACGAACATCTCCATAATGAATTTTTTTGTTGAAAAGTTCCCCTTTAATGGAAGTTTTGTATACCGAATTGTTCGGTTTCACGAAGTCATTTTTTCATCGGAACAAAACTCTTCTAGATTACGAAGTTAAAATCCGATGCCCGTCAAGTCTTAATCTTCTCAGGCTTCTTGAGATCAGACTGAAACTTCTCATTTCATTAGCCTCTTTCCAATCAAGTCCCATCTGTACGCCCACGTCGTATTCCCCGGGATGAACTGACAGAGGGGCGTTGTTTACCATGAAAGTTTTCCCTATTTGCATGAATTTCTTATGTCCGGACGAGAAAGGATGCCAATTTTCTTTCCACAGTTGCATTTGTGCTCTACCATTCTCCTTCGCTTCTTTACAGCTTTCCGTCTTTCCCCCACTAGGGGGAATTTAGGGTCCAATCGTGTTGACAGACGTTAATCGGCTCTCCCTCGGACGGGCAAACGCCGCATGCACAAGAATTCAGGGCGTCGACTATACGTCCATCGATTGGCTGTTATACCTATGCGATTAGACACATTGGCCTTGTATCAGCACCGATGGAGATGCGGGTGCGAACGCACATGAAAAATGAAAATCTTGCACGCGATTCATTTCCATATCGCCCGCGTCAAGCATAAGAGGCGGAAAGCGTGAAACGGCCTTTATTTTTTTATTTTTTTCTGAGACGCATTTGTGGCGCAGCTGAGCGAAAGGAAGCCTTCCTGCGCCTGTTTGTTGACATCATGGGGATCTCCCTCTACGTTTTATGATCCAGTTAGGCAGAAAAAAAACTGAAGCACTCTCACTCCGAACACGATAAACTTCTCCGGAAAAAATTGAATTTATGCTTCAAAATCCACTAGGGAACCCGAGTGAAATGGCAAAGGTTTTTTTTTTCGTGACATTTAATTTATATATAGATTTGATTAAGTGCTCTAGTATCATCTTCCTTCTCTTTTCTTTTTTATATCTCACTTCGACTCTTCCACGACTCCATCATTCAACCACGGGAAGTGTCGTAGACGGACGTGGAGTCCATGAAAACGCGTGGAAATCGAGTGGAAACGAAAGGGCCATGCCCGTGTACTTGTCTGATCGGTCTCCCAACTAAAACGAGGAAGGGGCAATCCAGACCTTCTTGGCTTTCGATTCGAGACTAGGTGGTTTTGAACGAAGTCATGTGATTTCCTCAAGTATTATATCATGCCATAACCCATAAATCCTTGTAAATTTCACTTTATGATGTATTCCATCCCATTACTGACTGGATTAGGAATAGATCTCAAAGAAATGCGTTCACAATTTCCGTTCAGCATGTCCCTATATGAAAGTTTATTCTCGGGAAAACTTGCAGATTTATTATGCAAAACTTCAAGTCACTTAGGCTTTGTCTTTTTCCTAGAAACAAGAACTTAGAGGGCAGGAATGGGTCCAGACGATTTGATGTAGAGACATAACAGTGACACTGCAAGAAACCACAGATCATAGTTTGATTTTGAAATCACTTTTATTCTCTCAGGTCAGCAGCATTCTAGACCCATAGGAATGTGAAAACCGAGTGCCTCGTATTCAAAACACAAACCAGTGCGACTAGATATAACATCACTTCGATCCTCTCGTTTCATCACACAAGTCTTGCACTACACAAATTACCAGGTCTACCTTAATGCCAGGGAGAATGTGAAAGGACATGAACTGCTACAAATATGAAAGATGAACATTAACAATCACTCAAGTCAACATGAATTGAAGTGAGAATCTCAGTCCCATCCACCACGAAACATGTGCATCTCTGATTGTGACACATGACCAGAACAAGTGGGGGAAAAAACAAACAAATAAAACAGAACAGAGTAGGGAATCCAATTGAGCGAGGATAGGGATGGGGGGGGGACAATTTCTTGGGTCTACCCCACATAGGTATCTTGGCTATGGTAAAATTGGTGAGGGATGAAAGTTAAAAGGGCTCAATGGAAGAATGTGGGTTTTAGACCTTCTCTGTTGGCATGTCCAGCAGGGGCTTCTTGTCCATCAGAATATCCTTGGAGGGAAAAGGTGGAAAGAGGCCCACCTTCACATGATCATTCTCCCATATTGCCAACTGCAACAGAGACCAGAGTGCATTTAAGGCCTGCAGTGTAGGAAACAATTTTTTTTCCCCACAAACCTAAGGTGTAAGGGAATTTCCAGGAAGAATATGCAAGCAGACTAAGTGGGCCACCCGCCTGTGCGTCTCTGTTCCTGCAAACCTCGTTTGCAGGTTTGCAAGGATTTTCCTAGCCTGGAGGCCAGTTCTAGGTCAGGCTTGACATAAAATCTCTCTTCGTACAGGTGAAGAGCATTAAATTTGGAGTTTAACTTTCAATACAGCACTTGCACCAGAGACTAGTCAATGATTGACAATAAATTTGATGCATGCTTATATTCAGAAGTGAGGGTGAAGTAAAAATTGGAAAAGAGTCCTAAGAATTCTTCACAGGTGAAGAAGCATAACACTCATGTTAAGCTTCACTGTGTTAAGCTAAGTTAAGCTAAGTTAGAAGTTAAGCAATGTGAAAGAAAAAAATCTAAAAAAAGATTCTTGACATCACTGCATGCTACCTGTGAAAAACAATGACTTCCGGAGTGTGCATTTAAAACTTAAAAGCAATCTTTACATGTAAAGATTTTAATACATATCTACATTCAAAATTTTCTAGGCAAATAATGCAAACCATTTTCCCCTTTTCATTTACCAGTGACACAAATTTTGGCAACAGACCCATATGTTGACAGGATGGAATCAGTTTGGGTCACCTAAGAAGACATTCATTAGAAGTGGAAAAAGAATATGAAGGACCAACTTTGGGAGGAAGAGAAGGGCAGGGTGAGCAGACGTGCTCCTGGGGTGCTGGTGCAGTGGATGTGAAGCACAGCCAGACAAAGACCAGGGAACAGAAGAAGACAGAGACCAGGAGAAGCCAACGTGGGATTCCAACTTTCTCTGAGAAACACTGAAGCCAGTCGCCAGATGTCCCATGTCCATTCTTCATGTGATTCCTCATTCTATGATTGTGGCTTGGATTTCTTTCCGAGAGTCGGACGTTCGTCCCCGGTAACACATCTCCAAATGGAAGGTCTCCAAACACATCATCTGCACATCACCAAAAGTCAACTCTTTCTAGAATCAATAGTCATGAAACATCTGAAGCCTGTAACAAATGAGATGGTGAGATAAGCATAGTTTTGATCTGAGTACCACTTATGGTAACATTGGACACAGGATATTAAAATGATATGCAATGCCAGTTTCATGGGGTAGCCACTAGACCTCACTGACTCATTCTAAAGAGCTAATACATTGTACATGACCTTGGGCAACATTGAAAGTTTTACCTGACTTTGTAAGATACATGAACATGGCAAATTTTGAATTGCAAGCAGATGCACAGAAGCAATGTCACTTGTCAGTATTCATAGCATTCAAAGGAATCATCATGATATGCTAATTTTTCATACTGCTCAAGGATATGTTGTACACAATGTTTGCATTCATTGACATCCTTTTTATTTAAATATTTTCATTTATTTTCAGAAAACTTAGTAATTTTCTCTCTCAGTTGATTTAAAACTAAATTGATGGAGAGGAAATGACAACCTTCTCATAGATTTGGGGAGTCAAGATCAATAATGCTGAAAAATATACAAATTTCCATCTAAACCTTAAGGGGATGCACATATTTTCTCTGTTTCTACCCAATGACAGAAGGGCCAGACTTTTAAATATTCTGAATGGCCAAGATCAGAAGCCTTGGTGATAAACCCAATATTAAGTCAATTCATTAACCTTGACATGACTATTCAAGAGAGACTGGAAGAGAGCTCACCCTCATCGTCTCCTTCCCTAGGGTCCGCGGGGGATAGGAGAAAACCACTCTCAACAATGACCACATGAGGCTCCTGACCTCCCTGAGGGATGGAAGCCAATGCTTTCTTCAGGGCACTATCGCCCATTATGGAGGTCAGCATGTCCCTCATCATCTCGCTCATAATTTGCATTGGGTGGTGAATGGATGCCACCAGGTCAAATGGTACCTATTCAAAAGATCCAATTCCATGATATAATTGCATTCATTCTGAGGGTTATTACCATGATCAAAACTCAAGTTTAGACACTAGCTTCCGAATTCTATGCTCCATCATAAACTTCCTTCAATCCTTTTCCAAGTGACACGTGATGCAACTCTCTATATTCTTCCCAACGTTAGATAAATTTGGCCAATATCCTGAACTTCTCAATAACTTCTTGACTCCATTTATATCGGGTAAGGAAAAAAAACATGCCGCTGTTTGAATTTGTATATGCGAGAATCGGTCACTGTTACAGTGAAGTATGTTCTAGGATATAGGTAACTACATCTCGTCTTCCAAATAACAAATTTTATGAAAAATTTCCCATCTGCTTTCGTCAAAGAAACACTTGGAAAGTTAGCCTCTCGCAGATAAACGGAAGCAAGTACGCTACATAATTTTTGCCCCAATTCGTCAACCACATCAGTTATGATCATGCGGATTTCTAAGGCAGACAGAGCTGCATTATAGCATGTTACCTGGATGAAGACTTCATTCAAAGAGCGACTCTTCAGTGGAATCTGCGGCGATTGAATGCCGTCGTCCTGGCGCAGGGACGACGGCATACATTATATATGCATACATTTCAGTCTCCTTGGACTCGTGGGGATTCCCAGATACATTACTCACGAACTTCAACGTGCTTTTGTGGTTAAACCAGCATAGGGAATATTCGGACAAAAAAAAAACTAAATTAGAGGCAAATTGTATAGGCATGCTTGTTGGAGCCTACACAGCTGTAGCTTTGACTGATTTTCAAATATGAATAATCCAACAGCGACGGGTACTTTTTTAAAATCCGCAATCGGTATTTCCCAGATTTTTCCAGGCCTGTGGGATCCCTGAATTACTGCAAACCGTAACTTATTTTTTTATTATTACGTACCTCTTTCATCATGTGATTCTCCACGTGGTTCTTGATCTTTTGATTCCTTTCTTTGGTAAGGGGCTCTTCCAGCTTGCAACCACTCTTGCATGCTTCCAAGAGGGAGCTGGAACGATTGTATGCCTCTCCGCATCCTGAAAGACGTAAGAAACCCAACTTCTCTTCAGCTCTCTTCCCTGGATGAACTCATGGAATGAAAGAAACTGGGACACGAATCAAGGCCACAGTCAGATTCAAGGGAAAGCTTCGATGGGCTCCACAAACTGAGAAGGATGACATTCCCGTGATCGAAGCTATTCCAGCCAAACGAGGGCACCGAAATCATTCCATATGGGTGAGGGGGAACTTAAAGGTGGAACATATGGAAGTAGACGAAATAACGCAGTACAGACCTTGGAAGCAGAGTTCGAGCGGGCTCTTTCCTTCCTCTTTGGAATGCGCGTATACCACCTGAGCGAGTGCGTAAAACCGACATCCACGGCGACAGCTCACGTCATCTTCAGGCTGGGAAAACATCCAAGCAAAAAAACATTTTGATATGTGGTAAACGAATTATGTCTCTGGAAAGGTAAGCGTACTCTTCATTGAAAATAAAGTGTTCAGACACGGACCTCGGAGTCAAGACTCATAATGCTAATTAATATTACCATCAGCATCTCCATACGATATAAACAAGCTCTATAATATAATGGGAATGATATGGCAACCATCAGACCCTGCCCTTAGCAGAACAATAACTTCTAGGGAACGCAGTGGCAAAATAACACTCAGTTGAGTCACATGACATTAAATACAGGGTGACCAGAAAGTCCTGTCCATCAGCATTTTTGCAGCAGCTCTTTTAATACTTACCCCTGAACAACAAGTTAGCAACTGAAGGAGCACAATAGTCTTAGCAACATAACAAAATTACCCAGATTCAAAATGACCACCCTTTGCGTCTCTACGAGCCTTCAGACGGCGCGGGAAGTCATCGACGATTTCACACAGCTGATTTTCGGTGATCTCATTGCACGCTTTCAGAATAGATGCTTTCAGCGAGTCCAGATTTGCATGTCGTGTAGCACATACCTTCCTCTCCATTATACCCCAAATTGCGTATTCCAGCGGATTTAGATCAGGCGAATTCGAAGGGCAAACGTCTTTATCCCAAAACGCAGGAAACAGCTGTCTGCAAAGGGCTTTCGTGGACTTCGCTCTGTGTGATGGTGTCCAGTCCTGCTGAAGTGCCCACTGGGCTTCTCCGAAATGACAGTCCGCCCATGGCTTCAGCACATCCCGAAGGATGCGTTCCTGGTAGAATTTGGCATCGATTTTGGCTCCTTTCTCGACGAAGACGAGAGGCGTCTTTCCACTTGCGGTGACTCCACCCCATACCATCACAGAAGCTGTGAACTTCTACCGTGTGACAAAAGCTGCTTCTTGACGCTCCTTCGAGTTCTTTGGCAACAGAATCCGGTCATTTTGGACATTGAGCATCTGTTCTAGGGTAAAGACCTTTCGTCTGTGAAGACAACATGACGATGTCGAAGAGCACCGGTCAGCCGCTTCAGCTTCTTCACTTTTGCAAGTCGATTGTTCATCATGGCCTCCGCTAAGTGATGACACTTTCGCAGCTTGTAAGGGTGACATCCAAGAACCTTCTTGCACAGAATTCTGGCCGATTCTCGCTTCAAACCGGTGATGCGGGCCAATTTCCGCATAGACTGCCTTGGTTTTCGCTGAATTCTTATTTTTAGCTTCCTCCGGTTTTCAGGAGTGTTCGCGGTTCGCGGCCTTCCACTTCTTGGACGGTCTCCTTCATCCCCCAACTCCTCGTAACGGTTAATGGCCCGGATCACGGTTCTTCTGCACGCACCAAGTGTCTTTGCGATATTGCTTGCACTCATTTTTGTCTCGTGCAAACGGATGATGGCAGTACGCGTTTTCTTATCCATTAAAAAATACAAAAGAGTGACCCTATGGAAATGAAACTTTTCACACACATAGACAATAATGTTAGGGAGCAAAACTGCATGAAAATATTGCTAGAGCTTTTGTATTTATATAGTTAAAAATATGGGACAAAAGTGGACAGGACTTTCTGGTCACCCTGTATACCCTGGAAGCTCAAGTCATGGAAAGGTAGGCGAAAAAATGGGTAACGTAGTAAAATAGCAACTGCCAATTTAGAGCGCCAAGAAATTATACGTCTCGAGAAAAGAGGCCTGCGACAGGCTCTCAGACGAAGGAAGCACGAGTAATACAATTTGAAGTCAATAGCTTTCTCCGTAAATTGGTGAGGGGTTTTTCTGGGTCGAGTCACGCGGATCAGGAAGAAGCTCGAGGTCGATTTATGATAAATTACGCCTCTGTTTCAAGGGCAGGATACCCTAACTTTTTTTTTCTTTCCAGGAGCCCTGGACACACGCTGACCCATCCATCAATATTTTACCCGAAAAACGTGTACTTCAGAGCACCCATCCCCAAGCTCGCTTCCGGGTATTTCCCCCCCGCCTCGAATCCGGTGCCCAAGTCCAAGAAGCGAGTTCAAGGGAATCCCCAGCACGAAAGGGGCAAGACGAGGGTCATCGTTTCTGGTCCTTCTGAAGGACGAATGAGGAGCGAGAATCCATCGACACGCAAGGGCGGAGAGGCTTTGGAGGGTCTTCCTCGAATAAATACTCCCGCCTTGCCCCCAACCCCTTCTTCAGTACATTAAACGTCAGGATTCCGTCATCATGAAGCCCCTCTTCGTCGCCCTCGGCTGCCTCTTCGCTTTTGTTCTAAGTGGACACTCTCACGTGAGTCACAGCTTCATTGCTCCAATAAGACATGCACATGGTATTTTTTTATATTTAAACAGGACGTTTTTAAGGATAGAAAATTTGTCAGCGCTTCAGAGGATCAATCTCGCTTCTAGGTTGATCATGAGCCACCAAACACAGATATGATTCATGTATCATAAGGCACTCGCGAAAATGAAAGCCGCGGCATTTCGTAAAACCGATCTCTCTCCTTCGGGGAATAGAAGAATGACCCGACTCCCTCCGACAATGCACATTCACCTTCCGGGAAAAAAACAGCGGAGGCTCCGCCTTTCCTTTTCCAAGAAGTGGACAGAGGGGCATAACTCCCCCACCATAAAAAAGGCTTCATCGGGCTTCGAATTCCTCAGGCCTTCTTGACACATCTGTCTCCCATATATGTACAAACTCAACACGAAGTAAACTCGCAACTCGGTAAATATAATTTGTTGTCATCTGGTGCTGTACAGGATGCTCCATAAGTTGCTCAACAATTTAAAATGGTCTTTTTTTCTATTTAAAACACGTAACATATAGGTTTCCGCACAGTCATAATATGACATTGAGAAAACTAGAGGTAATCCCGGGTTAACTTGTCCAGAAGAAACTAACCAGAACTGGCACGCCCGAATTTACTTGCATTCCTTTCCTATTACTCAGCGAATATCTCGAACATACTCGTCATACTTGAATCCCGTTGTTCATGTCTAGTTGATGACGGACGAGACATGGCAGCGCCAGTGTGCTATTTACGCGGCATCCTTAGGCCCCTTAACACAAAAAAAGGACGAAAAGACAGGAAAGTAATAGGAGAGCAGATACAGCTGCGAAGATTGCCGTGTTGGACAGCTGGTTCATCTCCCCGCATACTGTTCCTGTTCGTAATAGCAACCTTACTATGCTTCAACTTTATCACGAGCTTTTCTTCTGCATTAATTACTACTGACCAGGGCCGATCGTCTTGACTGATTCGAGTAATACCATAATTTCAGCAATCAGGACGTTACAATATCCAGCCTCGAACAATCGTTCTACATCCAAATCCACCAGCGACCTCGTTCCCGTCTTTCTAGTCATCGTCAAGATGGACTTGGCAACCACAACGGTACCAAACTTTTCCGAACAGGATGACTGTAAATGAATTGTGGGTCACTGCTATCTCACTACCGGTATCATTAAATAGATATTAATCACAGATTCGCAATACAAAAAAAGGCCTGTGGTCAAGCATTTAACTATTTCTTTGCCAGGCAGCATTGCACAATACTACGTTTCACATAATCACTGTCCCTCTCCTTTTCTCTTCTCCATCTAGAAAAGTTATAAATATCGGAATGTGAGGAACTATAAGGGTCTAAAACGCGAGCCAATCCATAAGAAAGTCCCCATTTCCCACGGAACTGAAGTTGAACCATCACACGGAGGAACCCCGGTTCATATCCCAAACGTCGTTTCTCCACTTAAGCAACCTGAACCAGATCTACTCAATTTCGTCATCAGCGTGAATGGGAAGCACAACGGATATTACCAAGCAGACAAACAGTGGAACGTAGACTGCAACCAAGATCACTATTCCTACACCTACGGTTACATCACAGCCGTATGGTGAGGTCAAAGACCTTGAATGTTTTTCACCACAACCAGACAAAAGGATATTTCAGCGATGACAAAGGCAATGACCATGATCTGACTTTCCAGGGATGACAAGGACAAATTTGCCGATGTGGACAAGGTGAAGTGTTCGGGAAACAGGAATGCATACGGAGGTATCAAACTTGATACCCACGACAATGTGGTCATCCACCTCTCACGTATGGATCCCTATTTTAAGCCGTACTGCCCAAAAAATTACGTCCTCACAGGTAAGCTGTAAGTTTCTTATTGAAACACCAACTCAACATGTAACAACAAAAATTCACTTTCCTATGAATGCAGGTATATACGACACTCATTATGGCTTCCAACATCTGGTGAATGGCAAATGCACCCGAGTGAAATATGGGTATGTGGACAACGAGAAATGCATCGAGATTGAGACTGATTATAAATCAGGAGGGACCTATGATCCAAATCAGTCATGGAAGGTTGAATGCCCACCATATCATGGTGCCGTTGGACTCCTCAGGAACTACGACAAGATTACAGCTCTCAAGTGCTGCCAACTTGTGCGTCATGACCACCATGATACTCAATCTCAGGTTCACTCTCACTTGTGAACAGCAGTACAGTGTTTTTTTCCACATAAGTCAAACTTTCACTCAACTTATACACTTGTGCAGTGTCTTAGTCAAGTGAAAATATCTCTGACTCAAGTGGAAAACCCTGTAGAAGTTATGAGATCCAACCAGCCCACCGACGCCAGGTTGTCAACTGACAACAGGCATGATTTGCTTTGACTTTGTCAACAAGAAAGCTTTATCAAATGAGTCCTAATAAAAACACATCAGTATTATGTACCTTTCCATTGATGGGGCCCTTTTTCTTCAAGGGGCAAGAAAAAATGTGCATACAGATGAACAAAATTACATAACATACTTGCAATGAATACAGGCAATTCTGTATGTTTCCAAGTTGGCTTTGAACCCTAGCACATTCATTAATGCTGTGTTTAGACCTATAGCAATTAAAATAAATCCCTTGAAATCAATTGGAAATTTCACATTCCCAAAAAACTCTGCAGTACCCCAATACTATGCATGAAATTTTTTTAGTTCAGGAATCAAACTTCCAAGAAATCTTGAACAGATAAATGAGAGGCAGCTAAGTCCAGTATTGGTCCACTTATCAAAAAAATATGTAGTTACCATCTGGCCTGGGGAACCAAGCTACCAATGGTATTAGTCTACCATTTGGTCAATCTAGTCGAAGAAATCTCCAACTTCACAAATATATGAAAATGTCACTTGTGAGCTTCTCCATACTGCTGTAGGCCAAAGCCAGAGTTTGCATTTTGTGTTTTCATCACTAGTAATGACATGACCTGGTTAGCATCTGGGAGACTTCACAAATCTCATTGGGACTTGAGAAAATAGGTCATATTAAAGTTTAGCCTATATAGGCCCTTTGGAAAAGGCATATGACCTGAAATGCCTGCTTTGGGATAGGTTGGTATCAAGTTCAGATTTGTGAGGAAGAAGAAAAAAAATCTTATAACATACAATGATTTGTAAAATAAACTCTTATTATCATTAATATTGTACGTGCAAGGAGGTGCAAGAATACTGCCCATGAAATACATGAAGTTAGGCCCATAGAGCCTGTGTCAACCCTTTTGCCCACTTCTTGCCCAACTGAGTATGGGGACTAAAAGAACTAAGCATATTTGCTCATGAGTCAACTCCTGAGACACTTGTTCCAAAGCAAAGGACCCACCTAGACATTTCTCATACAAATGTAGTGACAGTTGACATAAAAAACAACTTAAAAAAATAAGAGGTAGGTTTCCATATTGGGTGAAATTAATGTTTTCATGCCAGAAGAAGTGAAAAAAGTGAGCAGAAAATGATCAAGTACCAAAAAGGTTAAGGTTGGTAATAGCTCCTTTGTAAGTCATTGGAAGTAGACCTGGTCTGTTGATAGTCACAGGGTTTTGCTGATTAATCTTCAGCAGAAGGGGTGTTATTTGGTTGATACTTGTGTCCCCACATTTGCCATGAATCAGTCACCGCAGATGAAAGAAGTGAAAGAGACACAGCGAAATTATGTTTGACAAAGGGTTCACATTGCTATTGGATTAAGCCAGTGTCCTGCCTGCTGTCTCTGCTGGACATGGAGGTACCAGAATTTTAATAAGAAACTTGAAGCATTACAGCATCTCAATAAAGCATGATTTCTCATTTAAATTTGTAGTTGCATTACTTTGGACCCAGTTTGGACTGCAGGAACTAAATAACATTTGGTCCATTTTACCTATACTTTTCTTTACAAATGAATTCAACAAATTTCCAATTGGATCTGACGAAGAAAAAGCAGACATTTGCTATAAAAGAATAGCATTGCTGCAAATAACATAATTTGAAATACTTCCTACTTCTGCCACAGTAGGGGGGAGAGGGAATTAAATTGAAAAGGGTAGTGTTGACATGACAAACTACAGACTCATACCCCTCTCTTTTCGTATTAATCATTTGCATTCACAATTATGAGCTCACTGCATTGAGAGGGCTGTTGAGAATTTCCAAAAACAGTGCATTCTATTGAGTCATGGAGTATGAAGTGGTTACTGTGGTTAGCCAACCATAAGCCAGAACTACCCTGCGTTTGCAACGTTAGCTCAGGCCTTGGCCATCTGGCTGGGTGACTGTCAGCATGCTAAAGAAGTCTTAGCGACTGCAAGCAGTCACTTTGCCATTACCCGGTGACTCTCTTCGCGTGGAGTCAACATATGCTTGAAACTGCGCCTCTCTGATTAGGCTATTCCAGCTGAGATGCACCAAATGTTAGGCCAAATTTGTGACTTACTTGTGGATAGGTGTGAGGTGGGTACTGCTTATCACAGGCTTGTTGACATGCCTCTTGATCTCTGAGGATATCATCGTAAAAGTCTCCACGGATTCCAAGCACAAGCAGGAGAAGGGAAAAGAAACAGAATCCCAAGTTTGGCTGCGGCGCCATCTTTGTTTCCCCTTATCGTCGGTGTCTGCTCATGTGACACGACTGGCTGGCGCTCTTACTCATGAAGACGAATAAAAGGCTTTCTATCCAGGTCCCTCGTGACAAAGCAAATTACTTGTTATTTTCTCATATCATGGAGCTCAAGGATTTTCTTCCCTTTCTACCTTGCTGGCACTGCATATGCGACGATATTGTTTGAAACTGAGTCACCACACTGAAATTGGGTCTTACTGTGCATGTGCCAGGAAGTTCTGCGCTCCACATTCCAATTGAAATCCTGGTCATCATCCAACCGTTTTCACTAATTATGCTTCAATGGACTTGGCTCAAAATTCCCAGTCAGAGATACTAATGGTGTTCTTTTTCATCTCTGAGGATCAGACCTCTTCTCGTAAAGCATGGTACTGGGAGGCAGTGAAGTGAATGTACAGGGTGGGCCAAAAAAACCCGGGCAATTTTCAACGATACCCTACACTGCATATATTTTAATGCGGTTTGCGGCATTCGAAAGAGGAATGCATAAGCTTTAAATCGGTTTACTTATATTTCAATTATATTCCACAGTTTTAGAAATTCGGGAGCTCATATGAACATCTAACAAAAACTGCGTTGCCGCGCACTGCAGACGGCATGTGACCTTCAGCCGCCGCCTGTCCATCCCCACTGCTACAGAAGCAAAGCACTTTTTGTTTGTAGTTCATATGAGCTTCAGAATTTCTGAAACTGCTGAAAATATTTGAAATTTAAGTACACTACGTTAAAACTTGGTCATTCCTCTTTCAAATGTCGCAAACCGCATTAAAATGTATGCATAGAGTGCAGTATTGTGTATCGTTAAAAACAGTCCGTTTCTTCTTGGCCCACCCTGTATAAGCTCTGTGAGAACCATACCACAAGATTTATTTGAGATTCTGTTCTCTGAGAATTCCTTTTTCCAAGACCAAAACTTGACAGTCATGGCAGTATGGATGTGTGACAACAGAACAAAAATATTCTCATCTTATCAAGGATGAAGAAAGCTTTTATCAGAAAGGCATTTCTTTCCAGCTAAATAGTCCAACCCATGGGAATCAAGCAATTAGCAACACAGAACAAAAAAATCACATCTCAAATACAGAACTCTAAATCATACCCATGCCCTGAAATAAGAGAATATTTGAAGCATGTGAAGGACTTCGAAGGACAACACCACATTTGGTTGGACCAGCAAGCAAAAAAAAAAAAATATCCTACTAAAATGGTCAACAACCTGAGGGTTGAATTCACAAACACAACAAAGATCTGCCTCTCTATGGTGACCCTCATGGAAGAGACACTGGTTGATGATCATTCGTAACAGTAAAAGAGAAGATAAGCCTCTCTTTGGCGAGCCTCATCACAGAAAATGTCAGCACTAGAAACAGTGGAGATCAAACTGTCATCACACTTATGCCATTTCTTGTCACGGTGACAGAAAACATCAGCCACATAGTGCCCTGTGGACATAACAAACACAGCCATTCCCTGAGTAAATAATGGCAGGGACAATGACATATATCCAATATCCAAAGATGAGGTGGAAGGAAACCCACCAGATGAGAGAGATGATCCTCTATGGCGAACAATTGCTCTCAGCCTATATCTAGGACCTGAGAGGGTTTCTCTGTCATTATCTGTCTCAATCTCTCCTGAATGCAGTTCTTGGGACTGAGGAAATGAGATAGGAAGAGATATGGTAGAATCAGTAGATGGACAAAGAGCACAGAGATGACAGCACAGAATGCATTCATGACAATTTGTCAAAACTGAGAATTTCAATCTCACTGGATTTCTTGGGGACTGATGCTCCACTGTCTCCAACAGGGATCTACGAATCGCCTCCTGAATTTCATCTTCCTCTGATTTCTCATCCATGAGGCTCCTGGTGATTGCTTCCTAGAAGAAAAAAGTAATACAAACATGAACAGTACCACAAAGGTTAAAGTCACAATGAAAACTGCATAAACCCAAGTTTCAGTCATTACCTGTAAGTCATCCTCAGCATTTTGTGGATTGCTCAGACTCCTAGTTATTGCTTCCTGGTAGAAATAAAAAAGATGGAAAAAGGTTTATAGCAATGGTGGGAGCATTCAAAATTGAAACTTGATTTGAATTGAATAGCATTATAGAGGAATATTTAATTTATTAGGAATAATAAAAATCATGATAGGGTCATCCCACAGTGGCAACATTACGTCTAAACACTTTTTGAATTCCAGACATGTGCACATGGGTACTATGCATGCCACCAAATGTAAAAACTAGGTAGTCATCAGGTAACCATGCTCTTTTGAGGAAAAACTGCATAAATCATACCATGATAATTCTTTCTCTCATGATCAAACTATAAGAAAGGCAAGTTGATTAGGGGGAATGTTACTTTAAAAAGACATAAAGTTACAGTATCTCTGACCCAATGCATTTTTTCTCGGGCTCTATGTATGATGCTAAACCAAAACAAGCCCTTCTAATGGGTGAAATCTTGATACTTTCAGAATTATACATCATAAAAAGTTTTCCATGTTTATAAAGTGTAACAAAATTTAATTGTGCATGTCAAATGTGGCAGTCTTATTCAACTAGTCATTATACAGAAAAGAAAGCTGCATTCTATATTTCTGGGAAGCTTATCCACATCATAAGTGCAAAGAAAAAATGCTTAAGACAGCAATTAAAAAGCCTTCAGTGGATGCATTGAGAATATGCATATGTCTGCACAGATAGTGGCATTACTATGCCATTGTAAGAAAATAAATATGAATTAGATACTAACTAAACACAAAATAGTGAATACCTGAAAAGGCTACGACATCAGATAATGTTTGATTTTTAAAGAGCTGATTTTTTAAATTTAAATAGCAGACTCTACCAATTACATATGACATGCAAGGGGAAAAATTGATGATAATTGCACTCCATGTCACCCTTTATGCATAATGACCAAAAAGCACTCCAAAGATCTTGGATAAATTTAATTCAGATTAAAAAAAAATGGTTCTGCAGGTTTGCACCAGATTGAGGATTCCTCTCTTGCTTGATTATGGAGCTTGATGCACATTAATACTCAAACTAAATGGAATTCACCTTTAATTTTATGTTTGGAGTTTCTGAGATTCAAATCCAAGCAAGTATTCAAAGTCTGACTTGCTTCTAGAGAATTAGGTTAATTATGAGATTCAATATCAAGATTTCAATCAAATTTAAAGATTTGGGATTGAAGTCTGAGACATGACTAGTGATGCAAGGTGCATCCATGCTATCTCTGACTTAATGGAGGATTCAATCTTGAAAAGAGGCTCCAAACCTAAGAACACACATCTTCCCATTCCTGAAAACCAGGAATTCTAATCTCAATACTGACTATTTAGAACTCTTATTGTGACTCCCTTAGAAAGAAAGTGAGGATTAAATCAGACAGAGGGAATATAGACCTGAGTCTGAGTCTCAATGTCTTCTTCCCATATGGGATGTGCTTTTTCAGGAGTTTTGTGGACATCAGGCAAAAGAGGAATATCATCCTCCACATCATCCTCTGAAGGCTGTTCTTCAATCACATGGACATCACTTGCATGATTCTCCTGCTGCTCATTCAAGGTTTCACTATGAGAGAGATGACCAGAATCTAATAAATGCCCATGAAGGCAATATGTAGGACAAGAGAGAACAAAATAAATTTACACAAATGGTGACTTGGCCCCATCTGGAACAACAGACGGTAGTACCACACCAATGCATAAGAAAGGGGATAGGTTCAGCTCCCGAGATAGAATGATTCTTCTGTCTGACTTCATTAGGCTAGAGTCATATCTCTTGATCTGCACCACCAGCACCCTGGAGGGAACATTCAACATGGAGATATATTTTGGAGTTAAGGGAATACCCATCCAATTTCATTCCCTTTTCCTACTGTGCCTGTCAAAGGGATGTTTATGCCACAAAATAATGCAGCTTTCACACAGTAGATACCACCTGCACTCCAAATTAGCCAAATCCTGAAAGAACTCACGGTGGGAGCTGTGAGATGCGAGTGGAAACGTTTGAAATTTTCCCAGAGCAATAATCACATTTTGATTCCCTTTCTTCCATTTTCAGGCTCTGATGAAGGCAATCTTGGACTGTTACTATGTCATTATTCCCAGATGTTAAGCTTACAAACATAAACAAGTTCTCTTGGGTCTTGTGTGTCACCTGTCCACATCTGAAACAAAATTGTGAATGATAGTTGATAAAATATTCCTCCAGAGAATTTAAAGCTAAGAATCAAGCACAGAATAGAATAAGACATTCAATGCAAAATGGAGAAGCAGGTGAATAGGCACCAAAAGTAATAGTGGCATATGCATTCAAATGGCAATTTTGAGCATTCAATCGACTTAGAATGTCAAACTCATTTCAGCAAAAAAACTTAATGCCAGTTACTGGACCACTATAAGGGGAGGCAAATTTCCATGGACAACTGCCACCTGATATTAGCAAAGGATTCACCAAAATTCGCCCCTTCATTCTCAACTTCTAGTTATCTGCCATCTGCATAGAGTTGTTCATATTACCTCTGGGTAAAAGAAAAGATCAAAGGCACTGCCTCTGAGTGTTGCACACTATTCCATTCCTGATTCGTGGCTAAAGCATCAAACTTTGTCACAACTCACTGTGTGCATTGGAGTTTCTCAATCATTTTAATCTCAAAGTGTTTCCGGATATCACTGGCATCCGATCTTCTTTTCCTTGGTGAGTTTGAGATTTCTTGAAGAGGTTGAGGTTCACCTGCAAGTTTTTTCTGTTCACCAGCCACTTGATCCAGCAAGAGGATAAGAAACTCACTTGCATCCTGCATTCTGTTCACCGAGAAGTCAGGAATGTGCTTTGAAACAGCACTGCAGAGGGTCCTGTTAGAGGATTAAATAGCTTTCAGTTCTTAAAGACTTCATAAATTCTACTCATAAAGAATTGAGGAACTAACTGGAGGGATCTGGCAGTTGCTTCAGAGTTCCCAGGATGATCTCGACAGGCAGCAACTTCACAAAGGGTACTAAGGAAGGTGGAATCAATCACAGAAGAATAATGCTTCCTGAGATCTTGTTCAAATGCAGGAATGGACAAGATGCTCTGCAATGTTGCATTCATGTAGCATGTCATTCCAAAATTTGTGAATCTAGAAGAAAAGGATATGCAGAGAGTATGTTCTGGAATATCAGTTATGTTCATGTACAGCACATGAAGTTGATCAGACTCACCCTGATATACAATTAATTTGGGGCAAGGATGACTTCCTCATGGGATCAAGACATTTGCCAACATCAGGAACATATGGAGATTCTTCTGATGTTGTAGGGGCTGTGGAACTTGAGGTCTCTTTAGCACGATCAGGAAAATTTCTTCCTACTGATTCATATGATACTGGACTCTTGTTTGCCAGTCCATAAGGAAAAGTACTAACAGGTTTGCTACTTCTGGGTGTGCCACTAAGGCGCTCTGTTCTTTTTCCAACCCATCTGGAGACTGAACTCTTATTTAGAAAGGTGGGGCTCCAGGCTTGCGTCCCATAGAACTTGGTACGACTCAACTTTCCTCCTTCAGATGAAGTGGATGCTTGCAAATTGTCAGACGTGGACCTTGGGGATTGAGGCCCATTGGAATCCCCAAAGTTCTTGGAATGTCTACAAGCTTCAACACTTGGGGCAGTAGGGAGTGGACGAAATGGAGAAATTTTCTTTTTTTGACTTGAAGAATGGGAATTTTCTGGAGATTTCCTCTTTGAGGGGGATGAAAAGGTGGGAGGAACGTCTTGGACAGTGTTCTGACTCTGTTCTGCACTGTGTGATGAATTCCAAGAAAGTTCGCCTTGAGTTTGCAAAAATGAGAACCTTCCATTTTCCACCATCTGCTTCCCAAAAGAGTCCTGCTGATTTGAACTTTCACTCTCTTGAGTATGAGGTATTGTCACTCTTTGATCTTTTGCCATCGTGACCCGATAATTGGAGTGGTAATTCCTCTTGGCATTATCTGCACTCCTGAAAAGCATCTTCCTGCTCTGAGGTGGAGGTCCGGTCCTTAACACTGGTGTCTTAGCAGAGCTCTGTCTTGAATGATTTGACATAGTGGCATGAGACTCCATGAACAAGGGACTTGAATCTTCTGGCTCAAGTCTCTTCTGGTTCTGGAACACCTCTTCATCACTTTCTTCACTTGTGCTGATATTGATGCTTGGTTTGTGCTTATTGTGCAGGGCACCAGTGCTCTGGCTGGTTAGCCTTGCCTTCTGCATTTTCATAACATGCATCTTAGTAGCTTTGGTGAGGTATTCAGGAGAGCTTGGAAGACTCAAAGAATGAGAGGAGTCCTCAGAGTCATGGAGAAAACTAGAAACAGTCTTTTGTGGAGATTTCTGATGACGAAGTTTCTTTTCTTGAGCCTCCTGATGACGAAGTTTCTTTTCTTGAGCCTCCTGATGATGAATATTTTTTTCTTGACCCTTCCAATGGTGGAATCCTTTTCCTTGAGCCTTCTGACCAGGTACTCCTTTGTCACTCCTGCAAGGAGAAAAAGAAATAAAAAACATTGTCACGAGTAACATACCTCTCATTTTATGATTATGAATGGGAATACAGCAGAATGGAGTCTGTGCTCAAAGAAATCCTACAAAATTGAAAGGATATCAGAGCAGAGTTTCAAACATATAATCACACAGAGATGTAGTGCCAAAAAACTACACGACAGCAGATATATTCAAAGTTGAAGTTAAATTTACTAGGCCCAATAACAGTATGATAGTAGGACTTGGAGAGCTTTTAGGATTCATAAGCAAATCTATAAAGCCAAATAGAGGAGACTGGGGTACCAGAGGTGCAACTAAGGTTATAGGGTTGGATTTTCTCTTCATTAAGACCTGAAAACTACAGAGAGGAGGGTCAAGAGTGTGAACCTCCTCTAAATCTTGATGAGCCTCCTCCCCCCATGTGCACTTGGGGATGGAGAAATGAATGCCTTTCTTATGATTGCTTCAAACATTCCTGCAGTCACCAAAGTCTCCTATCAGCATCCTATCCCCAAGGTCATATAGATCAATATCCAACTTCTTTGTGTTCTTTGCTTGAGTTGCAGATAACTTTTCACTTGACTTGAGAAAAGGAACTCCACACTTGTGCACAGCCTGTTCCTCATATATGAGTGCCTGAATTAATTGAAGACTTGTCTAACTGAAGTGGAAAGCATTAACATGTTGACCGAGAAATTATAATTAAATTTCATTTATTTTAAAACTTACTGTCCAATTAATACAAGACAACATTGATAAAATCCTCACAGGCCATCCCCCAAAATGTTGATCCTTTATCTACATCTTTATCTTTATCCCAACAGCCTTTCATTCTGTTAATACTGCATATGGGATGCCAGAATGTTGCAAGGCCCAGCAAATTCAAGAGCATACAACTTGTCAGCATCCTGGATGGAAGTGAATGAGTAAAATACTTTTCCATGGCCTTGTCATGGCACAATGTATTTTATATGAAATCTCAAAGGCCTGTCAGATAATATCCATTTATGCCCATTGAATGAAGACCCTTTATGGGATTTACACAAGGAAGAAATTGGTCAACACATGCTGCTATTCCTCACATTTAAGAAGATGGTCAATAGAATATTCACTCTTTCTGCAAAGAGTTGGAGAATTTTGTATATAGACCACTTTTCCTTTCTGCCTTTCAATTTCAAGTTTCAGCCTTTCCAGCCTTGTGACACACCTCAAAACCTCATACAAATGTAAGGGGTGATATGACGGTTCTGCCTATAAATTACATGCAGTTCCATCTATAGTAAAGCTGCAGAAAACACAATGTCCTACACTACCCAGTCTCCCCTACTTAAACCAGACAAAATATGATGCAGGGTTAAGTATTCATAGCTGATGGAAAACTATGAAAATATCAGTTTAATGCAAAAATATGTGGAAATATGAGTGCCTCTTGAAATTGTGCTAAGTCAGCAGTAATTCCCAATTGTGGATTTGAGAAAATAGGAAAATTTCACTTTTGAGGTAGTAACAACACAATATTGTTTCAACAATTTCACATATATGGTAGACAATTTGAAATGTTCAAAACATTAATATGTTTTTCTGCAATGGGTAAGTCTTCCCTTTTCATTTTTGCAAAGAATGGTTTAATTAGGTTTATATTATAATTACACCATGCCAGCAGCCTTATGGGAAGATATAAGCAGAGGCTTAAACTAGTCTCTTTATTGTTGACCTTTTACTGACCCTTCACCTTCCAGAAGGATTAGTTCTTAATTGGTCAAATGATGAAGCATCATTCCGTTTCTTCCTTCGCTTCCTCAGCTCTTTCCAGCTGAGTTGCTGTCTGGAGTATGTCCTGAGGTCATCACATTGCAGCAACGAGTGTTCGTCTTCCTCATCAGGAAAAATAGATCTTCTGAAAGCTTGCTTCTCCTCCTCATTCAGTGAAAAATCAAACTCATGTGTGCCATCAGATGAAGAGGACATTTGTTGAGACACTTTCAAACATCTGAGGCATAGCATCCATCAGAGCACTCTTTCAATACTCTTCCATAATTACTTATCATATGCTTAGATCTGGATTAACTAGACTATGTCCTTGAAAGAATTGGCTCAGGAACTTCAAGCTTATTGAAAACTTGGATGGTTATTCATTTGGAAGCAGCTGAGCATCCCTGGTCTTGAAATCAACATTAGCTAGTCAAAAGTATACCACAATGGATGAAGTTTTAGAGCAAAACTTCAGAAATTTATGAAGGACTCAGAAGAAGAAGTGCTATTGCTGGATGAGCTTGCTTCAGCAAGTTGATGACAGCAATAGCAATTTCAGGATTGCACCACAAGTCAAGTTAACTCTATGTGGTAAAAGGCATGGCTCTTTTTGCAGAGGAAAAGAATTAGTCACTGTAGCAACATAAAATCATCTGGTTTCTATTGTGTCAGTCTATACACCATACCTGGTTTTGATGAAAAATGTAAATAATCTATCCTCAAAGATGTTCACATTATTACTCTGCTTTTTGCAATCTTGATGCTATGTTTGGAGAAATGCTGTTTAAAGGAATGAACTGAATCTGAATGAAGATCTCATTTGCATTAAGCCCACCATTAACCACAGCTCAATTGATACTGATCAGGAAGTTTCAGAGGGCATGAAAGCCAAAACATCAATTCTAAACTTGAAAACCTCAACAATTACTTGTTAGCAAATCTGCATAAACCATAACATAGATAGTGTAACACATAAGGAGCACTCAAGCAGGTGTGGGGATATCTCCCATTGGGAAGTGGCTTTCAATGGTTTAAATGATTCTAGGTGGAACGAATTAATTTTTTAACCTATAAACCAGGGGTCTCAAACTCGCTGCCCACGGCTCACCTGCGTCCACCAAGAGAGTAACGTTTCCGGCCCAATATGGACAATATGTGGTAATGCTAGATTACATTCAATCTACGATTTTACTCTGAATCACTGTGAGGTCCGATCTTGGCGATGAGGCCCACACAACATGCGAGTTGGAGACCCCTGCTCCACATAAACATCGAAACCTTAGCAAACCGTGACACCAATCGAGGCAAGTTGACGTACCATTAGGTTTATGTATGACTGATGTTATATCCTATCGGTGAATAACGTTTCACCAACGCACAACTTAAAATTCGTGAATTCCCGCTTCAGCGAATTCGGCCCTGCCGCGTGCTCTCCTGGGCGCCATAAATACGCAGTGTTGTAGATTAAAGTAATCGAATCTGCAAAGAAAACCTCCACTATAATAATCCGTCCATAAAAAAAATTCCGTCAATGCTCATATATATTACCAGTTCTACTTCTAACAAACAAACAGCAATTGCAAGGAAGTGGAGTTTCAATTGAAAAAAAAAAGAAATAAAATTCAAGAATGTTTCCTCAACAGTGCATGGAACTTCACTGACACGTTGGTACTGGCGTGAAGTCCTCACCTGTGTATGCTTGTTACATATATCTTCGCAGATGTCTAATGCACTGTTGCGAAAGGCACTCCAGACCTTTGAATCTGAAGAAACCAGCACCAAGAGTGGGAAAAAAACGAAATCAGGTTGGCCATCTCTCTTTCTGCTGTAAATTGAGATTTTTGTTAATTCACCGCGAACAGCATGCATCTTCTTTATGGAGTTATATATCAGGGTTGAATATCTGGAATTTTTTTCTTACGATCTCAATGGATCTGATGCTGTGTTTCAAAATGCTGGAGGTTTCTTGCAGGTGAACGAATAGAGAAGATGAAAAGAACTGTTGACTTTTGCCATGTGTGTTACCTAGGCCTAGCAGCTATTGTAAGGTTTTGTCTACTTTTCGGACATTGATGTGGAGAATGCCAGCAGATATGTATGCGAAATTTTATATATTGCTCTGTGCTTCATTGTCATTACAGGAAAAATAAAACGGAAGAAGGCAGAGGCAGACAAAAAGTCTGCAGCAAAAAGAACTCTGAAGATTCTCAAGGTGCTCTCAGCGAAACCGATCTCACAAGAAGCAGCCTCTCGGGTTGGTTGATGAAGGCTTGACAAATCTTAAATGCAGTCCTTAGAAAGTGGAATTTACCAAATGCAATTTTTATGAATATAGGTGTTGGAATCATATAGAGGGAAGCTTGCAAAAGACCAACCTGCCAAGCTGTCTCAGGAGGAGCAGTCTGTGTTCACAGAAGAAGACTTCAATAAGTTTGAAAAGGAGTATTTTGTACAGGGGAGATGCTGATAGGAAGGAATGCCTCTGGTTGTTGGGATCTCTGGTGTTACTTGTAGTGGAAAGACATCTCTTGCCCACCGTCTCCTACTTGGCCTTAGCAACTGCAAGTGCTTCTCACAAGATGACTATTATTACAAGGAGGACTCAGGGAAACTCATCTTCTTACCTGAGCTCAACCAGTTCAACTGGGAAACCCTCTCTGCTCTGGACATGGATAAAATGACATCAGATGTCCAAGAAGCATTATTGAAGCCTTTTAGTATAATTGTTGTGGAGGGTTTCACAATCCTGAATCATCCTCCTCTGAGGGAACTCTTCAACCTCAAATATTTTTTTACTCTTCCATACAAGGAATGCCTACGTCGCAGACAGAGCCGCATTTATAACACACCTGATCCTCCCTCTTATTTTGATCTCATCTTATGGCCACACTACAGGAGGCACCTTGGAGAAGTGACTCACCTAAAAGACATCACCTTCCTTGATGGTTCCATTGGTCTTGCATCTCTATTCCATGTGATAATGTCTGATGTAAATCAGAGAATAAACTAGACTTATGAAGGACAAAAAATGAATTTATTTTGCAGAAACACTATTACAGATCACATTGCAAATGTAGGGAAGCGAGATGAAGAGGAAGCAACATCTTCATCTCCAGCTGTTCCTGTCATCTGTTGCAGGAACTGTGGATTCATGCTGATTTCTTCTTCCATGCTCTTCAACTTCTTCTCCACTTCCATGCAGTCAAACAGCTGCTTTCAAGGAAAATAATGCACAAGCCTCATTAACCTGAGAAAGGATTACTCAATGCTCCACTTTTGCTCAATGAATGATTGGCTTAACAGATGTGGCTTTAATGATCAAAGATAGACCTGGCAAGATTGGAAAAAAAGTACCACCTTCTCTTGCAGGGCCTTGAGCATAGTAGGGTGGTTGTACTTCTCTGGGTTGTCATGGAACACTACCATGCCATCCTTCTTGCTTATAGTAGCATGGATTTCTCCATCTTCAATCTGAAAATAATAGTATTCTGACATTAATAAATGAGCAACAAAGACTGAGCTAAGTAAGATAGGTGCTTCTTACCATTCCAAGAACATATTTCTCAGCTTCTTGTGGTCCAGCCAGTTGCACTCGGGATGCCATATCGCTCAGTGACAATGTCATGAAAGTCTTTGTCAATCCCTGGATTTTTTTCTTGTAGAGAGATGACAAACATTGCTTCACCAGGCCCATGTTCCTATCTCTGCTCCAGAAATCAGAATGATTGTTATTTCTGAGAATTAGTCTGACCAGATATAAGAACGTTTGACCGACTGCAGAAGGTAGTCCTCTGCTCACCTTGTGAACACTTCTTGATGTTTAGTCACAACAGCCTGAATGTTGCTATTATTACTGCAGAATGCATTGGCTAGTTCTTGATAGGGCTGGCATAATGGAACAATGAATCTGGTCACGACCTGAGAGGCATATTTTGGGAGGCGCTGAGTCTGAAATATACATAAAAAAATCTATTGAAGTAATTTAGCATATGATGTGAAAACACCTAATATGAAGTTGGACCCACCCAATTCAATTCTTTCTAAAGAAGTATGGAATTAGATGGTTTGATAATGCTGGAGTCATTGGGGTGAAGATTCTGAAGTGGGGCATTCCAAACCCAAATCAACCAGAGAATAAGCTTGACTATCTCCAATTTTGATGGAATTCAGAAGGGAAGTAGAGAAACTAGTGTGAACAATTTACTTCTATATCTTGTACTATTCTCCAAATATCTACATTTGATCATCTGTTTTTGGCTCCTAGTATTCATGCGAAACAAAACTGTGGAGGTGTTTCCATAATAATTTATTTCCTAATTGAGATGGAAGATTCATTATAATGGCATTTCAATCATGAAAAAGTCTTCTTTCCAATGATGCATTAAAAAAACCTCCAAGTAGAGACTAAAAAATTATAATCAAACAGTTTGACTAACTTCAGTTACCAATATCTATACTTGCCATTCCATTATTTAAATGATCCAATAGTTTCATCAAAATTGCATTTATGTCCTTTCTAATAACGATTTTGCAATTAGCACACTACTGCTTCAAGAGACATGAGCATTTCAAAAAATCACACAATTGAAAATCTGATTCAGAGGTTGTGAGTAACCCCTGCTCAAGTCTCTTCTTTGCATTACATGAACTTCTCAAATAGCAAATCAACTCTATTATCAATGTTTCCAAGGACCTTCATACTTCAGTCATGCTGACCCTGTTCCAGACATGACCTGTGGAATGAGCTACAAGTTCCCTGATGATCCTGATTTGACTTTCGCTTCAAAAAGTAAGTAAAAGAAGTTTCAGATTGGCTTCTTGAAATTGGTTCCTCTACATCTGTGTTGACTTTCATCAAAATCAATAGTTGAACTCATCTATTGACAGATATGACATGAAATGACCCATTAGTTAGAGAGAGTGGCTTCAGGTATTCAATTTGTACATCAATTCAGCACACCACCTATAACTGAGGTGAGTTTCACAAGACATAGCCAGAAAAGGTTCCAACCTGCCCATTACCAGGTACAAGCCTGCATGCAAATTTTCTCTGCAATCAGTCTTAGCTTTCTTTGCTCTCAGCAAAAAATTTTGGATGCTAACACAACTAGATACATACACACAGTATAGATCTCATCAAGTGGACAAGAGGACTCTTCATAGAAAGAAGGCCCATGAAAAGGGAGAGCAGTGGCACTAACCTTTCCATGGACAATGAGAGAAAGCAAAAGGTGCTTCTTGTATGCTTCAAGCATGATATGGGAGACAGCCATGGCAGGTGTGGTGATTGCCACTTCCAGAAAAGAAATGGCCTTCTCATACTGCTTCAAGCTAGCATATATCATGCCCCCATAATAGTAGTACAGAAGGAGGTATTTGGCATCAAACTGTCCCCCCTACACCAGTAAAAAAGAAGGAATTAGAAAACACAAGAATGGAAAAGCATTAAAAATTTTAAAGTGTCACACGAATAGTGAGACTGCAAATTGAAGAGGGTAAGAACTATTCTCACCTCTTTGCTGATTTCTGTTATCTCTGTGTTGAGAAAAGGCAGAGCAGGCTTAGGGCATTTTGCTAGGAGACACAGAAGACATAGGTCACTGTGAATTGAAGTTAGCTGAGAAGATGATAGCCGAATCTTCTGAATGGCTGCAGACAAGAGATCAATCCCTCTCATTGGCTCTCTCCTCTCAACAAGTGCCCGTGTGAATTGATGACAAAGTTCAGCATCTAGAAAAGCATGACCATAGCCCAAGAGAAAACATTCAATAACCTACAGTTTGTGTACTGCACTCATGCTACAGGTCAAGAATTACTCACATGCATCTGGAGCAAATCGAACTTGTTCTCCATTGCATGATGTGATGAATTCTTGAAACTGGGCATACAAGGGTTCAATATCTGGTATGGGATTCTGACTAAATTTCACCACAAGAATTGGCAGGATCCCCAGAGAATGCTCTCCGAGGTCCAAAGTTGCAAGGACGTTGTCCAAGTGTGACACATTTCTGGCCAGAAGCTCAGTGGACTTGGAGATGAAATCATGGAGCTGCACGAAATTTCCTGCAATAAGTAATTCATTCAAGGCTGAACTTGAGGGATTCCTGGGCCTAGACCCACAGTATAGACCTAATGCAGCGTATTTGCTTGCTTCCTGCAATGACTGTTTCACTTAAATGAGAGACTGCTACTCATGATGCGAGGAATTGCCTTTCCGGCATGAACTAACAATTAATAAACAAATTTCACACACGAACCATCAGCAGGTCAGAAGCAGTTGACTGCTATGAACGTAGGCAAGGTATCGTAACTGAACTCTTCATATTGATTGACCAGCATGTACGAGTTCGGTATCAATGAGCCTCCATATTCACGACGTACCTCAGGTCATTTTCACATGGCATTCGGAATGAGAACATGGAATGTGGCACATCCACATGCCTACCTTGTGCGGAAAGACTGCGGACGCTGTTGACAAATTGCTCCAAGGCCGACGCCATCATGGGACGAGCAGGACCATCGTGCGCCCCGAAAGCGGCAAGTGTGTGTGCCTGCAATCTGCGGGGCATTGCGGGTTCACCCGCCTTCGGCTTTTCTATTCGGAGTTCTCATGCATACGGAGCTTGCTTCACAGGGTAGTTTGACCACTTTGATGTCATGGCTCGGGAGGCCGTGCGGGCTTCGCCGAGAACTTTCTTCGGAGGTGTAACGGTTACATTTGCCTCAAAGGGTGCGGAGCGAACTGCCCCACAAGAACGCAACGACCCACTGAGCGCATCGGCAATCTTCGAGATCGAACTTGTTCCCCAGAATGCCATATCGACTTATCACCGTTACGAGCATGTGCGTGCAAACCCCGTCGTTTCAATTCGAAGTGAAGGTAAGCAAGGAAGTCATTCCAAATCCATCGGCCACTGACTCACCGACTGCTCGGAGTCGTTCTTGGACTCGTCCAGAATAGGCAGAGGAATTGAAATTTCTCTCACAACCTCAAAGAAACTGACCTGAAAATGCAATAAGACGCGAGCCCACACGACTCAAGTCGTACCTCTCCCGTCCGGTGGTGTCCAGACCTTCACTCGCCTCGCACCAGATGTCTCTCAAGGAATGAAGCCTTCACTTCACACTCGTTGTGGAGGGCATGGGCCTCCGCAAGCGCATTCGTCTCCATCTTCACCTCAAGTCTCTCCGAGTGGAAATTCTCTAGGCTGTGACACTATAAAGGGTGGGACAAAGGCAGTGGCATTCCTTAAACATGTTCAGCGCCCCGCAAAGGAATTTTTTTCTCCCCTGAGAATTTGCGAAAGTCAACACGCGCCATTCCGAGTTTTTTGTTCGATGGCATTTTAAAAATGATATCTGATTCATACAATATCAGTGATTCACCGAAAAATACGCATGGTAAGCTGCGTAGTCACACAACTGCAGCTTTTGCAAGTCACCCAAAAGCCTAGAAAGCCCTCTTGTACAAGGTAGATGAATCAAAATGCTGTTTGGCAATGCTGTTTCATGGGTTTAGAGGATGAACTCATTGGGCGCTGATAATCCGATCACAATCGTTCGATGACCCACGAATAGATGAGAAATGACGAGTAACTTCTTAGTCAAGTTCAGTGCGATTTTTGTGCTCCCCGTTTTTATTTTCTGGAGATAACTAAAAACAGGTTTTGGTTCACGGCGGAAAAAAGGAACTGCTGACACAGGTGAGTTTGTTTTGGTGAAATAAGAACCGCCAATACTTTCCTTGAGAATAGTGGTGATTTTTCACAATATTGAGCGGAAGATGTTTGTCGCTGCTGATCGGGATCCCCAGATCACCAGATGTGCCACAAAAAGCGGGGAATCGGCTGGGGGTAAAAGCCATGAATGATGAATTACGTTAATTTCTTGAATGGAATAATCCGTCTGAGCTATTTGCCTTGCAGGCCCATTGAAGAGATTTTTTTGTTGTTGACCGAACTGTTTTTACTTCTAACGTTGAATTTACATAATCCTCGCATATTAATTGGCGCTCGGAGTGATGGGTTTAAAAGTTTGCACGAGTCCAGAATTTGAGTCAGACGGAATCGTAGACAGAAGACACGATGTAAAAAAAAAAACCATGACGTCAGCATATCAGGTTTGATCGGACAGAGAATCATTACTTGCAATCCCCATGCCATTATTTCACGATGCCGATCGATTACAGCGCTTCTTTGCTTCTCTCATGATCCCAGCAGATGAGTATTTCAAGTCATTTATCATTTAATGGTTCGATTGAAGTTCCAAAGAAAATGTCATTTGAGAGTGCAATGGTTTAGTTGATAAGTTCTGCTTTCAAGGTCGTGGGAGAAAAAAAAAGTTTGGGGAAATGCAAGCTCTGCTTGACCTCTGGTGGCATGCTTGTAGCACAAGCGATATTGAGACTTATCTCACGCCCAAAGAGAGATAGTATAGCTAGCTCAAAGAGTACATCATCGATGTCAGTGAGACTTCTAAATAAGGTGTGCTGTAGTGAACACAGGTGTGGTACCTCTTACAAAGTGATGTCTAAGTGTGGGATGCAGGCTTCACAAACGTCCTCTTGAAAGCTAATTTTCCCACGAAGTCTCTATTTTTTTTTTTTTGAGAGGATTTTCTGTTCCAAGACTTTCTGAAAATTTGGGAAGTTGCACAAAGACACATGTATAGCTGAAAGACCAAATATGGGAAAACAAGGCTGCTTGACTTTTGATATTATGCAAATGGTAGAGCAGTGAAAAGTAACAAACCTCCTTGCTCCCAGGACTGAGTCAATTTTTGGTCAATTTGTAACTTCACTCATGTATGAAGCCTGAATACATGAACTCACTTGTGAAGTGGATGAATTAGTTGGTTGATCAAAAAATTTCAGGTAGTTGTGATGCATGAGTCAGGACTTGAGAATTTCACATTCTTGTGCTTCAAATTCTTCTGCTCAAACTCATTGCCACTTTATTGCACTTTCATAATCAATGCAGTCCAAGACTGGTCCATAAAATTCATCAATGAAAATAACAGGAGAAAAAACATTTCAAAGAGCATAGGTGTTAGACCATAAAGAGCATGAAACGCTACAATTGTAAAGCCAATGATTAGAATCCCATCAATCTCATGTCACATGCAACAAGGCAACTTTGTTCTTGGTGAGAAGCAAGCAACACTGACAAGATTGATCTCCCACCTGACATTCCGAGTGGGTATAAAACCGGGATGCAGCCATTCGGGGGAAGAAGAATGAGGATGGAAAAGATCTCTTTTGCATTGATGACTTATGCCATGTTGCCAGCCTGGACAGCCTCTTCTCGTATCTGCCCGCAGCCTGCTGCATGACACTCAAGCGACTTCTCCACGAGAACTTCACCTGAATTCATAAATCTGGATGCTCTTTTCAGGAACATGAACCAGATTCAAGCTCTGATACCTGTTGATAATAGCAGGAGTACTAAATCATTTCAACTCCACTGTAATCAATATAATTATTGTATCAGATAAATCTCATGCTCAAAAGAAATGTTTTTGAAAGCACCATACCACCAAGAGATCCTAACAGTTTTGCAATTTGTCAACAACATTGCATATGAAGCTTGCATTTCCATATAGACCTGTCTTTAGCTCCCCCACTATAGTCCATGTATTGGGAAAAAAACCAGTTTCTCTTAACAATAAGATGATTAATGGAGGCAATATGGCTTCGCTTCCCAACAAAGAGGTGAGAGGAGAAAAGTTATTTGACATAGTGAGGCTGAAGGGCAATTTGTGGATTCCCTCCTTGGGGAAGAGATGCAATGTCAAAGATGTGCAGATGAAATACCAACAGCTCAGTTACTGCCTTTCTCCTCTCTTCCTCATCAGTGCAAGTTGCTCAGCTATTATAACAGCAGGTGCTCTCCTGGATATTAGGAAATGAATGTCTTAATATTCGTCAATAAAATCATTGGCCCGAAGTACCTGGGAGGCAAAAGGCAATCCAACAACCCTGCATATGAGACACGTCTCTGAACATGTCATGCTACAGTTCCCTCAAATCTTTCCCTTAACCTAGTTGATGAATGAGGCTATTAAAAGGATTAGCCTTCCCTTTGCTGTTAAGTGCTTCCCGAAATTGGACTTTTTACATGGACTATACAATCCCATCTTTTTCAATCTTGTCATATTTTCGTCCTTAAAATTAAACATTAAATAAACATGGAACTTTTGTTTTTTTCAAAAAGTGAAAATTTAAATCCTGAAAGGATTTGTGAAGAAAATAGTTTCAGGAAATTTGTGATGAACCTGTTTGCATTTTCCATGCAAAAAATATAGGGTGGTTAAGGTTTAGAAACCATCAATAGCAAATTTTTCTAAATGGTTCAACCAAGTTTCCCATATTTGCCCCCCTCAAATTTTGCAATTATTTCCCATGACCTAAGGGGTTCTACTCATGATTCCTATTGCAGTTTCCAAACTACTGTGGCTAGACATCTAGTATCTACATTATTTTACTCATACAGGACTATGTTTCTGAAGTCATATTTTCAAAATGGTAACATTGTATACAATTTTATAAATTTCATATGACACTGACATCATATCAAGCTTTGTACCAAAACCAAAGCAGGGAAGGCTATGATTGCTCAAGGGCTATAAAAGGCTCCAAAGGTGATGCTATTGCAATGAGCAAAAATAGAAATGTGAAAGTAAGATCCATTCCAGCTAGAAATTTCCAACATCTTCAGATTGAATATCATCTTCTACACTAATAGAATAGAGGTGTGCATTTTCATATGATGTAGCTCCAATATTATTATAACAAGAAATGAAAACATACATTGCTCACTGGTTCATTCCTAGAGGTAGACAAGCTATTTCCATATTGAATATAATCCATAATGAAGTTTTTTACATTGTGGTTGAGGTTAGACAGTGAAGATTTTTCTCACTAGATTCCCCAAGTTCTTGAAATATGCCCTCCTGAATTTGGAGATGTTGGAATCAGCAGATGTCAAAATTTTGGAGCTTTAGAGCTCTTACTAATGTTTTTTTTTTTACCCTTCGTCATTTAAAGAAAAGACAATAGCTTTAAAATTAAACCTTTCACCAGGTTTGGTGGTTGAATGATTCTGGTTTTCAAGAAAAGTGAAGGAAGCAAGTGATTGAATCCAGGTGGTGGCAGGCTCTTCCTCTGCTGACAGACAATCCACATGCTTTCAGAGGAAGTGTCTAAATAGCATGGAATAACACACATGCTACTTTGTGTGCCATGTGAAGGAGATATGGGTTCAGTACACCTTAAAAATCACTCATGCCCGTCATGGGCTTATGCAACTAGTGAGCTGCCCACAAAGCCTCCTACAGGACTGCAGAGGGGTGCCCCTGCCAGAGGGACTATGATGCCTAGCGTGGTGCTTGTACTATGCAGGCACCCCCTTCTTCCAGTGTATCCTAGTCTGCCTGTTGTCACTTGTGTCTGGTGCATGTCCTGCCTCAAAAAAAAAAAAAAAATTAATGATAAAATAAAATAAAAGTAAATTTAAAAAAATTAAACATTCCACTTACAGGGAAAATCGATTTTGCAAATTCCAAAATTTTTGAAACTTCTGAGAAATTAAACACTCAATATTCTCAACTAATTTTCAAAATGAAAATGTGAATGTCATGGAACAATCCAAGAGTAGTTCTCTTTCTTCGTGTCATTTTTTCAGCCTTGGAAGTGCTTGAACTGGGCTTCTCAATGACATAAATGACAGAAATATAAAACTATAATATGATCAAACCCATTGGAATTCAAGTCAGCAAATATGCTAATCTTACCATATTACATACCAGTATTTCTAACCAACCAGGAGATCTAAAACAAGTTACATGTTGGTAAGGACTCAAACAAGGATTATAATATATTCAAGTAAGGAATGTCCTAACCTTTGCCCACTTTTTTCATTAGCAAAGGATCATCACCAGTAATAAGCCTACATAAGTTTTCTTGACAAACTGGGCATCCTCTCTATTTCTCACCATTCAGAGCTGCGGTGATAATAATAGCCCTCGATGCTTGCAGTGGACTTTGTGAAGCAAATGTAATAAAAACCAGCGAAAGAGGCTCCTGTGATGTCTCTGATAGTATGGTCAGGGACTAAAAAATGCTCTTTCCACCTCATAAAGATGTGATCTGTCTCCTTCAAGGCATCATAGTCAAAGGAGTCTGCATTGAAGGTATTCTTGTAATGGTCTTCCCACACCTTGAACTTCCTCTGCACAGGGAATAAAAACATCAAGTCATAAGTGCACAATGATAGGTAAGACTCAGTTGTAAATTCTACAAATTTCCAGTCTTACCCAATGCTTCCTGTCAACCTCTTCATCAGCTTCCCATTTTCTAGTGAGGAAGGGGTACTTCTTGCTGATGATTTCACCATCAAAAAATGTTGTCAATGTTGGATATTCTTCTGTCAGATCCTTGATCTTCAAATAACCACACAGGTAAGAATTCTCTTCATCAACATGCTGAAAATAGCAAAAACAATCAGGGGCTATCCTATCAACACTGGGATGCCATCATGTCTAAGAGTGCACAACTACTTATGAAGTGACTTCATACTCTTTTGGATTCATTATTTTCTCCCTCCCTTCCTAGAAAATTAAAAAATTATTATGGAAAAACAAGGACTGCCTGAAAAAACCATAAAAATCTATCTTTTGAATATGACCTTATCATGAGTTGCTTTGAAATGATCAAACTTCACATGGACCTCAACTTTCCTCTTCTTATGTTCAAAAGGTAACTTCAAATTTATTGAGACATGCCAAAAATTGAGATTTAAAGAAAATAGCTAGAAATATTGTGTGTAAAATTAAGCAATCATGACAAGTAGGGGATGTTCTTACAATTCAGAAATGAACTACTTGGCAATATCTACTATGGGATAGGATTCTACTTTAAGAAGAAAGTATACTGATCCACCATCCCATGGAAGAGTGTTTTCAAGTTCTTTGTGGAAATGCAGTATGTAACCTTCCATGCCTCTCTTGAATGTGCTACCTTGATTTTCAATCTAGCACTTTGCTGCAAAAGCTGGATCTGCCATTGATAACTATACTCAACTGATCATCAATCAAATATAACAGATGGAATTTTAAAGGTGGTACAAACCCATTTGCAAATCATTGTAATGCTTTTCATATACATTTCACTTTAACTACATTCCATATTTCCAATCAAGCTCCCCTGACTCTATAGCCCTGATACAGCTATGTTATGTTGCTTCTCTTATAGGTAAGTCTAAAATGGCAGCCTAAGCAGTCACATGTCTAGTGTTTTATTCCCTTCCATGGTTCATTCATTTGGACAATCCTTTCTGCCAAATCTTACTGAATTAGCAAGAGTCACAGATAGAAACCTTTAAAATCAATCTATGAAGTACAAAACACTCTCGTTGGCTGTACAACCTGAAACAACACCATACTGAAAATGCATAAGCCTACCTGTAAAACCACTTCCACATCATAGCAGTTGCCTTTGGACTTTTGGTGACCCTGGAATCTTGAACCATTGTACAGCAAAGACTGTGCCACTCCAGGTTGATTTGAATTGGCTGGAGGTGGGGGATTGAGGTAAGTTCTGACTGGCATTCCTGCTGTTATAGACTGATGCCACACTCCTTGATTTTGCTGATCTGTAAAGCATCAAGAGTCAGAGTAAAATATATATTGGGATTCATGGTAAAAGAGCCTAGAATTAGGAAAAGGTTAGTATATAGGTCTAGCCAGAACAATATGTGATATGACCTTCAACCTTGAGTGAATTCTATGAATAGGTCTACATTAGAATGCTAGGCCTAGCCTTTACCAAAAGGCTTCCCTCGAGAGCAACTTTCGCCAGTGTCCGAACGCTAACTGAGGGGTCCAATGCTTCAAGGCGACTGCATAACGTGCACAGAACAGATAAGCCTAGTAGCGACAGTGGCAACAGGCTCAGACTGTGGGTGTGGCATGAGCCATAGCCCATGAGCGATGTTGAGCAGAGTCCTGAGCGGGCTGCGGATTGTCCAACCTAACTCTTCGGGTACGGTCGGCCGCCGAAAATTTTCTCGATGGGAGTTCGCATCAGGCATGGTCGGACTGGAACAATAGAATCCCTTACCTACGAAAAGAAGTTTCTCCCAATTCAACGGATTCCCAGAAAATTCCATTATGAAATGAGGCCGGTTCTGGTTAAACGCTGTGCATATCACTCACTAAGATGGCTTTTTAATGTGCACTGTAATTACCTAGAAAGTATCCCACTCAAAAACGCCTTGGGGCCAAGACTATGAAGCGTGTTGCCACAGCAAAGCCATGACCACGACTCACGGAGGATCAATTGCCTAGGCGTATCTTACAGTATCACCATTGCATCCTTAGCATATCGCCCAGAAATGTCACGAGGAAACGTATAAGATACGCCGATGATACCGCAGCAGAGACCATAATTCATAATGAAGCCGACAGCTCTACAGAGAGAGTAGACAACAGAAATAGACTCATTTCCAGCTATTTTTTTCAGGCCCCCGCATTCCCCAGACTCGACATCAGAAATCCAGTCATGGAATCACGGGTGCACGCCCACAGCCTGAAGAATGCCCTCACGAGAGAGGTTGCCCTCGCGAGAGAGGTTCCCTTCATCCCAGACGAAAGGAGTCTGGCAGCGGTAATGCCCACGGTTGCACGCACGCAATGCATTGCGAATGCACGAACCTCAACGCTAATTACGCCGTGGCGGTGCCCCGGTGCCAAGATTTGTCAAGTGCGCATTACTGCAATTGATTCCCCGCGAATCACTTGTCATAGCTTTGCCATGGCACCCGCACCGTCGAACAAATGCCGCCTTCGTCAGTGAAAGGGAAAATAATGCAATAATTTCGGCACTTACATCATGTCAACCTTGACCTCGTTGAGAGGGAATCGCCTGCACGAAAGGTCAAAAGGCCACAGGGAGTCTGAAATTAATAACTTAATTTCCTGTGAACCACTGTTGCTGGAGCCCAAGATCACACGGATCTGGGTATTTCTAGGTACTTCTGGGTACTTCTGGGTACCGAGTACCGGAAACCCTCCTCTCGTGCAAAATGCGAGAGCGAAAAGCAAAAAGCGAATGACCCCAGCCGGGAAGAGATGGGAATTCCAGGCCTTGTTTACCGCCGAGAGAAAGTTGTTTACAAGGGATCACAAAGGCAGAAAAGAGGAAAAACAAAATTTCTCCAGCCAGTCTCGCATGATCCACGGATCCGACCATGCACCTCTGGAATCTCGTCTCCGCCGTGAGTTACGATCCAAAAAAACCTTGAAAATCCTTTGCATGTCCTTTAAATGAAATTGTGAAAGGCTCTTTCATCGCTGGGGCCAAATCTAAATTTAAACCAACTAAAAATTCAGATAGAGTTTGGATAGAGATTAAGTTACAGAATTTATCTTCATGTTGGTTCGCAGCATGTCGATAGGTCGGCCAGTCGGTAGGTCGATGGGTCGGTTGGTCGATAGGTCGGTTTTCACAGTTCCTTTTCTCTCGCCGACACCTAAGACGTCGACGACCGATCGTGGTTGTCATACAAGGTACATGTACGCCTAAATATAAATTTAAAAAAGTTGGCATATGCAAAAAAAAAGGAGCTGGGAGGGAAGTTTTTTTTCTATTCATTTTTGTACTAACTTACTAACCCGAATGAGTGAGAAAATTCTTTTCCAATAGGCAAATGCAAATTTTATGCGGCTGAGACGCTGCTTGGACCTCGTGTCAATTCGTGGCGGTCAGCTTCTCTAAAGTTCGATCAATTACATGAAATTTAAATATCTATTCCCATATTCAGCTGTAAAGTGGAGTCCATCACGAACTTACAACTTTAATTTATATCGAAAAATCTGATGAAGCCGAATGGAATTTCTCAGAATTACCTGGATCGGTGCTCCGGTTCGTCAACATTGATGACTACGAGCTTGGATCGTACAGGATCGAAAATCCTCTCAACCCGACGATAGATCAGGTTTCATCGGCGTCTGGAATTTTTAAGTTTGCATGGAATGCCCCCGACCGACTCGCCCCGGCTGTCGTCTGCTTCGCTAGATCGAAGCTGATCGGAGTCTCGCGCGGCAGTCCTCGTCTGGCTGGGAGGGCGAGAGGTCGCGGGCGCCTTCGCCTTTGTCTCTTCCTCTGGCGGGCTTGCAGCGTTCAGTCGTCCCGCGACTTCATCTCGAGAGTTTCTAGGCCTGGGTATTTCGTAGGAAGTGGAGGCTGGGATGGAAGTTGATGGGGGTCCATCCTTCTTATTTTATTTTTAAATGCAGTCTTCAGGTTTGCTATTCCCCACGAACCACTCTTCCCTGGGGCTGCTCTCAACTGCATTCGAGGACACCTAGTCAGTGACGTAACGAGGGTGGGGGGGCTTCAGTCCCTCCAAGTTTGGCTCAAGCCCCCCCCCCCCCCCCAACTCTGGTCAGAATGCAATCCCCTTCGGCGAGAAGTAAGGGAAATTCTAGCCCCCTCCCCCCCACCGTTCTGTTTAGCCCCCCCATTGGCGAAATCCTGGCTATGCCACTGCACCTAATGATCATAATCATCACAAATAGCAGAGTTACACTGTATCGACCGACGTCTCTTTTTCCTGAACGAGTGAAGTGCTTCACAACTTGACGGTAGGGCTCATACCGTGAAGCACGTGTAAATGGGGAGGAGGGCGATCCGAAATCACTTAAGATCGAGGGTCTCTATCCCCTAAGAGAGACATCAAGCAACTTACTGAACGACGCACCCAAACGGAAGTCTGCAGTCGCTGTCCTCTCTGGGCACTGCATTTCGCCTCGTCAGAGCGGAAAATGTCCCCCAAGGTAATTGTGCCGAGGAAAGGGTTTCAGACTCGAAACAGGCGCTGTCTCTCGGCGTGACTGAGAGGGAAGCCTCATCATGTCTTGCAAGAGAAAATGTAATCAGACTTCCTACTATAGGTTCATTCAGAACCCAATTGACGACATAATAGGGTCTCATGGGGTGTAACCGGTACTAGGCTTGCCTGCTATCAACCCCAGACAATAGGCTAAGATTCTTACCCCAGAGAATCAGTGGCGTAGCGAGGTGGGGGGGTTTCTTTTCCAGCCCAACTCCGCCACCGTCCCGAAAATCATTTCTGGCTATTTTAGTGGGAAGCTGGATAAACTTTTAGTCACCTCTCTCTCCGTTCCCTCTTTAGAGAAATCCTGGCTACGCCATTGCAGGAAATATACCCATATTGAATATGACAGCTCTCCTCGTTCATCGCTCTACACTAATTTTTTTTTTTTTTTTTTTTTTACTGAGCCTTTACATTCTTGGGCGCTGTCATTTGGGGCGAAGGCCGCGCAAAAAAATGCCGCCAATGCCAAAAAAAGGCCGTCCTCACGTGCCAACGCACGTGAGGACGATACTTTCGAGCAAATATCGAGCAGAAATGATTGTCATGCCGCAGAAAATTCAAGGAAATGCACGGAGACTGCGTCTGGGTTTTGCATTTTACCCTGGTCAGATTGACCTAAATCTTTCAGGACATGTAAGGAAAAGTATATATAAATTTTAATAAATTATTTAAAAAATCATACAAAAGAAATCACCTCGACTGACCATTTTTTGCACCTTTTCGTTCGCAAAGGTCGCCTTAGTCGCCATAAGTCGCCCTTTTAATGAAGTCTGCACGCGCACTTTCGTCCGGAAGACTTCGAAACTGCTCTGTGTTAGACAAATTCGTTCATTATTCGAGTTCATTTGCATGAACTCGAATAACACGATAGACAAGTTGGAGCGAAAACGTGCTGGCTTCCCCTTTTGACAACTTGCAGGAACTCAACAATTTTACTCGCAACTTTCAAACCGTCTCTGCGGCTAAACCAGATTACCAGATTACCCGCGTAATCAGGTTACGCGGGACTTCTCCGAACCGGTATTGACCCTGACGGGGAAAAAGTCTGTCGGCAAGTGAAGGCGAAGAAGCTCCTTGACCGATTTTGGTTCCGAGTCGACCTCGAGTCGACCTTGACCCGTGGGAAACGGCAATTTTTAATGCGTTCTGCGATGACTGCTCTCAGGCATTTCGATCGGGTATCGCTTCTTGGAGTTCACGAAAGAATTGTTCCGGGTGAAATGGGGAGTCCCGGTCCCCCGTGGCAATATTGGATCAATATTGACTGCCAGGCAATATGCGTCTCCATATTGGCACCCGTCTTGGACCATCATTGGGATTACGACCCGGAAAAATATCAGATCTATATTGGCGCTGGTATTTGCTCTATATTCATTACCCAGCGGAGATATTCCCATGGTGGAGACATTCATGCCTGCAATACGGAGCCTCTATTAGCATAATCCCGGGTTATAGGGATACAGGATATAGGAATACAGGCTTCGTATTCAGTAAACGCGTGCAGGCTCCTCTGCGTGGTATCGATTCCGATGCTACGATGTACGACATCAATATTACCCTACGACGTATAAAATACGACGAGGACATGGCGTAGAAAGGGGTCTTTATGGCGTCGAGTTAGAGAAATCGTTGAAGCATTGCTGGAACAGGTCAATTTTATGACTCCATTTTGAACGACTGTCGATTTTTATTCAGACAACCTAGGGACACGAAACTTCCAAATAAATTTTGTTGTGTTTCCAACGTGATACAAAAACATCACGAACACAGATCATCCACGAAGGGTTTTACAAAGCGTCCAACGGAAGGTTTTATTTTATCCATCCTATATTTCCCTGGATCGATTTAAGGTTTGGTTTTAAGGCTGATCCTCCTTTTCGTTTCCTCCAGGCTGTTCTCATGGCGTCAGTCGCGGCTGGGAAGGACCCGGTTGGAGGCGACGAGGGTCGGCCGGCTGGGGGTCTGGAATCCGCGAAGGATCGTTCCGACGTGAGAGCCGGTTTCATTTCTCATTGATTTTTGCCCCGAGTGGGTCTTGGGGGAGGATGGAGTGACCGAAGAGAGGAGACGGGTTGTCTCTTTTTAAACGAGTCGATTCCAAGTCTCGTTCTGGTGTTTGCTTCAAGCATCGTGAGACACGACCGAGTCGATAGTTCCTTTTTCGTACAGGGTTCGTACAAGTACAAGTTCCACGTTCGGGACAAGGCAGCAGGGAATTACCAGAGTCGGATCGAGGAGAAGAAAGGTGACCACGTGGTGGGGAGTTACTCTTATGTCTTGCCGGATGGGGCCCAGTACAGCGTGCATTACGTGGTGGGGCCCAAAACGGGTTTCGTACCCATCGTTCAAAGGCAGGTTTTCAACCCAGAGCAAGGGGAGGAAGAAGACTTGCTAAAGAGTCAGCGGCTGCAGGTTTCTCCTCAGCTCAGGACGATTCCGGGCATCATTCTTCCGCCAAGAGATTTCGATGTCCACGCCATCGTCAGTATTACTTTCCCCAATTCAGATGACCTTTTATTCGCATCTACAATTATATGAGGATGTCTGGGTTTCTTTTCTACAGCTGCGGGAGAAAGCAGCAAGGGCTGATGCCAGAAGAAAAGCAGCAGCTGCACGGAGAGCAGAAGAGGCCAGGAAAGCTGAAGGGGCCAGGAGAGCAGAAGAGGCCAGGAAAGCAGAAGAGGCAAGGAGAGCAGAAGAGGCCAGGAAAGTAGAAGAGGAACACAAAGTAGAGGAGGCAAGGAGGATTGAGGAAGCAAGAAAGGCAGAGGAAGGGAGAAAGGTAGAGGAAGACAGAGAGGTAGAAGAAGAAAAGGCAGTAGAAACAAGAATGGCAGCAGGAGCAAGAAGAGCTGAAGACATGAGCAAAGCTGAGAACAACACAGCAGAGTGGGATAAGGTGGAACCAGAAAGAACAGAAGATGGGGGAGGAATCCAAGAAGTCAACCATGACGACCCAACAGACAAAGACGATTATGAAGGAAGAAAGGAGAAGAGGGAGGAAGAAGTTGCATGGGGAGAAAAACTGAGAGAAGGACCGCTGACCCGTCAAGACACTCCTCTTCCTCTGAGGGAGGGTGACAGAGACAAAAAATCCCAGCACAAGCATATACCCACCACTTACATTGAGACTGATCACTACACTGTCAGGTTTTGATTCGCTCTTTCACTCCCAGGCTTCATGAGATCTCATCACAGTTTCCACTTTTTAAATCCCATGGCTCCTATTTGGTATTCTCATGTCACATTCCAATAAAGACAATAAATCTACCTAATTAACAACCATAATTCATTCTCAAGAAGGCAACAACAGAAGTGATATTAGCATCACAATTACTCTTGGGATTCTTCTCCCAGGAAATCATCCATGGAGAACTTTGCCTTCTTCTTCAATGGGTCTTGGCTTTCATCTCCACCTAGTAGAAATCAGCCAATTATTAGGATTGCAATATGATTCTATGAAAAAGGAAGATGGATGCAAAATGACTGGACTCACCTGAGTGCTGAAAATGGAGAGCTGTTTTGAGTCTTAGTTCATCCAGAGTTTCATCAGTCTGCGCCCATTCCAAGACGAGACGTCGTCCATAAAAGTGAGTACTGTGACACAGCTGTTTGAAGGCTCTCTGCTCAGGAAAAAAAAAAAATTTATTTGGAAAACCATTCAATTATACAAAGTGTGAATATGGAAGGAATCAAACAGACCTTAGCATCTTGCTTTGTGAGGTATTCGACAAATCCAAAGCCCCTGTGTGATCCAGTGCCTGCCATTTTCTTAGGCAATCTCACAGCTTTCAATTCTCCAAAAGGCCTGAAATAAAATGGATTAACTCATCAAAAGTATAAAGGATAATTATTTTTATCCATATGAGTCACTGATAGGTGGGAACCTGAAGAGCTCAGTGATCTCTTTCTGAGTTGCCTGGAAGGGAATGTTGCGGACAAGGATTTTGGCAGACTTCTGAATTCCTATCTTCGTTTGCTTGTGTGATGTTTTCTGCACATTTCTGAAAGGATATGGCAAGGCAAATGCATATACAGTAGAGAGTGAAGTACAAGGCTAGAAATATGACAGAAAGAACGCAAGACTCACGGAACATGTGTGCGGTTGGAGAACTTGAGCTCAAGGGCATGGTCATCAAGGACACGTCCTTGAAGGGTCTTCATGGCCTCAAGTGCATGCTGTCGCTTTTTAAACTGGACAAACCCATATCCCATTGACAGGAATCCCCCTGTTTTCAGGTCCTTCTTCTTGCTCACTTGGGCATAGTGCAATGGACCTACTTGGGAGAAATGCTGCCAAAAAAAATTTCAGAGAAAAAGAGTCTAATATTTTATTTCAGGCAGCTGAGGTGGATTTTGATGAAGTAAAAGGAATTAACCTTCTTGAGATCAGCATTGGTGGTGGCAAAATTAATATTTTTGACAAACAGAGTGGTTTCAGGCTCTGGTTCCTCTCCTTGTGGCTCATCATTTCCTTCCTCTTCCTCTTTCTCTTTCTCCACCTTCCCTTCATCATCCTCTCCCCTGGAACCAGATCTTTCTTGATGTTCCTTGTCTATGAGAAGGGAGATGAAGAGGGGATTCTTAATTTCAAAGTCAAGAAAGAATACTGAGGAGTAAGAGGTAAGCACATACCAGCTGGAGCTGGAGGTGGAACAGAAGGATCAAAGACGTTACTTGGGGCCCATTCCAAATACAAGGGTCCTGACTTGAATTTGGAGTATGCAAGTTTGGAAAATGCCTGCCTTGCCTCTGAAGGCTGGAAGAATTCCACAATGGCTGCAAAATGAATGAAAAGAGATGAACATGATGGTTATGACTCAACACATCAACACAGTTCAGTGATGAGCAAACCCTATATTACCAAAATTGGTTCTCCAGGTATCAAATAATCAAATCCAGGGTAAAAACAGCGTCTGGATGAAAAATCATCAACCAATCCAAAATCTAACCTCTTTTCCATTTGAAAATTTAAAAAATCCACATACCATAGAAAGAACTGAAATGGAAGTGATTCAAGTAAGAAAGCAATCTTCTGGTCCCATATTCAATTTCTCCTTGAAGATCAATTCAAAATATCAGAAAGAACCATCAAGAGAAATTCATCAATACAAACAATAAAGACCTGACTTCATGGATGAAACAAGGAAGTGCTATAATCAAGTAAGAAAAAGTGAGCAAGAGAAGAAAGCCCCAACCTGTAACTCCTGATGGAGGAAGAAGCACTCGACCCAACTCCCCAAATTTGGCAAAGAGAGTTCGAATCTCGCTGGCCTTTGTCCTTGCAGGAAGGTTCTTGACCAGAATGACTGTCTTAGATCTCTCTAGTGGAGGCTGCAAAAGAAAGGCACACCAGAATTCATAAAGGAATTCCTTGTTCACAGGGTGAGTTCAAGCAGAGAGAGCCTGACCCTGGAAAAGGCATCAAGGACGACTCCATTGTTAAGGAGGAATTCCCGGGTCTGGGCCACGATCTGAGTCTCCCCAAGGGCTAGACGAACTCCCACACTCCCCTTCCCTTCAGGGTCGAGCACCTAAGTACCAATCCACAACTATAGTTTTGACAGCCAAAATGAAGATCAAGATATTAGATATGGAACTTATTTCTTGTACTTTCAACTTTGAGGTTTTGTACGTTTCTGCCATGATATCAGCCACAGCATTTGGTCCAAGAAACAAGGCATTCCAATTGTGTGAAGAATTTGACTCAGCCTTTTGCTGAAGATGCTTCTTCTGCTTGAAACTCATGGAGTCTGAATTAAAATCAAAAAGATAACCTGGCCTAATCACAGAAAGAACAGTCCAGGGATGGAAAGGATGAGAGAAACCAAACCATTGATAAGGTCCTGCCATGTGACCTTGGCCTTGCTAGGATGAAGGCGGAGAATGCGACCTTGAAATGTGCTTCCATCAAGCACTTCAAAGGCCTTTGCTGCATGTTCTGGGAACATGAATGTCACATAGGCAAAGCCTTTGGGTTTCCTTGACAGCCGATCAATAGGGATGTGCACTTCTGATAGTTGACCTATACAGTTCATACAATGTCAAAGTACAGTATTAAAAAAAGGTAGAAGATACTGGAAAAGGACATTCCCTATGATGGAACTGACCATAGGTAGAGAAGAGCTTTTCAAGATCTTCTTCTGTTGTGGAATAGCACAAATTTCGGACAAAGATTCTTCCTGATTCCCCAACACTTTCCTCAGCTTCTTCAAAATTCCTTTTGGGTTCCTGTGGCTTTTCTTCAACATCTTCTTCTCTCATATCTTCCTTCTTGGTGTAGTGATACACCTGGATGCGATTACCCTCTGCAAATCACAACCACAGTCACATATCTTCACAAGTAATGGGACTTTTGTAGCCTATATGAAGAAGTTGAGCTTAAGCAGCCTACACACCGAGGAAGCTGCGATGCTTGAGGAGGGCTTGCTTCATCTCCTTTTCAGTGAGAAACCCAACATACGCAATCCCCTTAATCTTGCGAGGAAAGCGGAAACTCTTAGGCTTCACAGGGCGGAAGAATTCCCGCAGGTGACTCTTCTTGCACGAATAGGGCAGTCCTCGAACCTTGATTGTAAACAGCTGTCCATATTTCAAAGTTGGTGCCTCCTTTTTCTCTTTCTCCACATGGTCATCTACCAAATCTGGAACGATCTTGGATTTGAGGTACTGCCAGGAGAATGTAAAGATGATGACACCTCTTTTTGTGGATATTCTTTCATCCCTTTTAATAAATGGAGAGTATGAAAGAGACTCACATCTGCATCAGTCATTTCCCTCGGTTCATCCGTCTCTTCGGTGTCTTCAGCCGTAACTGTGCAGGGCTGGGCATCTTGGACATCAGCATCATCTTTCCAATGCTTTCCTCGATTAGTATGAAGTGTTAAAAACTCCTTCCATTCCACTTTCTCCTCATTTTCGTCCTATGCATAATATTTAAGAAAAAATTAAGTCACATCTGATCTCTGACTCTGGCTACATCTAGGGTGAGCATGAAGCAGAGGCAGTGTGCTAAGAAAAAGCATTCCAGCACACCTGTGCAATTTTGGTTTTTTGTTTGCTTCTGGATTCATCTTCTTCAAGATCGGCTGAGAGATTCTGACTCTTGGATTCTCTAATCTCCTTTTTTGTCCCTGCAAGACATATTTGATGAAAATTGAGACAACTTCATTGTGCTACACTCAATTCCAAGAAATTTGGCAAAAATTATTGAAATCAAGAGAGGGTTTTGGCCTACTTGGTTTTGCTCCATCCTTAATGATCTCCACAGAGATCCTGGATGCTCCAAGAAATGTCTTGTCAAAATATTTGCAAGCAGCATTGGCCTCCTCAGGAGTCTTAAATCCTAAGAACCCAAAATGCCTAAATTTGCCACTCTTGGTGTATTTCAACTGGACATCTGTCACTTCTCCATGTGATTCAAAGGCTTTCCTCAGTTTCTCCTCAGATACCTATTGCATACATCAAAGGAGACATTGTAAGTCATTGACTCATAGGCTATGCTGATTTCAGGGCATCAGAATTATTTTTAAAAATAAATGGAAACTCACTCCATCTGGGAGATTCTTGATGATCAACCGAGACATTACAGTCTCATATTCAACCTGGAGTAAACACAATGTACAGTACTGTTACTTCCAGCCTAGAAACTTCCAAAATGACCTTAAGACAGCCAAGTTTTGAAAAGAGCTATCTGTGAAGGTGGGATCATACTAGGACCCCAGGGTCTTAGGGTTAGACCCTTCATCCCTCAAGCCCATTCAAAGGGCCAACCATTCCTTTGATATGGCTTATGGCAAAAGCATAATTGCATTTAAAAAAAAAAAACAAATATTAAAAAATCGCTCAAAGAGATTCATAATATTTCATGAGACCACATAAAAAATCACAGAAAAATCAGGAAGGCCACTAAAGATAGAATGCAATCACATGCAATGATCTCAAAAGGCCCAAACTCTTCAGTTATATATAACAAATTTCAGTAAACTCATAGAAATGCAGCAAAAGTGATCACACACCATTAGAGGCACAATTTGCAGTTTTAGTGGAGTGTATTGCATAGAGAATCATGAATAATCAGGTGGAGGGAAATAATTTGGAGCAGCAGCATTGAAAAGGATGAGGATAAGAATGATGAAAGCAAAGATGAACAAGGATGCAACCCAAACAATTTTCTCCCAGGGTTGCTTATTGAGATTTCTCAAAACACCAATGCCAACAAGGAGACCAGCAATTCCTCCTGAAATATGGGCAGCATAACTAGTCTGGGTGTCGATGCGCTGGTGCCGATAATACATGGCCACGCCCAGATCAGACGCAATCACCACGATGATGATCAACAATCGCAGAGGAGCAAATTCCATTTCAGACCAGTTCTAGTTGAGAAGGAAAAAACAAACTGTCAGTACTTTTCTATGAATCAAAACATGAGCAGATGTAGATGCAGTTTGACAATAAACTTACGATGATGAGTGATGCAAGGTGGGCCAAGAGCAAGGCATAGACCCCAGCTGATGCTCCAGCAAGGAACACATATGGATCAGTCACAGATGTCCCAAGGGATCCAGCGAAGACTCCACACATGTATACTATAGATACTCGCCACCATTTGTGGACCATTTCCAGTGGGATACCCAGAACCAATTGCACCATCAGATTCACAAGCAGGTGCATCAGCCTGCATCAAGAAAGTGAAGATTTTTTAGAACTGGAGATCTGAGCATTCATACTTGAAATCAAGATACTGGACATTAACATTAACTGACTTTTTATTTTGAGTTGCACAAAATGTGTCTTTAACTCACCCAGCATGAACAAGCATATACGTCAGGTAACGCCAACCTTCATATCTTCTATATGGATTAAAAATGAGATATGAGTCATATGGCACAGGACCCCCAGCAGAAACTCCTTCTCCCAGATGAGCCATATAGTATACATAGATCACGAACTAGTAGGAGCAATGCAGAACTTTTAGTAACATGGGGAACTGAATACAGTTGGCCCTGCATTGAATTTCATAAGGGCAACCTCAATAATGCTGATGAGGATGCAGAAGAGTGGGGGAGGAATACATGAATATTCTGTTACGTATCTCTGAACTTCCTGTTTCCTCTGGTTCTGAGGTACAACAACAAAGGCAGCCCTGATGATGACTTGGGCCAGCCATGGGTGCTCCTCTTGTGCCAAAGCACCCTTGATCTATGAATCACATAGTGGTAAGACTCTTCTAGCTTATTAAGGTCATAAGAGGCAAGGATGATCAAATACCTACCATGTCCAAGAACTCCTCAAAATCAATAAATCCATTTTCATCAAGATCTGCCTTCTCAACAATTTCTTCAAGAGTGGCCTGTGGGATATCATCTCCTGCTGGAGATGTCTCGATCCGCTGACGTAACTCTCGACATCCCACCTTTCCATCCCCATCCTCATCAAACTGAGAAAATACATAATGGCCTGATGTGCAAACCAAATTTAAGGAATTGAGAAATGAGAAGTACTTAAATGCAACAGTTCAAGAAAGCTTACATCTGGCCCATTTGAACACCCCAAAGATAGGGTGTACTTGGAATGCAACTTTGATAGAGAAAAAATTCAACTGAAAACTGACTTACCTTATCAAAGACTGGCTTCCAGACCTGAAGGGAAAATAGAAAAACCATTTTTAATCTGAGTGAAAATGGAGCCAGAATCAGACATTTTCCCAATAGAAGTTTAGAATATAATACAAACTGTAACATGAATGCTGCATATACCTTCCAAAGATTTTGAGTTTGTTTTAAAAACAGTCATATCAACACTTGGAACATGTAAAATAAATAAATACAATATCATCATTCAGGGGCTCTCTCTGCGCTAAAGGAAAAACTTTAAATTGCAGCAGTAAACTTCACTCATAGAAGCACCAGAATATTGCCATTTTCTATCATTTTTTACAACAGCTACATCATTTTGCCAGTGTCCATGAGCTCAATCTGCATATTCAAAAAAATTATTTAAAATATTTTCCAAGTGGCTATGAAAAGCATAGGCTTCCATAATAGCTGCTAAAAACATATAATATACTAAAGGAAGTGAAATTCTAGTACTAGGTTGTAATGAAAGTTTTTATACATAAATACAAAATTTATTTCAGCATCATTTTCTAAATAATTTTTTTTTTATATATGTATTTGGTATCATTTTGAAGCACATTTTATGCTGCATATATATATATATATTATTTTTTACAAATTGCTAAATTTATAAAAATTACAATGTTCAGAATGTGTGATGAAAAAATTGTGCTTTGTGGACTGTTGCATCATTACTGGAAAAAAGGATTTATGCACAAAAACTTTCGTTACAACCCAGTACAAGGGTAGGAAACACAAAAGAAACTAAAAAGGGTAAAAAAAAAAACTCACAACTTATGAGTGGCAAAGCAGACCAAACGTGACACCCTGAAAAGTGCATAAAACAAAACAAATTTGTTAAAGTAAGAAAAGTTCATTATGAAGAACCACACCAAACAGAATTAGACAATCACCATACCCTGGCCAATTCTTTTCGAGGAAGAAAGGAGACAGAGACATCTCGAGGGCTAGGTCTAGTTGTCCTCATAGGCATGGTTAAAGACTCCTCATTTGTTTTTCCTCAAACAATCCAACAGGGTAATGGAAAAATCAACAGCTTTTTTATTATTTAAAAACAACATTTAAATCTGGATGGGGGGAAATGTCACATCAAACAACAACCAAGAACACAGCAGGAATGCTCAAGAGTCCACAGTATTCAAAACTACGTGTCATATCTGCATCAACCCCCAAGGATGCACGGGTTTCACACCCAAGGGTTGCCAAAGACACCCTCCATTGCCCACATTTTGCATTAACTAAGGTGGTATTAAAAAAAGGAATAAGGCATGTTGAGAGAGCTCATGATTTCATTATGACTCATCAAGATCCATCAATTATAAAAATGGAACAAATCAGAGGCAGTTTTTGAGTTTGATCAAGGAAATCAACACTTTCAACAATAGCCATAATCAACAGGACTTATGGAAGTCATAATTTCAATCACAATAAATTACAAATTGCACAATGGCAATAAAATTTTCACACCAGAGCGATTTCTGCAAGTACATTCTGCTTGCAGTATCAGTCAAATTGGAGGGTCACAGGACAGTAGATTATGCTGCCTTTAAACTTGCATAATTAGTGCAAACTATTCTCATTACACTGCAAGCAGAGGTCCTTCATTGTGCTGCAAGAAGTTGAGAGCCAAAGCAAAGGATCACAGCTGGAAGCACAGAATCATGCAGCCAACATTTGACAACTAAAGCTGCTAATGTGTAGCAGCATTCAGCACACAACTTTACTCTTATCCTGAAAAATCAATATTCACTAACATACTGAAAGGCAGGCACATCCCTATTGCCAGGTATATCTCAATCTTATTATTATGCAAAATTTGACACACATACTAACATCCTCTCTCTTACAAAAAATTTAATGGATACAAAATTGAATAAATATGAGGACACTTTGGATCACATCAGCTTAACAGGAATCACGCATTTTTATGCTCTTGTTTTTGAAACATGACCAAATGGTATCAAATATGGATCAGGTCACATTTCATGGTCTTGTTTTTGCAATCTGAAAGGCTTAAAACATAATGCAAAGGGTCTTATCAGTGAAGTCATGGAGATTGCAAGATTAACTTTTGACAAAACAGAGTATGCTCAAATGGAAGTCAAGAATCACATGATTACTCAAAAAAAAATCTAAAAGGAACCTAAACAATTTCTGAAGAAACTGTTGATAATGCAAAAAGGTGGAAGTGAGAATCAGGTACAGAGGTATAAGAAGATCCAAGATGAGAAAGACAAACAAAAATAAAATGCATAGAAACAAGACAAACTTGTGACATATGGAGGAAAAAAAGTAAGTAAGCAAAACAAGATATGCTGAGTGGCAGAGTGAATAATGCTTGGAGAGGAAGAAATGCCTTGGGTGGAATGAGATCATTCAGAAGTAGCAAAATAGGAGGGAACGGCAATGTTGACGATAATTGCAATGAGCATGAGGCAGCAGAATGTGATGAGGGAGATCCACCAGATCACCTTCTCCCACTCTTTCTTCTCAAGATTTCGCAGCACATTGATTCCAATAAGAAGACCAGCCAAACCTCCAGCTATGTGTGCTGCATACCCAGTCTGGAAAAAATGCAGTTTAGAATTCAATTATTCAATGCTGTCTGATCAGTTCGACCCTATTCATTCAAGCTTCACGCAATTTCTTAAGACTGCTCCTCAATCTATGTAGACTGTTTCACCTTGGTATCTTCCTGCTTGATGTATCTGTAGTAAACAGCCACAGCAAAGTCGGTGCCAATGAGAACACAAAACACCAAAAGTCGTGGGATAGCAAAATCCATCTCTGACCAGTTCTGCAGTAAAAGGTACATACATCTCAATCATTTGAAGGTGTTCCCAACTTCCTCAACATATTTTCACCACCATTGAAACAACAGTAATCAACTTCCCCACCATAATAATGGATGCAAGATGAGCACAGAGAAGTGCATAAACCCCTCCAGAGGCCCCAGCAAGATAGACATTAGGATCAGACAGGGAAGTGCCAAGAGATCCTGCCACAACCCCACATAAGTATACAATGAGGATGCGCCACCAATGATGAACCATCTCCAAAGGAATCCCAAGGGCCAGTTGTACCAAGAGGTTGAAGGTCAAATGCATGATACTGTGAAAGAAACAGAAAAAAATGAGTCCTGCATGTAGATGTGGTGCTACAACATAGAAACAGGAGCAGCAAGCCTAGTTCCTATGGTTCACTCCTCCACCCATCTAGTTTACCCATAGACATCCCATGGGTTTGCCTTTATGAAGCCACTTTCAAAGGTAATGTCTAATTTGGTTCATTAGGAATCTGGTAGTGGTCCCACCAAAAAACCTATTACCATGACAAAAATCAGAAATTACACTGTACTCCCATCAGCATTTGACACACTTTAGCCAATATAATTTTTAGTGCTAGCAATCTTACCCAGATAACAGAGATGGAGAAAAATTGGAATTGCAGGGATTAGTTCTCATATCACAAGACCCTTTGTGAGGTAGACATTCTAATTCTCCACGAATTTCCCACATCAGCGGAAGAAAGGATGCAAGCTTCTATTAATATGATTCATCCAAATATTCAAGGCTTCACTATAAAACTTTTTCAGATTCGCAGCCTTTCTTCAAGTTTTACCTGCATTGACTTCGATACAAGAGAGTGGCATTGAGTTTTGCCCACATAGTCCAATAATCAGAATATGCAAGCCCTAATCAATTGCAGTGAAAGAAAATTCAAGATACAGTCCTGATGCCTTCATGTCTATCATTTTTTTAAAGTAGGCCAGACAGAGGAGTGGCCAGGCACTGAGGTAAGTGACAGTCACAAAACAAAGGATGACTTTCAAGGGTGATTTTGATGCTAATCAGATACAGCAGATTGCAGCAACTGCAGGAATAGGACTCCTACCCAGCATGAATGAGCATGTAGGTGACAAAGCGCCAAGCTTCATATCTTTTGTGGGGATTATAGATGAGGGGAGACTCATAAGGGACAGGGCCTGCAACATCTGTCCACCCTGCCACAACAGCATAGTAGATGAAGATCCCCAACTGCATGCAGACAGGATGAATCAATTTCAAGAAAGTTTCCATTTCCCACAGAAATGAATGAGAGCTGCACCCACCTCAACAAGGCTGATAAGTATCATGAAGAGAGGTGGAGGAAGACACGAATACTCATTCATATATCGACGCACTGTCTTCTGTCGTTTGCCCCTTGGAATAACTGTAAATGCTGCATATCGTATGATGCGCCGAAAGATGGGCCGAGAATCTCCTATTTCTGCAGCCATTACCTGGAAGCAAAGACAATTGTATAAGGAAATGAAAATAATATCAACTGAGTAATGCACTGAAATTAATTTCAAAGCAACTTTAGCTTTAAATATCTTGAAATAATTCTCACCATGTCCAGGAATTCATCAAAATCAATGTAGCCATTCTGATCTCTGTCTGCTGCTTCAACAATGTCTGCTAACACTTCAGCTGGCAATTGTTCACTCAGAGGAGTGGATGTGATTAAGTGCCGAAACTCTGAACAGGGCACCTTTCCATCCTGGTCACGGTCAAACTGTAGAATCAATGGAATAAACCAATGTTTTAAGAACTAATACAGTCACATCACAGTATATTGCATGTAGCCAAAAAAGTAGACTTGAATTGGGTTCATTTTATGTTTGTACTGATATTAAATGAGCAGGCGCACCAGATATTTCCTCAAAATGTGTGCAAGTTCCAATGACAATATAAGTATGTATTTATCTATCTGTGTTAAAACAGTCTATGGCTGTTTTCAGTGTCAGACAGAGACTACAAGTGAAAGGGGATTTTCTAATGTGCAGTGAATGATCAAATGAATGAGACTTGAGTCATGCTTCTGTAGCAATACTAAAAAATTTTAAGGTAATGACTATTTTGATACTTTGACCCTTAAATTAATTAGATTCCCCCCTTTGATGAATGATAGTCTTGATAGATAGTCTTGCAGGTGCAGATAGTCTTGCTCCCTTTAGGGTAATGTTGAACATTGATTCTGATGGGCAAAATCACAATAGCTTATAATGCAACATTACATTTTATATTATGGAGTCTTTGACCTTACAAGTAAAAAAAAAGTTAACAATGGCAGAATTATTTAAAAAAAAGGGGGGGGATATGTCATCAAAACTTATCAGATAGGCTGATCATTCCTAAGATCAAAATAATTCTACTTCATTCTCTTACATGAATATTTCCTACATTAATTCTATTATGCCAATCATCTTAAAATTTAAAAGCTCTAAAGTTACTGTAAGTGGCATTTGTAAAAATAAAGTAAGGATGCAGATCATACTCACCTGATCAAACACTGGACGCCATTGCTGAAACAAAAGAGATGAATCTGGATTATAAAATAGCTGAAGAACAAAGGCTGGGATTTTGACTTGAAAAACTGAGACTTCCTTTGGGTTGGTAGATCCTCAAAAATAAGTTGAAAAATGCCAAACTAGTCATGCAATGTAAAATTTTCAAAAAGGGTCTAAGCTAGACAATGAAGGTAAAATACTAAAGACAGACAGAGAACAATGCTAAAGCCTGGAAGGGACTTCAAACCTGGTCCATGAACAGCATTCTTGCAAGTTCTGCTGTCTTTAAATAGACCAGCAGTTTCTTTCCAAAGACTATAGCTGATTGCCAATTCTTCCCAACTTTCCTTGATTGTTATCTAGGCTCACACTATTGATCATCAGAAAATGCTTAAAATAGAAACATTCGCTTGCCTGCTTCCCATCCTGGTATCCTATCTGACAACATACAAATTTGCAAACCTTATCACAACCTTCAAGAATGACCAAATCTGCTGACAAAGAGTGAGATAGATAGGCCTCATGTAACTACTGCAAAAGAACCAGGGCCCATAACATACAATGTCTATGGAGATACCCCAGCAAAGCAGTAAACAAACCCCAGCAAACCTCTCATGCTGACCTAGAGACCTAAAACAACTCAAAGGAAGCCAGTTGTTTTAAACTTACCACAGCAGCCTCTTCTCGGGTTTGAAATGATGTTGTTGAGAACTGGCTAACTTGGCGCCCTGCCTTCCTTCTCCCTTTCTGTGGATGACCAGACCTACCACTTTTCAGGGGTCTCATTTCCACCACAACATCCTTCCTCTGGGGTGCATCTGTTTCACTCTCACTCATCTTGAGTTTTGAAGAAAGGCTCAGAGGCCTACTTTATGATTTTAAAGGTGTTGCAAATTTCAGTGTCACAACCAATAGGCCGGATTATGCTGATCACACCTAGAAAATTCAATACCCACAGTTTGCATTCTTGCAACGACCAGAAAACATACAGTAAATTATCATGCACAATACTTTTAATTTGAGTGCAGAAAATTTTCACACAAAGTCCGATATCTATGCAAGGAAAGTGCCAGTGGGATATAACTTACATCATTACATTAATACAAGTTCAACTTAGGAGGGGTTCATGAAGATCAAACGGAATTACCATAGTTCCGCGCTTCTTTGGGAAGGAATGCTAGTTAGGCTATGATCGAATCCTAGGCCTGTCTGACACAAGCAACGTCTTACTGTACTGAGGGCTCCAATGCAAGCAACGCGCGCTAGCTCCCGGCTAGACTGACATACGAGGCGCACGATTCGTGATAACATGTCTGGCGCATACAAAACAGTAGCTATCAAGCAATACTTCCTTCTCGAAACTTACTTCCTACATTATTATTATTATTATGTAGGTCTACTTGGCTATGATGAGATAAATACACATTGAGATATTGACTGAACCTAACGCATGTAATAAACCATTCCTGTCCACCACTCTTCGGCGCCATGTTGAAACCAGGTTGTGAGGAAGATCATTAGTCATACCGTCCTGCAGTCTTTACACAGAATACACACGATTTCCATGAATCAGACAGTTAAAAATAAACATTCCATCTTCTAACTTTCCACTCTAGACCCGTAACTGCGCCCGACCCTGGAACACTAGCTGACCCACCCCGCCATAAAAACCCTCCAAGTGTAAAATTGACTAACGCGAGTAACCTCGGGAGACTCAATTTGGTCCTTGCGGTTACTCCGGGGATACGGTTCAGACTTCGCCAGGGATCTTGAACGTCACACGTCCTCAGTGCCAAGTGCTCAGATCCCTTCCCAAGCACGCTGGGGCTGGCACGAGGAAATGAATCACCTGACCGCGACGATTCCAAGTTCTTTATCGATTCAAACTTGTAACGGTGCCTTGAAACTCGCCCAGCTGCCTTCGATCCCAGGCCCATGCAAGAGGACTGATGTGTCGCAATCTCTTCTTTATGCATTCGAAACGTCATTGAGTATTCCACGTGAGTCAGTCCGTGGACTCTTCCTCGAAAGGAAATTCGCATCGCGGCATTTTCCCCGAAAGGAGTTTCACCCGAGGGGATTTTCCCCATCGCGGCTTCTTTAATCCTGTGAAGTCCCCGAGGCAACGAGAGACCTCAGGAATACGGAAAGAACTTATGGAGCGTTTCGAGAACACGCACGCCGCAAAGTCAGGGAAGAAATGGACGAATGAGTCCCTGTGAAACACCGGTCGGCACTGTCATTCATTCCAGCTCTGAAGAGATTGAATGAGGGAAAGCTTCAGGAGTTTCGTGACATGGCCCATTGAATCAAGACCTCGGTCTATGGGAAATGTAGGGGATGGGGGGGATTCGAGGCAGATTCAAGCAAAATCCCATTCTAAAACCAGCTGCGTAGATGGGAAATAAATATGTTAGACGCGCCACTATTCACAGCCGAACTGGTTGCTGTCGATTCGGGGGAGTCTCCCCCTGACCTACATACGCAAGGGGAAAATGGGGATTGGGGGGATTTCTCTTTCTAGGATATGTCCTTCGACGGAGATAATTGCATTGAAAGCCTCCCATGAGGGAAGAATCCGATCTGGAATATGTTCATTAAGGGGAAAATTAGGTGACGAGCCTGTTCGTAGATTCCTTCGCCATGGAGCCATGCACGGTGGTCCTATGCTCACCGTGCCGTGTTTGCCCTTATCGATTGCTTCTATTAAGAGAACCTGTGAGATAGCATTGATCCGAGACACCAATCCACAGGCAAATCGTGCTTGCTCCTCAAAACGAACTTGCCCCCCCCCCCCATAAATGCCCCGTGTACATGCAACGCCGTATCAAAGCTCTGACTGAATTCCTTTATTCTTTCCTGTCAGCTATCTCTGCAGCCGTATCTTCTTTATCGAATAACACTCCAGACTTTGTTTCCAGATTTCGTCATCCTGCTTGAGGCAAAAGTCGATCACACTCCCTTTCTTGCCCAGTTTCTTCCTCATGGGTTGCATTTTCCCGATTATTTTTGCTCGTGGATTCTTGCACTAATTAGTTCATAGCAAGCACTGAATTGAATTCCTTGCATTCAAAGTTGGTTCTCCTCGATAGAAATCGAGCCCTCACGAAGAACTCACTTTTTATGACATCTGTGAGTAATTTTCTGAGTAATTTTCCATGTGGTTGGGGGTGACTTTAACACGAACTTATTGGAACAATTTCCTCCTCGAACTTTGGCCTCATGCTGGGACTGAGAAAAATAACCTCACAAACTTGGGCCTCTACTCCTTTAGACAAAGGTCAATTTCTAGGTCCGATTTCATCCCCAAAAACTGCTCCCAAAGGTCGCTTCTCGGGCATTATAAGTGCTCTTTTTAACCCCTCCCTTCCTTGAATCCCTTGAATGTGTCCCTCTCATAACTGCTAAACTGCATTTATCATGGATTAATGCGTCTCCTCGATGTATACACAAACCCAAACTTCGATGAACAGCGAAAACCAAGCCACTCCTTGATCTCTCCCCGTATCCACCGCCTCTTTACAGAGAGGAATCTCCTCCACACGATCGCATCTAAGATGCAGCCCGTAGAAATTTCTTTCAAATGTACAAAGTCGTATCAGCAATCCCTTCTTCCAATCGTTCCCACCAAAAATCCCAACTTGCCCGATCCCATCACAACGAATCGCAGAGGATCCACAAGACCTCCCTCGCCCTTTGACCTAGCCTCCAGGGACCCCCCCCCCCCCCTTTTTCTCGCCGCTGCTGGTTTCCCTATTAAAACGTGGCCCAATGTCCAACTCGCACTTTGCTTTCCACCCGTATCCTCAGATGAGTGTCTAAAAATTATTACTTTTCGTTGAAATCAAATCAGAAAAGTGGAAATGGCTGAGGCGATGAGCTACTTGCCATCTCCTATCTAATTAACTTGATTATTTATCCTCCTTAGGGCCAGGAAAGAAAAAACTCCCATGACAGCTCTGTACTAATTGAGTTCCACTCGGTAGTTTTGAAGACACGAATTATTAAAGTCGGAATGACAAAATTTGACTCTCTACTGAAGTAAATGGGTTAAATGGCCAGAAAAAAAGTCAATTTGATTAATGCGGTAAAGGGTTAAACCCATCTATAAGAAAGGTAGACAAGGGTCCCATTTCGGTATTTCCCATCATGAACAAAGCCACAAGAAAACACCTGAAACTCAGAGGTGTTTCGCTTCCCCCCCCCCACCCCCGCCTGCCCCCACCACTGAAACTTCCTAGAATTCAGACGCATTCTATCTTCCTGGTCTCTGTCTCCACCGCTCCTGCTCCACTGCCGTCATTAAACTCATGGACGCATGGACACCTCGACGCACAAGAACTAGGTCTAAGGGCTGGAGAAGTCATCACTCAATTCTCCATTGCCTTTCACATCGTCAATCGCACGTTCCTCCTCCGCCATGACGTGACCAACGCGCTTTCCTTCCCCAATCCTGTCCAACCGACCGTCATCGATGCATCAACCCACGCGTCGGCTCTCTACTCCCCCCCCCCCCCCCCCATATCCCCCCCCCCCCTTATAAAGCGTTCGCAAGGATGCATATTGGGAGCCATCATGTTCACTCTCTGCAAAAGAATCAGTCATGCTGAATGCAACTTTGAACTCGGTGCAAATAGGACCAACATTCGCGTCTCTGATGGCTCTCTCACTCGCAAGGCACCCAGCCGGGGGACGACCGACTCGAACTGACAACAAAAATATCTTAATAATCCTCTCGCACGCCGGAACCGCGTTTGACTCGCGCGGCGAAAGTGCTGCGAGATGCACCGAATCAGCTCCCAAATTTTCCCGGAAAAAAAAAAGATATTTCAGAAAAAAAAGAGACGCCCTTTTGCTACTTTCTCCAAAATCTCAAACTTTCTGCGAATGGCAGCAAACTCCCGCAGAGCTTTCCGGCACGGAGATAAAATTCTCTCCCTCTGCACCTTTAAGATTTCCTTGCTTCGTGCAAAAACCCGCTGAAAGGCGGGCGCCTATGAATCGATTCCCGCCAAAAATGTCCGCTAAGGAAGCGAAGCTCGTTCCTCGGCGAACCCTTCTTTGACGTTTCACGCAAATAAAAAAAACGTAACGGGGAGATCGAAGCCTTTACGTAATAAATATATATTTCCCGCTAAACGAAGTCCCGGTCTCGTCAGAAGACCGAAAGGGAAATTCTCTCCCGAGATGAGACGAGATTTGTTAGAAGAGAAAGTGAGACGATGACGGACCGATGAGTCAGCGGATGACCATGCGGATGACCATGCGGATGACCACGCGGATGCGGATGACCTCGGGAGAAGGGAAACGCGGATTCCGGATCTCGTGAAAAGCGAAAGCGAAACCGGCTCGACCGATTGACGGAAACTTTCCCCCCGGAATTCCGAGACGAGCGGAAATGCCGCTGGTTCCAGGAGGAAATTAATGAAAAGTTCGGAAAGGGGACCCCCTGCTTTTGCAGATGCCGTCCCGACTTCACCAGGAATTTTCATCATTAGAACGTTTGCATAAATGCAATCGCTCCGTCTCGTTTCGACGAGAAATTCACAAGTTCGTTTCCAAGACGAAAGACACATTCGTTCCTAAAGCCACACGCCTATTCTTGAGTTTCCCGAGTGTTGATCGAATTTCACATGTAGAGGCTCACGCGCTCGAAAGCGAAGACCAGAGAAAGCGAAGACCAGAATAAGCGAAGCCGAGAACCCCTTAGAAGGTACCGAGCCTTCCCCCCTCCCGTTGCTTTTCGTCTTTAAATTGTGAAGGGTCGAAACCGTTTCTGGGACGCCTGGGATGCCTGGGACGCCTGGGATGCCTGGGACGCCTGGGACGCCTGGGATGCCTGGGACGCCTGGGACGCCTGGGACGCCTGGGACGCCTGGGATGCCTGGGACGCCTGGGATGCCTGGGACGCCTGGAACGCCTGGGATGCCTGGGACGCCTGGGACGCCTGGAACGCCTGGGACGCCCTCGATCCTCGCTGTGTCGTTCCTTTAGACGAGGCCTTTTTCACACGCTTTTGGTTGGTACTCCTGATTATTGCCTCTCCGACTGTACATACTCTCGGTCCCAATTAAACAAGCGAAACTCGTTGTAATAACTAACAATATATACAACTATCTAACTATAACAAGGATTAAAAGGATCACTTTCCGAAGATCAAAGCGATCGGAGATCCGCGCTGAAGGATGAACAGGCACTTCCCCGCTTCGATACAGATACACACAGAAAACAGAGCACGGAACAAGACGAATGTGAATTTGCGCATTTTTTTTACCAGTCGGACAGAGACTGATCTCGACATTCCCGTCCATTCCGGAGTGTTGAAAAACGTTACGGTTAAATTACCCTTTTTTTCCGTAAGGATACCGAAACCGCGTTCACATTTTCATGGTCATTCAAGAGAATCCAAGGGGGGGGGGGGGGGGGGGGCGAACAAAACCNGAAAGTTTTTCCCGGTGGTCGCAAGGGAGTTACGCAGCTCCAATGATGTAAATACGACTTTCAAGTTTCTCTGAGCAATGGAGTCAAAGAAGCTTCGAATACAAAGCGTTCAACGCACCCGATCCGTGGGAAAATGACGTAGCGAGGTGAATTTGAGCTCGATGCAGATGAAAACAGAAAACTTCTGGAGGGGCCAATGCAAAAGGAGATTAGATTCTCGCATCGGCTTAACTACGTTAGAAGAATGAGTAGAAAATTCTCATGCTTCCTGGTGGCATCCCAGATTCATGCATTTTATTTCTTCATGTCGAACGAAGGAGAAAGAAAATGCGATCGAGGCTGGCAGAGGTGAAGGGAGACATTTTGATGTCGGGAAAGAAATTTTGAGGTTTCAACCCTCGGGGAATCGGAGCCTCATGTCTTCCTTCTTGTATCCCCATCGGGTCCCGGGCCCGAAGAGGGGCCACTTCTGGAACTCGTCCGACTCCAAATATTCCTTGATGTTCGGCAGGTTCTCGAATCGGTCCACGAAGTCGCTGACGACCGGGAAGTCCTCGAAACACGCCGGATCGAGAAACAGCTGCCAGTCCAGGGCTTCGTACCACAGGAAGTCCACGTATGTCAGCTGCGAAAATATCCCAGAACTCAGGCATGAAGTTCTCAAGTTGACTTTAAAATAAGAAAAATTATATACTAAAAAATAAAATAAAATAACAATAAAATATTGAGTTAAGAGTAATTATTTGGAGGCATACCCGATCGCCGACGAGCCAGCTGCGATCGCCGATGAACTTCGTGAAGAGCTCCAAATGCGGCGGGAGAGTCTCCTTAAGATACTTGGCCTTCGTTTCCTGCGTCTAGCGTACGAATAAAATCCCATTTTTCTACTGCGTCAACGGAAGAAGGACTGAGATGCATAGAAATGTTCAGACGAAATCGTAGTAGACGGCATGAGCCATGCCCATCATGAGATCCACGTATTGCTGTTCGGCCATGTCCTGTCGACACTGCTCCTCCTCCGTCTCCCCGTAGAGGCCGTGCTTCCTTCCCAGATGGCGGAGGATGGCCAGCGACTGCGACAGCTTCACCTCCCCGTCCAAGTAGTACGGCAGCTGGAGGGATGCCGAAACCTTCATTCTGCGATTTCCCCGATCGGGTGCGTTGAACGCTTTGTATTCGAAGCTTCTTTGACTCCATTGCTCAGAGAAACTTGAAAGTCGTATTTACATCATTGGAGCTGCGTAACTCCCTTGCGACCACCGGGAAAAACTTTCGTTTTCATCGTAACTTAAAGTACAGGGTGTTAAAAAAGTTGTGCGATCCATGGTACAGGCAACAGTCATTTTAGCTGCAATATTGATCCGAGCATCTCTGCAACCGTATTTTTTTTAAATATGTTAATCCTTATGTAAAGCTTTCCCAATATTAATTTTTTTTTGCATTGGATACTAGTTACCAATTTTTCTTACAAGTTCACATATTTACTTCAGTGTCTTTGACAGATGATCATAACTTCATGGGTTGCATTACTTTTTGATCACCCAATAGCACCAAGGACCTTTCAAAGTCTCAGGGTGACATCGCGAAGAAAACTCGCCAAAAGCCCTCCGGGTTCCGATTCAAGCCAATCCGAGTTCTCGCCTTCGTTCCTGCCAGCTGCCCGTTCCGTCACTCATTGCAATCTGGTACCAATATCAATGCCAAATTTCCTGATCGCTCACATTGGGGAAATGGAGTCCAAGTCCATCCTTCTTGTCGTCGGCCCAGGCTTGCCTCCCAGGGCCATCAAGTGGTTCCAGCCGGTAGAGTTTGTCTTCCCATTCCACTCCCGTGTAGATGAGGAGATTTCGCATGGGCTGGGCCCTCTGTCAGAAAATTCGGAGTTAAATCAGTCCATACCTACATTATTGCGTATTTAAAAAGAAACAAAGGAAACAGGAGATGAATGTTAAACTGTTAAACTTTTTAAATTCTCGAGAGTAACGTTATATGCCTATCCCAATGGCGTGTGGGCAAAGACTCCATCCATCATAGATCGTCAACCACAACCACCCTGAAATCTGTGAAATTACATTCGTACCTAAGGCACTGTCGAAATGTACCTTGAAAATACTGCTAACTCACCGATAACCTGGAACGAACGTAGTTCCATGTTTGAGACTGTCACGTTTTACCCCGCAAGACCCTACATGGAGCGAATGGGCTGAAATGCCAAATGAATCAGTTGGGGCACGTGGAATTTATTCGCGAAGAAATTGCCTTAATTTGACTGGGCCAGTATTATTCTCGGTAAGGACTGGGTGCGACGCACCGCTTCCTCGTGGTGCCACCAGATAAAGCTTAGATGATTCCTGGTCACGCCTCCGTTTCCTCGATTCCGTCGGAGAGAGAGAGAGCTCCATGGAATCCCACGTGGGCTACACAGAACGAGAAAAAGGGAACTCACTCCGCGGCAATTCCAGTATCCGAGAACGGGGACCATCCTCCTCGAGCAGCACTCTGAGAATGAAGCGAAACCTCAGCGGGAAGGCGAGAGCCTCCAGTCGACGGGGGAAGCCAGACGCGCGAACGGAGCGACGAGGATCCCAGCGTGTTTACGAGCGAGGGGCGGAGTGAAGTGTCGGCAGCGTTGCCGTTGTGAAGCCGATGGTGAACCTGTTATGAAAATTGCGTCCTTCGCCGAGAAATTGCAGAGATTCGTGTCATGGTCGGGCACGGATACACCCGTGTCAAAGATTCCAGGAAAAATGCGGGTTGTGGATTCAATGACGAGCTAGGAGCAAAAATTGGAGCAAAATTTTTCGTCTAATTCTCGCCGATGTTTGTTTTCGAGTCTTGATATTTCACAGGTTCGTTATCGATTCACCACACAGGAAATGCGAGAGGATCCTTCGCCCTTCGGATCATCTTCCTCTTCATTCACATTCACTTACGGACCCGCAGCCGCATCTGAGAGACGAGAACGTCAAGGTCACGTGACACATTGCATCATAAACCACGCTGTACGCCATAGTAGAAGTGCGTAGATCGATGTGATATAGTCGACAGACGACAATGTAACTTGTTCGCGTTGTGCTGAAAGAGCTATTTTTAAATGAGATTTTAGCTTGATATATTCAGATGCTTCTTGATTTCTCTCCCTCTCGACTTCTTCGAGTGATTCCTCCTGACCAGTCTCGTAGGGAAGGGGGGAGGGGGGGGGGGGGGGGGTTTGGGGGGGTTAGAACCCCCCCCCCCCCCCCCTTGGACTTCTCGGTCAGTGACACCGACAGGCATATTTCAACCTTCCTTGTGAATTCCAATTTTAGCTATGCCCCTTCGAGGAAAGTCTGAGGTCCGTCCGCACACCCTAGATGCCAGACTATGATTTCTTTGAAAAGGTAAATTCCGGGTAGTGGAGTTAAGCGTAGGGTTGGGGTGTCTACCCGGCCTCAAACCCCCCCCCCTTGCCGATTTCCTGCCTACGCTACTGCTCCATGGTTACGAGAGACAAAATTGCCATTTTTGAGCCAGGACTCCCAAATATCAACTGAGAAATTTTCCTTATGAAATTTGTATTTTAAACGAAACTGTCCCGCAAATTGCGGGCTCAGTGATTGAATAACGAGCACTGAACAAAGAAGCTTGATGTTGGAAGCCACAAAGCCAGTTAGAAGGATCTGACAACCATGCATCTCATTCGGTAGTGGGGAGAAGCATGACGAGAAGCTGCCGGTAGCTTCCTTCGAAAACATGCTCGTGCCCCTGCGGTCTTTTTGTGTGATTTTTTGGTTGTCTTTATCTGAGCGGATCTGGGCTTTCGAGATCTGTCCTAGCCCGATTGGACCTTAAGCAACATGGAGAAATGCAGCAATAACAATTATGTATTTCCTAAAAATGAAATCCGCACAAAAGACATGGGTCGACCGAGCCCCCGCGTAGGACTCTATGGATCTGGGGGGATAGGGGAAGCCATGCTGTCGATGCATGCGCGTGAGGAGGGAAGGGCTAGGCTAAGCTGCTCCATCTCTTCGTGGCCGCATCCTACCCTGCTCATTTCTTCGTTATGTGACTCCCCAGTGTCCTATGACTTTCTGGCCTTCGGCCTTCGGGAGAGACGTGATCATGCCTTTCCGACGAGAGATTAGTGTTTCACATCTCCACTAACGTCGTCATTGATCATCTGTCCGGCGAATGGGCAAGATGTCTATTTATTGCGTGGCCGTGTTTCTCTGTCTTCTCTCCTCGACCTGGGGATTCGCCACCCATCACGAGCACCGGCACAGCGGCCAAAAGGAGAGGGACTCTGATGGAGCCTACAGTCCTCGAGATCACCTCCATTACGATGAGCACGGCGAACACCGTGCAGATTTTGATCACGAGGCCATACTGGGCAGCGTGAAGGAAGCTGAGGCTTTCCATCAGCTGCCTCTCGAGGAGGCGAAGAAGCGGCTGCGAGACCTGGCAGAGAAAATGGACAAAAACCACGACGGCTACGTCGACAAGACGGAAATGAAACAGTGGATCCTACGATCCTTCAAGTTGTTGTCGCAGGAGGAATCCGAAGACCGATTCCTAGAGATGGACATTGACCGAGACGGCCGCGTATCGTGGAAGGAGGCCCTGGCCGACATCCAGCAGGACGCTCGAGGTGGGGAAATGCCGGACGATTTCGATTCAGATGACGAGGAGTGGGTGAGAGAAGACCGGCTCATCTTCGAGGCAGCCGACGAGAACCGGGACGGCTACTTAACCCGAGACGAGTTTCTAGGCTTCTCCCACCCGGAGGAGGTGGCGAAGATGGAGAGCGTGCTCGTTCGACACAGCCTAGACGAGAAGGACTCGAACGCAGACGGGAAGATCAACTTCCAGGAGTTCGTGGGCCCGGATGCAAGGGACCAGAGCCAGGAATGGCTCATCACGGAGAAGGATCGCTTTGACAAAGACTACGACCGCAACGGGGACGGTTTCCTAGACGAGAAGGAAATTGCGGGCTGGCTCATCCCCGATAACAACGAGATGGCCGACGATGAAGTCGTGCATTTGTTTTCTCATGCCGACGACGATCAGGACGATCTTCTCTCGTACGACGAGATCCTGGAGCATCACGACGTCTTCGTTGGTAGCGAAGCCACCGATTTCGGCGATCATCTCACCAGACTCGATAAATTCTCAGACGAGTTGTGATTCTGATGCGAGCCTTTTTTTTTTAAGTGTCTTTTTGAGTTGTGATATCTTATCGGCCATTTCAAACATCTCTTATTGATCTTATATTTCGCCGTTACCGGTGGAATCTGTCACCTCTCTGTTCATACGGAAATACTTGTTATCAACCGAGTCTCTATACTTCCCCACTCGCCCTATTATATTTATGAAACATTTCTTCTATTTCATTTATGGAATGGAATGCTTTCGTTCATAAAAGAGTCTTGTGACTGAAACGTGGCGGTCGTTTTCTTATTTTGTGCCGGCCTCGATCTATAAATAGAAGGCGGAGCGTTGAGTCTACGGACAGCAATCGTGCCGCCGTCTAGACTAGGAAACCAGCCGAAAATCTGCTACGTGGCCTACGTGACATCGTAAGTTCGTGCAGCAGACGTTCGGATCCTGGATAGTTGTTCATGCTAGAACTCTAGAACGATACGAGAATCAATAGTGTGCATTCTGTATAGTAAGTTTTCGTTGGGCGGACCCTGGGCTAATAATTCATCACCTGTTACCAGGTCACTTTCATGTTTATCAGTGCATCTGATATCGATCTGTGTTGGCGTTGCCCTTGGGGACGTACACAGACTCGAAACGTTCCCTTTCTAAAGGCAGCGCAGTCAAGGTCATGCAGCTCATGCACAGAAGTGCAAAAAATAGTAGATATGAAAAGCCTAGTTTCCCGGCAGAGAAAGGACTCGAGGACTGACCATCATCATAGAAATGAAAGGGTCAGTCTAACATGTCCGATTCATTAGTGGGGATAGATGATGATGGGTTATTCATGCTTCTCACGCCCCATGTAAAAGGTGTCTATTTGAATTTAAAATGTTTAGTGATGTGTACATAGAGCTGTAACAGCTTGCCGAAAATGCGTTCTTCTCGGGTCTGTCCAGCTGACCATTTTGTAAGAATCACGTGTTAGGCTCAGCCCTTCGCTGCAGCTGGAGCGAGAGGTGTTATCAACGAGGACATCGGGCATCGTGATTGTGGTTGATCTCATCCCCAACCATGGAGTTTACTCACCACACCCATGACCTCCATACACTTCCATGTCACATCTCGATTCATCTGTTGTGAATAACACACGCAACCCAGTCAAAAATGGGTTTGTGCCGTGCCTAGAAATAGTGTGGGTATGGTCACTTGCCATGGTAGGTACTTGCATTTACGGTGACACTGTGGAAGAAAGAAAGTATACTTTATTAAATGAACAAAAAAAAAAATCCAAAAACGGTTTGCTATCCTCACTCCGTACAGCAATAGCGTTTCGCGGGCAGGGTCACGAATGAGACCCCGGTCCGGCGGTATGGATGACGTCATGCAAGGAGGACCAATGAGGTAACGTGGACTCTTTCGAGTCAGCCAATGAAAGCAATCACTGTGGGGGTGGGCAGCAGACGATTCTTTTCAGCCGTTACCGTGCAATGCATTCTGTGGGCCCGTGCTGACAGGTGTATGGTGTGGGTCTATCTCACTAGAGCAAGTAGACCTTGGCCTAGGTATGGGCCTAAGCCTGTTTCAGTGTTTTTCAATCAGGGTTGACGTTTTTACTCATTCACAACGAAGGCCTGATCGCTTCCTCCATATCTAGTCCATTTTCGTGTCGGGCCTACGATATACCTAGCTTAGTTATAAAAACTGGACTGGAATAAAAAAAAAAAACCGGTTAGCCTCTAAGCCTAAGTACTTGCCACAATCCCTCGTACGCCTTATTAAACCGAGTTCATCATAGGCGAATGCATGCCTGATAGCCCAACAGCTACCATAGGCTACAAAATGATAACGTGTGACCGTTTGAAACTCAATTCCAATGCCTAGGTCGGTTCGGTTTAGGCTTATTAGTTTGGCACCAGCCATGCACAGAGCAGGTCATTGTTGGAGTAGGCCAGGGCCTGCTATCAGACCGTTGATAGGCCTATCATATACCCTTTTCCTATAGTTTTTTTTTTTAATACTTACATCTGACTCGTTTCAGGAACTCTGCATCTGGTACTACTCATGCATGGGTGTCAGAATGAAGTGAAGTAATTGTTGAACTTTAGTCTAAGACACTCCAGCAGAACCTGTTGTGAAACATGGATTGAGTGGCAAAATCTAGGCTTGAAGGTTAGGACTAACCTTTCCTATCAGTTGCAGGTGTGGTGAGGTGAGACTGCAAATTTCAGACGAGGGGTAGGACTTATCAAGTCAAAACATTAGGTCTATCCAACATGGAGGACGATGGTGGCACTGAATACCTCAAGTTGCCTGTAGAGGAACGCTGTGTTCACAAGGTGGGGTAAAATTTATACCTAATATGTATAAGTAATGTAGTTTCACCCTGGTTTTTGATTGCTTTATCTTTCAAATGTTGAGTAAGATCTTTATTTTTTTGCATTTCTCTGAAGCTATGGAAGGCCAGACTGAATGGTTATGAGGAAGCGACGAAAGTCTTTCAGAAGATTGATGATGAGAAGTCACCTGAGTGGAATAAGTATGCTCCCCTCATCAAGAAGTTTGTTGTTGATTCCAATGCTGCAGCTCAGGAAAAGGGCCTTGAAGCTGCACTTGCATTTGTGGAGAACTCGAAACTCGCTTTGAAGTAGGTTCTATTCTATTACCTTGCACAACTTTCACACTGTACTGGTAACTTTTTTTCTCTTTTTGCTTTTAAATTCTAGGACGGTGGGAGATGTTATGAATGGGATTGTGGGAAAATGCTTAGGAGCACCAAAAGCAAAGACCAAAGAAAATGCTATGTCTGTTGCATTGATGTATGTGGAAGTGGAGAAATATGACACAGTCCAGGAGGAACTCCTCAAGGGTTTTAGTCAGAAAAATCCCAAAGTTGCTGCTGCATGTGTATCAGTTTTCACATTGATTCTCAGGTGAGGAAGTCAACTGGCTCGTAATTAATCCCTTATTATATGCCGTACTTCATGGTTATGCCAAGACTTTCATCACTTTGTCTTGGATTGAAGATGGCTTAGATTATCACCTGTGCATCAATCATCACTCTATTGACTGGTAGGAGTGGATGTTACCTCTGCAGGGACATACTTTAGGTCTATCTTTTTTTTTTTTCTAAGTGACCCACCTTAGTGTAAAAAAAAGGGGTCTTTTTATCTACCTGAATGGTTGTCTGTTGGTGTAGTTCCCTTTTACAGGTGTTTCAAGGAATACTAAAAGTAATCTATACTTCAAACTTTGTTTTATCTTTCTTTTATAATAAATTTGAAATTTGCATAAAGTACCTGATTCAGCACGAGATCAAGGTTCAATGCTGTGAAGGCATTCTCATGCACAAAAGCGTTAATCTGCAGGAATGGAGTGAACCTTCTACAGCAATTTAGGGGGTCCCACCCTCATCCTTGTCATTTTGTGGGGAATTGTTGAGTTGAACCCCCTTATATAGTTAATCCAGCCCTGGGTAGAGAAGTATTAGAAATCTCTTCCTCCCATACAATAAACTGTCCTGCTTCTCATCACTGTAAAACTTAAATTTCAATCCCTGCCTAATTGCCTTGTCCTATGATGTTATTGTCCATCCTATCTTCATTGCTTATGAAAGTTATGCTTTTTTTTCACTTGATTGAGACATTCAAAGATGGGTCATTACACTTGACTTTGCCCACCTTGTTAGATTTTTTTTTTAATTTTTCTTGATAGAAGATCATGACCAGTGATTTTTATTATAGGGAATTTGGACCCAAAGTATTGAATCTGAAAACTTTGATGAAGCAAGTGCCTGTGATCTTGGATCATCGTGATGGTACTGTCAGAGAAGAGGGTAAGAAGTTATGTATAGAGTTGTACCGCTGGATTGGTCCTGCTCTCAAGCCTTTCATGCAAGACCTCAAGCCAGTCCAGGTGAGTGCTGTTAATTCCTTAATGAAGATTTTGGAGGAAGTTTACATAGTTTGTGAGCATGACGGTAATGGCTCTCCCTCTCAGGTGTCTGAACTTGAAGCTGAGTTTGAGAAATTGCCAAATGGAAAGCCCCAGCCAACACGATTCCTTAGATCTGAGCAAGAGAAGCGTGCAAAGCAAGCTGCTGAAACTGGAGGTGATGAAGCTGATGGGGGTGAGTTTACCATTGCATGTCATCATTTGAAATTTAAAACAATTTTTGCAAAAGAGAGTAGGTGTACTTCATATTTGGGCACCTTTTCATACTCATAAATCTAACAATTTTGTGGATTCATATTTGGCAGGAACAATGAATGATGGAATGAGGTGCTTAAAACTCAGACTTCAAGTGATCATGTTCTCATGAGCATGGGCCCCTTGAGCCAGAAAAAAGGAAAGGGTGAATATGGAAATTGTACTGTATAAGTATGGATCTTTATGACAAATCCTGAAGAGTGGGGTGGGGACGTTTGTGCTTGACTGGATGTACTAAACTATGAAAGTAAGGAGTATTTTAGGAGACCCCATCATCCCTGGCCATGCCATGTCCATGAGCACAAGACAGAGGAGCAACAAATACCTGGGGCAGGTGACAGAGAGAAGGAATAGATGCAAATTTTGCAGTGGTATTAGCTTTTGCCTTAGCAGCAGAGCAATGGTTTCATGACTTTTATTTATTTATAGAATCTGATTTGAATATAATGGGGAATTTCTCAGAAGTCTACCTAGTAGTGGGGACTTTTATGTGAGTCATAATTAATGTTTATGTATTGAAATGTATTACTATTTTACCAGTTTATACTTGAATTTCAAATTTTGAGTTTATGTTTAACTTGAAGGAGAAAAATATGATGTGTATGTTCTTCATACCCATCTAGGAAGCATTTTGCAATGATGGCTAAAAATGTAATACCCAGTTATGGGGTTAATTGTAGTTAAAATTTACTCTATGAATCCATGTTTTTGGAGCAAAGACAATTGTCAGTCAACAGAAGATGATGGAACAGAAAAATGGACATGATTAAGTCAGGAAGAGAGTATTAGTTAATAAAGTCTAATATCCTCCTCTTTTTTACTTCATTTTAAAGAAGTTTAATAGAAAGGAAATACTTTTTTCTTCAGGAAAATGATAAAAGAAATGCAGAGGGTGAAAGAATGGATTATCTTGGGTGAGGTTAAAGCCAGAGTTATTATAAGTGTAAAGCCCATTGTGTTACAGTAATGCTAAGGTATGCCAGGTTTCAACTTGGATGCTAGTTTTACAGTTCATACCTTGTCTTGGTATTGAGAAGAGTTATATCATGACAACTTGACAGGAGTTAACCTGAGCTGGGTGTTTCAGAGGTCCCTTCCATTTGCTATGTTGTTGACAGTTATTCTCAGAATGCCACCTACCTCTGTTCAAAGAGCATGTGTTGGGTGGTAAGCTGTGCTCTTTGTCCCCACCACTGTTGCTTACATAGGAGCATGCCCAAAACCCCATATTGTCCTGTCCAATTGTATCCATGATTGTCATGGATGTCATTAGATGGATCTCAACTTTTAGAATAAAATTTTCTATGGGCTCAACTTAATATGCATAAAGCAAAAACTTTGGAGTAAAATGAATGAGTAGAAAGGAAGCTATCTGGCAGCTACTCAAAGTACCCACAACCATAGTGTAATGGAATCTAGATTGCCAATGTAGCATTGGCAATCTTCATTGGTGGGTGCTGGGACTTCTCAAGAGAGAGTCTACATCAGTTCCTGGGAAGCATGAAGGGTCCACCTCCCCATGGTGGTGTTTCCTGGAAAATTAGATGGGCACACCATTCTTCAAGGGATTGAAGTTTGCAATGAGTGGTAACTCTTTAGATTAGGAGGAAAGTCAATGCTAACATGAGAATGAGATATAATGCAAAATTGGAACTGAACTCCACGCTTACCTGTTTCCTCTAATAGCACTTGAAAGATTTACAGTACTACTTGCATCCCTAGATATACAGTATTAGAAATTGATATTGGTTTGAAAATAGAGACAGACCTATAATATCAGTGTCAGTTCAAATTTTAGCTGTCTTCCCCCTTGTTTGCAGTTCTGAACTGCTGTTGCTTGAAGTGGATTCCATTTCTGCCTCATAAATAATGATTTCTAGTCCAATATATTGAACTGCAAGATAATTGAGCTGAAGGACATCAAACTCAATATCATATAACTGAAATGACTTATGGCAGTAACAGATATTTGTTGCATTCAGAGTCTGTGCTCATTAAGATATGAAATAATACCAAAGTATATGTCTCATTTATTCATTCATATATTTACTTGTACATGGTTGAAGGCTTGAAGCAGAGTACCATTGCTGACACAAAGCTTGGATATTGAGGAGTTTGCCTAAAGAAGCCCAAGCTGGTCCATATCCTTGATAATCTCTGCCAATCTGTCACTTGTACCTAACTTAGAAGAAAACATTGCAGCTGCTGAAATGTAGTGAAGGAGAGCAGACATTTGACAAATACGAAAGTCCTCTTCGAACTTCTCCAAAGTGTAGAATTCACAAGAGAATCCATTATCACTGATGTGCTTGTGAAATTCCGTAAAGTAGAAATCCTTCATTTTCTCAGAGAGCTCTTTTCTTGTTGTCGTGTCCGTGCTGGTGAAAAGGAGGAACACAAGATCGTGTACCCCATTTCCATAGGAGCAATTCTGTTCAAGAAATAGAAAGTTATTTGCATTCATGGGATCAGTTTCCTTTGGCATTGAATCTGAATGACTTCTTACCTGAAAGTCTATTAGTTTGCATCGAAAAAATGGCTCCTCAGTGAAGAGGACGTTGAAAGCCGTGCAGTCAAAATGGGTGGCGACAGCCATGGGCTCCCGTGGTTTCAGAAAGTCCTTTATTTTCGTGGCTGCCTCCCCCTTGAGGGTTTCCAGTTTCATCAACAATTCTTGCGATTCTCCACGAGATCGCAGGCAGTCGAATAAGAGTTGAAAGCCTGAGTCTAGAAAGCCTTGGAGATGCGGGTCTTCGTCGACGCAGTATCTCGCCAAGAAGGGCCATAATTCCGTCAAGGGTTGCGTGTTTTCTTTGATTTTGATGATGAAACTGCCGGCATGGAACATGGCCAAGGCGCGGACGCATTCCGTCAACTGCCGTTCGTCCATGCCGCGACGAATATCAGCGTTTCTAAAGCCGTGCTTTCTCAGATCATCCAAGAGAATGAGGGATTCGAGACCTAGGCAGTCGCGGACGACGAAGTCCCCGTCTCTCACGTGTTGGGATAAATGGGCTTCGACGAAGGGCCAAGGTTCAGGCCGAGACAGGACATCCCGGATGCGGGGGAGGAGTCGTTTGTAGACCAGCGCCTCCCGATAGTGAAAGTGGTGATAGAGGCAGAGGCTGCGATAAAACTCTGACTCGGGCATGATCTTGGCCACCCATTCTTTCGTGGTTCCGTCAGGGAGGGTGATCTCTAGGGGCAAGATGAGACTCAAAACCCCCAACCCCGCGTTGATTTCCTCGCCCACTTGACGACACGTTTTCACCTGTAAGCCCACTTCCTTGAGAAGGGCGAGTGTGGCTTCTCCATCCAACTTGGCACTCGATGTCATTTCATTCCGTGGCACAGACTGTGCGACTTGGCCTTGAGATTCTAGATGTGGCTTCGTTATGCCTCCTCGGCACGTGGACGCTTCCAGGCACCGAAGGGGAAGTGTGTCAGGTCAACGCTCGAGTCTTCTCCCTTTCTCTTGCTTGTTTTGGCCCAGGAAGGATTCACTTCGTTCACATATGAATTTACTTATGCTCGTTCTGGAATGCATTTTGACACGCTCTCCATCGTAGTTGTCTTCCCCGACACAAGGTACATGTCTGGCTGGATCAAGAGCTGGTTGCTGAGCCCAGGTGAAAGAGCGAGAACAATCTAGCTGCAAAAGTATCACGCAGTCGAAACACGGACGCCTTTCCTAGCTGAACTATGTACCGTGCAGCCAGTTGTCTGTCATACATTTGAGATGGTGCGAAAAATATGGGGAGAGAGATCTTGGAGAATAGCTATAGAAATAAATGAAATATAATTATGCACATGAACATGTATCTCCGTGCTGGTCTGCCTCATAAATACCTCAAATAGATACACGAATGAACAGGTTTGGCAATATTTAAATTAATGCATTCTAAATACAGTTGACGCTCGATATAACGAACTCGAAGCGGCAGGCTAAAAAATTCGTTATTGGGAAAATACCAACATTTTGCTGAAAAGAAACGTGCTAAACTTAAGAATTTCATTTATTGCAAAAAAGACAAGTAGTATTCCATTCATTAAAAAAATGCAGTGGCCTAAGCACGTGTCATTGCAAGCTTCCAAGATGTATGTACTCTAATGGGCATGCACAGCAGTGTGTACTTAGGTACGTATAATAAAAAATCGGACGAGCCACCAACGCTGCCTATTCATAGGAAACGAAGTCCCTAATGATAGTCTGCCGCGCTCCTTCATGGACGGTTCATTGAGCCTTGGTTTGCAGAGCACTCGATATTCGAAAAGTTTCAAGCTCAGATTTCGACCTTTTGATTGAAAAACAGTAGAAGAATTTGATTGCCCGACTAAGCAGAATTCTGGTCTCGACTTGATCCTGATACTCAGAATAACGACTGACTGACAGAGCTCCCGAACTACCCACGGGACGCACCCATAAGTAGGGTGGAAATTGCTAAATTTAGAAATGAGTTGAGATATTCCTGGGGTGCACAAGTGATGGTAGTTCTGACACGTGCAGGAAAGTTAAACTATCAATCTATGAAACATTTTTCTTTATTTGAGCGAAAAAATGACTTCATGAACCCAAACAGTTCGTTATGCAGGACTTAAAGAGAAACTTTTCAATGTGGATGTGAATGAGCAAACGGCCAAGAACTGGATAAAATTTCGTAATAAATAAAATTCATTACATATTAGTCGTTCATTATACATGGTGTCCGTAAATGATTTTTCCGATTTTGATGTTTTATTTTACTCCGACTGTTTAGCTGCTTTGAAATTATATGTAATCTGAACTCTAAAAGTTTGAATTTGACGCTAGATTGCAAGTTGTGCATTCTGCCCGCTGGGCAGAGCTACATTCGTCGGTACGGCAAAAATGGTGTCCGGGCCGGAGAAAGCGTTCTGTGTCTTGGCGTTTCATGAGACAAAATCTGTTGTTACAGTGCAGAGACAGTTTCGACGGAAGTATGGGAAGGCTCCTCCAAGCCAGCCATCAATTCATGCTTGGTACGAGCGTTTTGTTAGCGATGGCTGTGTGTGTAAACGTAAAAGCACCGGCAGACCGTCCGTGAGTGCTGAGCACATTGAAAACATTCAGCAATCATTTCTACGCAGTCCCCAAAAATCTGTGCGGCGTGCCAGTCGGGAACTTAACATGCCGAAAACAAGTGTCTGGCAGGTTCTTCGCAAGCGCCTTCATTTGTGGCCATATCGATTACAGATGTTGCAAAAACTGAAACCTTCGAACAAAGTGAAGCGGTATGACTTCTGTTGCAACTTCTTTTTGTGGGGTTTTGAGAAGAATGTTACGTCCCTCCGCTGCCAACAACACTGGAGGAGTTGAAGACACGGATCAGAGAGGCCTGTGTTAAAATTGACCATCAAATGCACCGCAACGTGTGGCAAGAGATTGAATATCGGTAAGATGTGGTTCGAGTTACTCGTGGCGCTCACATTGAACTTGATTAATGACTTTGTGTACGTCAATAAAAATGGTTAAAATTGTTCTTTCGGTTGATATGTGCTTCATAAGTGTAGCTTGAAGTAACGCTGAATAATAAAATATCCAAATCGGAAATATCATTTACGGACACCCTGTATTGAGCGTCGACTGTGTATGCAATGTTCCCTTATATGTAATCTGTAATTCCTTTTAAAAGTACAATCCATGGTATATCAAGGCTGTATGGGGAGACATCTATTTCAGGATTTTGCTAATAGGTGAAATTTTAAATGATATTAAGAATCCTATTTTATTTTAAATGTAAATGTGAATAGATCAGTATCCCATGTTTCAGGTTGCCTTTGCATTTTCTCAAGCATATTATTTGGTATTGAATAAAAAGTAGTGTTCCTGGTTTCACATGGGAAAACAAACTGTCTTATTTATCTTATTTTTGTACCTGCTGCTGTTGCCACATATCACTAAGACTATAGCTTTCTTCTGCTCTGTAGTTCTGGAAAATAGATTTTTGTTTTTTGATCAAGTGGATAGAATGAGGCATGATAGCTATATGCTGTGAGGCTCATCAGTCAAGCCCTGAATGTTCATTCCTTCTTAAGCATCACATGGTTTTTTTGTTCTCTGACAGGAGAGCAAAGGATAATATCTGCCTTCTTTTGTCCTTTGTTTCTCACCCAGTAGAAGCTATGAAACAATAAACAATGGGTAAGGTGACTCATTCCCTCTTAAGAAAGCAGTGATCTTCATTTTTTTTAAATATGCTAATCTTTGTGAAGCTTGTTTTTTTATTTTTATTTTTCAAAAGCTTCAGTTCTTCAGAAGCTTTTGGCTTGGCTTAAGTTCCCAGTTCTTTGGAATATTGTTTACATATGGTTTACTGGCTTGTGCTGAGTGTATAGTTTCCACATTCCAGATGAAGGTGCTGAGGGTGATGAAGTTGTTGCTATTGATCCACACGAACTGTTGGACCCAGTCGAGATCCTTTCTAAATTACCCAAAGACTTCTATGAGAAATGTGAAGAACCTAAATGGAAGGACCGGAAGGAGGCATTGGATGGTCTTCAACCTTTGGTCTCTAATCCAAAGCTGGCAGTTGGTGATTATGGGGAGCTTGTCAAGCAACTTAAAAAGGTACATTTTTCCCTCTTTTTCTTGAAGAATTGCAGCTTGCCAAAATTGTAAGTGTCAATCTTGTCGTTCTTGCATTTCAGATGGTACAGAAGGATTCAAATGTGGTGGTTGTTGCACAAGCAACTCAATGTCTGACTGGACTTGCCAATGGGTTGAAGAAAAAATTTTATCCTTATGCAGCATCTTGCATCCCTGTCTTCTTAGAGAAATTCAAGGAGAAGAAACAAAATGTTGTCACTGCATTGCGTGAGGCCATTGATGCTGTTTCTCAGACTGTAAGTGTCATTCCTGTAGGACATTGCTGTTGCTTGTACTGGTGGCTAGTGAATGAATTACAAAGTTGGTGTGCCAATAGACTTCTATGGAGGCTCTTCAGGAGGATGTCTTGGCAGCACTGGAAAACAAGAATCCAGCAGTGAAGGCAGAAACATCAGCTTTTCTTGCTCGAAGCTTTGCCATCTGTTCCCCTGCAGTTTTGACTAAAAAGCTCCTTAAGGGGTATTGTGCCAGTCTCTTGAAGGCTCTCAATGATTCAGGTATATGTGACTGTTCATCAGTACTGTTATCCAAATATCTGCTGAACTCTTGTGACTCATTGAATTCATGTTAAACCTCCAAATAGATGCAACTGTTCGAGAGAATGCAGCCCAGGCATTGGGAACTCTTTTAAAGGCTGGTGGAGAGAAGCTGGTCATGCCTTTCCTCACAGATGTGGATAACATCAAGATGGGAAAAGTGAGTGGCATTTGTAAGAAATGAAAGGAAAGGAGGACTGGGTTGTACTGGCTGCACCATTGAAACAAATTTGGTATTCTTTGGATTTTGATCACATTGATGACAGGATCATAACTTGGAAACCAATATCATTACCTGCAAAGGAATTCAGTTCAGGAGGTAATCCCTTCTCTGTATCTACGAGGTCTGACAATAAAATGAGACTGACAACACTGTAATGCGTGTGGCAACACTGGGTTACTGGCAATTGCTGGAACCTGTCAGTGCATGTCTTAAGTCTATGCAGTAACAATCTTGTTGTGATACTTCTAGTGATTGCAGAGCAGTACCACTTTACCTAAAGTAGTGTTAGGGGCACTCGTTAAAAAAATGGGTGATAATATTAGGAACAAAGGATCATTGTGAAATTTCTAATCAAACTTGGGGAAAAAACCAACTTGAAGTCTTTGAAATGTTGAACTTTCCATTAAAACCAATCGTACTGTCTCTCTTGATGCACAGTACTTCGGCAATAATTCTGACAATAAGATGATGATCACTTCGCACCAGAGGTCTCACATTTTCTATGTTTTCATCCGATTTTGAAGGTGTCGAACGTCCAGGTCGTCTTTTAAACTCAACTTCTTCCCTTCCTTCAGAAAAGCATTTACACCATTCAAACACATTTTGCTCTGGACATTTCTTCATCTCTGTACACTTGTTTCAATATTTCAAAGACTTCAGTTGTTTTTTTTTTCCCCAAGTTTGAGTAGAAATTTCACATTGATTCTTTGTTCCTAATATTATCACCCATTTTTTTGACGAGTGCCCCTAATACTACTTCAGGTAAAGTGGTACTGCTCTGCAATCACTAGAAATATCATGACAAGTTTGTTGCTGCTCAGACTTAAGACATGCACTGACAGGTTCCAGCAATCGCCAGTAACCCAGAGTTGCCACACATATTACAGTGTTGTCAGTCTTGTTATTTTATTGTCAGATCTTGTAATTTGATAAGGGAAAAAACCCACACAATAAGTAAATTTAATTATCAAAATGGTTCACCTTGTTTGATTTTGGAGTTCAAAGGACATGAGGTGACTTGCTAGCTTTAATCAGGGCAGTCACTGCACCTGAACACTCCAGGTGTCGGGAACAAAGTGGTTAATGACTAAGCTAATGACTCAGTTTAATGAGGTGCTCAATTGATGTCACTTGCTGTGTATGCATTTTTAACAGAAAACATGGATGAACAGAAGTTTCTCCATGTGATTGTCAAACCAATCCAGCACATTTGGGAGCATGCAAATAATTGCAAGATTTCATTAGGTATATTCTTATTTCACAACCTGTTCATTATTACTGCACACTTATTTTCATGGTTATTATTTAACATTAGATATTACATTCAGATAACTTTGCTTGCATAAAAATTTTTTTTTTGCTCATAGATCAAAGAGTATTGTGACAAGGCAGAGGTGAAGGCGCCTACCTCCAAGCCCAAGGCTAGATCTCGTGGTGGAGAAGCTGAAGCAACTGAGCCTGCCCCAAAAAGTAATACTAATAAAGGTCCTGTCATCAAGAAGCCAACACCCAAGGCATCTCGGCCATCAACTGTTCCTGCTAAGGCTCCAGCCAAGAAGGCACCTCCAGGTAGAGCATCAGTAATAAATCAAAATGCATTAGGAACTTCTGGTGTCATTTATAGCTTCCTTACCTGCAAGCAAGGTAGATCACCTCTAAATATCCTTCATTCTATCAATCAATATCTCAGTGAACTGAAAGCAGTAAGCTTGAATATATCTAAGCATATCTTATCTTACCAGTTTTGTTTTAACAGTAAAAAAAAGGTTCTGTGTATTGAAGGTGGCAAAAGTTGTATAGAGCCCAATAGCATTTAGTATAGAGCCAATAGAGCCCAATAATTTGGAGTGCTACACTGGTATATATAAAAAAGGCTATCACAATTGATCTGTGATTTGAATATGTGCATAATTTTATCTTCTGCATTTGCATGATCCTCCCAAAAATCCTGGACATGTTCTCTTTGTGCAGTTTATCAGTGCTTTTCACTTTGATTATTTCTGTTACCTTTCCATGTCAATACTCTTCCTGACTTACCTTTGTTGGTTCTTTTTTCTTGTTCTTTGTTGCCTTAGGAGCAAAACCTATTTCAGGAGGGGCAAAAGCAGAAAGCAAGGAGTCTGTTGTCACTGAGAAGGAAATGAGTCTAGAAGAGGCTGAGGAGATGTGTGCAGAACTCCTTGGCCCACAGCTCATCACAGAAATGGTGGATACCAATTGGAAAGTGCGACTGTCAGCCCTTGAACAGTTTCTAAATGTATGTGCTGTGTAGCTTTACCTTTTTTTATTATTTGTAAATGCAATTTCTTCAGTGATATTCATTTGCTTGTTTTCAGGTGATAAACAGTTCAGAAGGATCAAAGCTGCCTTGCCAGGCTTTGGTGAGAATTTTGAGCAAGAAGCCTGGATTGAAGGACAATAATTTGCAAGTTTTGAAGCTTCGCTTTGATGCACTGAAGATCATGGCTGAAAAGTGCAAATTCACCAAGTGAGAATATTCTGATATTCTTGTTTTTCCCTCTTTTTATTTATTTCTGCAAGTGGTGCCACTTGTCTTGCAGGGTGTCTGGAGATTGTGTCCTAGTGGACCTTATTGACAAGCTGGGTGATCCCAAAACTGGAAGCTCAGCTTCCGCAGCCCTGAATGCTGTGGCAGAAGCCATTACATTTGCCTATGTTGGAATGCAAGCTCTCACCTATGCCTTTTCCCAAAAGAATCCAAAAGTCCAGGCTGACACTCTGACCTGGCTATCTGAAGCAATCAAGGAATTTGGCTTCTTGTGAGTTCATGATACAAGGTCATTCCCATGTATTGGTAATGCATAAGCTGAATGTTTGTAAGCCAGGAAGTTTCTTTTTATTGATCTAGGTTGCCTGCCAAGACAGTGATAGACAGTGTGAAGCAGGCACTAGCTGCAACCAACAAGGGAGTAAGAGATGCCAGTATAACCCTCCTTGGCACAATATACCTTTACATGGGGAAGAAAGTTCGGGTTTTCTTTGAAGATGAGAAGCCAGTTTTGCTCCAGCTCATTGATGCTGAGTTTGAAAAAGTACTCATTCTGCTTATCTGGATTGAAGTTTGGCATAACATGCTTTATATTTTGAACCTTGTGTATCCATAGCTAAGTGGTGCAGTGGCGCCACAACCATGTCGAGGGTTGAAGAAAGCTCGAGATGAAGAAGGGGACGGTGATGAATGTAATGAATTTGAAGGAGAATCTGAGGAGACTAAAATTGACCTCTCCATACCTCGAGTGGACATCAGTGATCAAATCACACATTCCCTGCTTGAAGAGCTTGCTGATAAGAACTGGAAGGTGAACATTTCTGACTAATTGTTGTGGGCATTTATCCAGATCTGAGTTTCAATTAGATTCTGGTCTCATTGAAGGTACGCAGTGAAGCCTTAGACAAGGTAGCTTCCATCATCTCATCAGCCAAGTTTGTGACTGCCAACTTGAATGACCTTCCATCTGCTCTGAAAGCACGTGTTGTTGACAGCAATAGGAATTTGGCTGCTCAGGCCCTGACCATTTGCAAAAACTTGGCTGAGGCTTTGGGACCATACTGCAAACAACACGTTCGAAGCCTCATTCCCGGCGTCCTGCAGGCTTTGGGAGACAACAAGGTACTATATAAAACTACCTGGGAGATTAGAAGCCTTATAAGAGGGGACCATGGCATTCAGAAACCTCATTGGATCCCAGTTTCGATACTGAATGATACAATGGTAAAAACTGAATGCCAGATTAAATCTTGTGGACTCTAAGGGTTCTGTTAATGGTGTTGACTGAACCCATTTCACACCTCAGACATTCTTAGATCTTCCCTGAAAATGCTAATTTAAATGTTTAAAATACTAAATAAATAAAAAATCATCTGGCAAAACTTGATAGCTGTGCTAAAAAAAAATTTAATGACAAGGACTCAATCTTTTTAGTAAAAGATTTAAAGAAATTACATTTGGCAATGTCAACTGGATTGTGGGATTGACTGACCTTTGTATTGAAGCATGAATATCTTGAAGAACCTCATTCCTTATAGAATTTCATCCAGCTCATAGACAACTCTCAAAACCATGGAAAAGGCTGATTGTCATTGACTGGTACCTGAGGTCAGCTGTAAAGGGCAAGATCAATATATTCAGTCAACAATGATGACTTCCAAATGGTCATATTCTTTGATAATACATTTTAAGTGGCTGAAGCAGAGCTCAAAGCCTTTGGTTTCACAGCTGATAGGGAGGGAGGAATGAAATCATTGGTTTAACTTTGTTCAGAACAAATGACATAGAAATTTTTATAAGCCAGATTGTGACATTCAAAGAGATTAATGGTGGTGCCTTCTTGTTTTGAGTATGAGGTTTGATGTGACTCCTGGGATATTCCTTGGCCCTTAGGGCTGTTCAGATTATTTAATAATAAAAAAACCTATAATTTCATGCCAAGGGGGAAGTTTAAAAGACCTTCTACATTTCTCTACAAAATTGAAAGGGATGACAGTAAGTCTTGTAATGTAGGAATTTTGAATGCTAGATTGCAAAAAGCTGTGCTCTGTTGCATTTACTTGAGCTATGAGCTGCCAACTGTGTTTTTTTTTTTTAAGGAAAAGACATTAAAATATCAAATATGTCTTGCATGTAGTTTTGGAATTGTAAAACACTGACTTGGCAGAAATGATAGATGGAGTTTGTTGTGCATCTGATCACCTGTTGCCACTTGGATGATTGGGATCAAAAGTCTTGGGATGGATTATTGTCATGTGTTACACAAAGGAGAGAAGAATGACTGCATCTGAGCTGAGGAGATGATGTACATTCTCCATAGCGTTAATTAATGAATACTGATGCCTTTTGAATAAAAATGAAAATACAATCCAGTCATCACAGTATTCTTTTTTTTTGTAGAGTAACATTAGGAGTGCAGCTTTGGAGACCCTGAATTCCTGGTTGGAGCACTCTCCAATGGAGGCCTTTTGGGAAGGTGAAATGATGGCTGATGCTCTCAAGACAGAGAATCCCTATGTGAGGGCTGAGCTGCTTAAGTGGATAGCAGAAAAGATCCCTGATGGTAAGGCTGGGAGTGTAACAGAACAATATGACACCCCATCTATTTATTTGATAATATTGTTATTTTCTTTTACAGTCAAAAAGCTGCCCAAAGATGAAGTGTCTGCATGCATTCCCCATTTATATACCTGTTTGGAAGATCGTAATCCAGATGTGAGGAAGAATGCTCAGGATGCCATCCTTCCTTTCATGATTCACTTTGGATTTGAGCCTATGATGAGAGCCACAGGAAAGCTCAAGGTATGAAAGGCACATGTGCAAAAAGCAATTACACTGAAACTTGTGACATTGTACAGAACAGAACTTTCTTTCAGTGGGTATGTGGATTGCATGTGCAAGAAAACTTACTCAACAAGGGCCTAGCTTATGAAGTGTTTGATGCAATGGTAAACTCAGATATACATCAGTCAGCTAACTAAGAACATGACATCAGAGCTACCTGCTATAATGTGTACTGGGAGCAGTAGAAGCCTGCCTTCTACACATTTAACCTAGGGCTCCCCAGGCTGAAGACAAAGAATGCAGACATGGTGACTTTTTGCTAGTTCTATGTCTTATTTTTAAGCTGTACCAAGGGCCAATTGTGATCCATACCCATCGACTGATTCCAATGTGACATGAAGATTAAGAACCAAGAACCATGGCATAAAGTACTTATTAAATTAAGCCTATTAGGAAGCAAAGCCATGTTTTCCTCCTTTTTTTGGGTTGTCACTGGCCATTTCAAAAACATTGATGCATCAACTTGAAACCTCCCATTGTTGTGCTCTCTCAATTGCTTTACCCTAGAAGCAGCAAGGTTAAACCCTGTGATGGATGAAGTGTTGATTGATCGACTGTTGCTGCTTATAAGGTTAAAAATACATATTTCACTCCCATGAAATGAAAATAAACTTGATCATTGTGTCAAAATCTTGGACTTCACAAGCACTGGCCTACCCCAAACTCTGAGCTTAATTATGAATTTAATTGCTTTTAGAGGAGTCATGGAGATATCTGAAGGAACCTGAAAGTTATTTTTTTACCAATATTTTTTTAAATATTAAGTTTATTGCCCAGGAGGCTCTAATTATTTGTGTCATAATATTTAATGACTCATTTTACAGCCTACTTCCAAAGCAACAGTGTCAGCTTTATTGGAGAAAGCCAGACCAAACTTACCTGTCCAAACACAAGCTCAGCCTGCTTCCAAGGGGAAAACTGGAGGAACTCGGCCTGTTTCATCAACATCCACTGGTGAAGATTCAGGCAAGAAACCCCTCAGTGCTGGAGCAAAGACAACAAAAGCTATCAAGGGTGGAAAGGTAATACCTGCAATTCCTGAGAATTATTATTATTCCTGCCTCTGTCTGACTGGTGACTTTACACTCTGTCCTACAGCCTGCAGTGCCCGCAAGTGCACGAACAACCCGAAAGAAGGAGGAAGATGTGGATACATCACCTCTGTTGGCTGTTAGCACTCTAAAAAATCAGAGAATACTTGATGAACAAAAGCTCAAGGTACTGTACAACTCTATTCAATTGCTTCTATGGTTGGAGGATGGCTTGATTTCTTCTCATGAGATGGATTTGATGGATTAGGTCCTGCGATGGAATTTTACAACTCCTCGAGAAGAATTTGTGGACCTCCTTCGTGACCAGATGATTACTGCCAACTTCAATCGCTCTCTTATTGCTCAACTGCTGCATAATGACTTCAAATTCCACATCAAGGCTATTGAGGCCCTGGAAGCTGTAAGCAGTTTCCTCATATTGCCCTCTTGCTCATTATTGTCAACTTATTTCTAAAATTAGTTTTTCTTCAATAGGATCGTCAAAATGTGGAAGCTGTGATGGCCAATCTGGACTTAATCCTGAAGTGGATGACACTGCGGTTTTTTGAGACCAACCCATCTGTGATCCTTAGAGGCCTGGATTACCTTCAGGGTGTGTTCAGTTCCCTTGCTGACCACAATTACCACATGCTTGATGCAGAGGCCAATTGCTTCATCCCATACCTAATACTTAAGGCAAGCCCTGCTCTGATTCAGAAAAGTGTAACATCTTGGAGCAGTCAACTCTAGTTAGCTTTACTGTAGATGGGAGATCCAAAGGATGCTGTCAGGTCTTCTGTTAGAGGAATCATGAAGACAATCAGCCACATTTATCCAAGCACAAAGATCTTCCCTCATGTCATGGAAGGAACCAAGTCTAAAAATGCACGGCAAAGAGCTGGTGAGGAACATTTGTAACACAAAGATTTATTTGATTTTGATGTTATTTTTGTCATTTACATGAGTTGTGTTCTCTTTTCCAGAGTGCCTGGACCATATGGGCCACATGATCTCAACTTGCAGGCTGACAGTATGTCAGCCTACCCCCCAAGCAGCTCTGAAGGAAATTGCCAAGCAGATTGCTGATCGTGATAACTCTGTGCGAAATGCTGCTCTCAACTGCATTGTCCAGGTTTACTACCAAGAAGGAGAAAGGGTGTATAAGCTTGTGGGGAATGTGAGTGCCTTTGTTCGTCCTTTCCATATGTCTCTTCTTTTGTCCATCTTATAGTAGTTTAACTAGTGTCATTCACTTCTTGTTCATAGTTGTCTGACAAAGAGATGAGTCTGTTGGAGGAACGTTTAAAGAGAGCTAGCAAGAATGCACCTCCAGTTCAACCGAAGACTGATGTTCCTCTGAGCAATCCTGGAAATGACCTGCCTGCTGTGCGATCAGCATCTCAAAGTCGTATTTCTCCACATGCTGCCCAAAATGGTGTGACTGAAAATCATGCCACTGTGACCAGGAGGTGAGTGGTAATTGAGAATATGTTGGCTATAAAATGATTCATATGTATGATGGCATTTTGTATTAGTGGTCATTTTAATAATTAGTAATAAATTAATATAGGTCATTTTAATAATTAGTAATATATGGCCTTTTTGCATGGCAGATCCTCAAGTGCTAAAAAGGGAGCTCGTCCCATCTCAACCCGATTTGCCCTGGACCTGTCAAGTGATGAAGATGCACCTGAGAAAATTGAAAGACCCCAACTCATGCAGGTAGAACTGGAGGAAGAGGAGGATCACATTTTCCTACCTAAGCGGAAGTGAGCCCACAGTGAATCCATAGTCCATCTAGTCAAGAAGGTTAACAGTCAGTAGCCTTACTTCATGATTTGTATGACAGGACACTCCCAACAAGTCCATCAAAGCAGGCTCTGAGTGCTTCTGCAGATGCAATTCAAGCTGTGGAGTTGGTTGTGAGTCAGATCCCTTCTCCTAACCTCACCACCAGTCTCAAGGCCATTGCCCAGATTATTGAGGTCATCAAGCATGAACAGGAGCACCAAACACTCAAGCCTTTGTGAGTTTCAATTGGTCATATTTCTTGATCTTGAACCAGAAATCGATTGTGCCAGACTGTATCTGGCTATCATAATTCCATTAAATATTCTGGTAGAGTTGGCCAATTGGTGATTTTGATGAACCTGAAGATGAAGTTGACATATGAGTCATGCTCATCGTCAGACTCAAACAAGGAAGAAATCATGAGGATCTTTCGCAACCTCCTCCTCCTTTGTCTCACTGTAAGCTTGTACCCCCTAATTTTTTTTATGCTGTCAAGTGATTCATCTGAAAGTTGTATCTTCTGGGCAGTTGTCAGAAAGGCAAACATTGGTGACAGAGATCCTTAAGGACCCATTAAAGGATCTGATGAGGTTGTATCTTGTCATGTTGGCTGACCCCAACCTCTTGAATCTCCCTCAATATGCCTACTTGTCTAAGAACCTTCAGAGGGTCCTTGCTTCTGTGATATCAAATGCTGACCCCACCCAAATGATGTGGTAAGATTTATGCATGCTAGTGTGAAAGTGATGTTACTTGCACATATGCTTTAAGCTGGCTTTCCATCTTTCAGTGCTTGTGTATCCCTGATCCGTGAGAGTATTGGAAGCTCCCTTCATTTTGGAAATATTGATCATCAGAAGTTTTTGCAATTTTTGATGAAGTCCTGCTGGAGAGCCACTAACCAGCTCCCATCCACAGTTCATAACATGCAGTTGAAGCCAGTATTTGATGAGATCCATGCTTTTTGTAAGGTGAGGCTTGTATGGTGGTGTGACTCCAAGTCACAATTCACATATATATTCATTTTTTGTATTTGAATCAAATTATGATTCCTCTTCACTGTTAAAATCTCTGATTCAGTTCCATCTTCATTCATCCTGATATCTTTCTTACCCTCAGGCTCATCCAGTGGTTTCATTGAAGAGTGAAACTGCTGTAATGGGAGATATGCCTCTTCGCACCATTCGTACTGTTCTCCATTCCCTTGTCAAGTTGAAGAGTAAGGCTAGCCTTCAACTGATTCAAGAAAATCCTGAATACAGTGAATCATACCTTGCTGCAGACACCAAGCGATATTATGGTGCCATTGTAAGTGCTTACTTCCTTCCATTTACATATTTTATATGATGAGGCATAACATTTTAAGAAGAACATTATTTTACTTATTTCATCCTTTGTAAATGCAGATGAAGGAGAGAGAGAAGGAGGGTGATAGAATGATGACTAAGATCCCAAAATCTGCCCATGAGAAACTCACAGAGATCTTCACCAAAATCGGGAATAAAGAGGAAACAAAAGAAGGACTAGTGATGTTGTTTGAGTTCAAGCAGCAGTACCCTGAGACAGACCTCTCTCCTTTCCTCAACAAATCTTCCCAGTTTTTCAAACGCTACGTGGAACAGCATCTGGCGAAGATAGAGGCTGAACGTGCCTCCACCACCACTGCCCCACTGCATTCATCAGTACCCCAATGTAAGCTTTGCTGCAACATGACAATGCTATGAAGGTGCTGAAGAAAAGGATTAATGTTCTTGTGGGATTTCCAGCATGTCCAGCAACTGATGGGCAGGCAGAAGTGGGGAAGATCGACCTGGATCGATACATGAGGACGCTGCAGTCGTTCCGTGCCCGCATGGGACTCGAGCCAGCCAACTCGATGACCAACAGTGACCCCAGCCCTGAGGATAAGAAGCAGAGAGAAAACTTCTCTATGGACATCTCCCCTTCATCCACTGAAAATCATCCCCCTCAATCTTCACCCATCTCCTCATCCCCGGGCTCCAAACCCGTCTTCTTCTGAAATTCCTGCCCCTTTTCTCCACTTGGATACTGTCTCTCCTCACTGACTGTCTATTTGAGCCCTGTGTAACTTCTGATTAATAGTGCCATGATTGTTTTTTTTATGACTACACATTTCTTGACAAAATAGTGATGCAAAAGAGCTGATATAAAAGAAATCTCATTTTTCCCTCTGGTGTTGTCACTGACCAATTCCTTCACTATCAGTCTCATTGTCACCAAATCCTTCAGAGACTATAGCTGGGAGGAGCAACCCTCTTAATTTATTTAGTTGGCCAACTTACTACTGAGCCTGACTTAGTTGGAAGCAATCACATCGATCCGTGTATGATGTCAGAGGCAACTTGACTCGTTTCCCTTTTCAATTCACCTTATTTTCGGTGCGGTGGTGGTAGTGGGTACCGGGTGTTGCACATGGATAGCCACACTCCACAGCTTAAACTATAGGAGCTATGAAAACATTTTTTATATATTTGGAGTCCTTGTTCAATTTTGAATCTATTCCATCCCATTTTGTTTTTTTTTCCGATGTCATGATGGTGAAGAACTTAAACTCATTGATCGCATCCATGCAATTACATTTCGAGCTCATGTCAGAGCTGAATTCGTTACCCGTTCATGGGTTTCGAAAAAGATTAAAGGTTCAGCTTCCGTCTAATGAAGCCCTATTTTTCAAAGCTTTGATCACACGGCAATTGCTGTAAGACTCAGGGATTGATTTTTTTTGGAAATGCGGAATGGCCAGGAAACTCCTGATCTGAATGCGGCTGAGAACATTGGGGTTCTCCTGAAAGATGGAGCTGAGGTTCATGCACATGAAGGGCAAGCAGCATGGATTCTCCCGGGAAGCCTTGCAAAGCGACATCACCAGGGAGTTGAAAGCGCTTCTTTTCAATTTACCTCGCTCGTATTAAAGCTCTCAGAGACAGCTAGGGTGCACAAATATTATGAGAGGTACATGTTTAGATTCGAAAATGCTCTTTCTCATGATATACGAGTTTTTTTTCCTAGCTCTGATAGTTTAGGCCAGTGGTTCCCAATCTTTTATTTGCGGCACACATAAGGACACTTGAACTTTCCACGGCACACCCAGCCATTTACTTACTTTCAAATGGAAAACTTGTGCTTACTTCGCTGAACACAGCAGTTTGATACGAGGCGTGATAGTACAACTCTCAGCTCATTTTCCTCTGAGAGATGGTATTCCCTCTGGTTTTAAGTTTTTTATTTTTAGTTTTTTTTGTCAACTCTGAAATCTCACGGCACACTTAAGCCTTACTGGCGGCACACCGTTTGGGAAACACTGGTTTAGGCTGTGGNGGGGGGGGGGGGGGGGGGGGGGGGGGGGGGGGGGGGGGGGGGGGGGGGGGGGGGGGGGGGGGGGGGGGGGGGGGGGGGGGGGGGGGGGGGGACTATCTATATGCAACACCCGGTAGGTTCATCCAGCAGATGCTGATTGAAACTAACAGGATGGAATGGGCTCAGCTAGATTTGGTCTACGCTCAGCTTTAGCCATGAAATACGGTATTCTTTCTCTTCAGATGATCATTTGTTTGTACCATTTACACGTAACCTTTTTGAGGGAGAACTCATTAAGGCTGAGTGCAAAGGAAGTTGCGGTGTCAGGATTTCTCTTGAGTTCTCGATAATTAACTTAATTTCACAAAAAATGCAGGTCATGCGGAATGACTAAAGGTGTCCCAAATAGACAGTGACAACAATGGTGTGATCCGGAGGAAGTTGTGGAACTACTCCCAAGTTTCTGCTCAAGCCAATGGCATCCCTGACTCGAGAAAGAAGTAGAACAGAAGAGAAGGGTAAAGGTATGGCTCACTGATACCGTGATACGAGGGGCAGGCAAATAGTTTCCCTAGCTGCACTGCCGTACTTCCAGTGGCGTAGCCTGGGTTTCACCAATGGGGGGGGCTTACTTCTCCTCGCCAATCATCGCCTGGGGGAGGGGGGGCTTGAACCAAACTTGGGGGGGTTGAAGCCCTCGCTACGCCACTGCGTACTTCAAACATAAGGAAGAACTAAAACATTCCCTTCTTGGGTATCCCCATGTACGTTCTTGGGTATCCCCATGTACGTTCTTGGGTATCCCCATGTACGTACCTTGGGTAAATGTACGTTCACGCAGTGCTGTTGGGTGAAAGATGGCAGTACTGCTTAAAAAGTCTTTTCTTTCCTATCAATTAAATATTAACGGAGCTGAAACTTCACAAGAGTTTACTCTTAGAAGACGCCAGTCACAACTGAACGGAACGCAAAAGGGACCTCTGCAAAATGCTTCCGCGGCAGCAAACGTCGCACCGACGCCCCCAGAGGGAGCCAAACGGAACCGAAGGGATAGGGAATACTCGATGGATCAGGCCAGAGGGCGGGTGGGACCGAACGACTGGTGGCAACTCGACGGAGTTCAAGGGATAAATAAATTAAGTAGGTAAAAAAAAATAGGGGAAAAAGTGAATTTTGAAAGTCGGAAACGAGTCTTCGACTGAAGCGACTCGTGCATACCAAGTTAACCGGGGATGTTGCCCGTTCCCCCGGTGTCGGCTTCCATACTCCCTTTCAGGACTGACGCAAAAATTGTGATTGTGAAAATTTTCCCTCGGAAGAGAAAGCCATGGGAGATCGCATCTCTCGTCCCCGCGTGGAAACGAAACAATCGAAAACTTTATCGCCAAAACACGGCAGGAAAACCCCGAGAAACGCCACATGCAGAAAGGAGAAAAAGTCGACGGACGGGAGCAAAACGGACTCGTCTCCTCTCCCCCGTTGCAAAACCATCCGGAGTCTCGCTTGTCCCTGTCGAAAAGGAAGAACACGTGTAGTTGCGCTATTTCGCTGCTTCGTTTGAATTAAAATTATTGCTTATAAATGTAATTAGCAAACCTAACTTATAAAACATCATTAATTTAACATTTTCAGATGATTCGTTCTTTTTTATTGCCACTACTTCTCACGGACGATATACAAAAGCCGCAGCTAATAAATCCGCTTATTCGTCCCACGAGATACGAGTGACACGCACAGCATCAACTTCTTTTTCTTCAGTCACTTTCTGGAATGCTGGAATATACACACTACGTTCTTTGAATCGCTTCTCGGCCACATTGTAACCATCAATCCCATTTTAAACATTTTCGAGGAGTCCAACGTTTAGTACTCGTCGATATCTACGACTCTGACATTTTTTTTTTGTTAGGCCTTGAAATAAACCGAATATCGATTAAAGAAAATTTATTATAAAATATCATCCTTGCAATTACGAAATTCAGATTTTAAAAAAAGTGTAAAAATTCAAGATCCCAAGGAAGTTCCTTCACCGACCCGAAGAGGATCGGTGTCTCTTTCCACGCGGTCGACTTTTCACTTTTTCGAACTTCCTGACATCGTAACTTCTGACTGCAATAATACAAATATGATCATTATAAGTGTGTGAATGAAAGCTTTCGTTTCGTACCACTTCCATCTCTGCATCTCGATGTAGCAAAAAGCTAAAAGGTAGATAAGATGAACTATTTGTGGAAAATGGCGGACTTGGACAGCCTTTTTAGAGCTGCTACCGCAGGTTCCAAGGATTTTTTTTTTGCACTCAGCTTTTCCGTAACCTTTAGTGGAAGTATATGGGAGAAAAAGTTTTGTATCTTCTTGTGGCTACGAGATGCGAATTTCCAGCCCAAGGTCAAGTAGGGGCCCTTTACTTATTTAAGCTCGAGTATCTCGGACATGATTGGTGAAAAAAAAAAATTTCTCTAGAATTTGCAATTGTAAAGGGAATAAATTGTGACAACTTTCCGATTCCAAGTAGGTCGACTATCACTTAGGGGTCGACCCCTAAGACGAGTTCACTTCATAGGCAAACCGAGAAAACAAAATGGAAATCGTCCTTCCGGAATGCCAACCTTACGCATCTCGGAAATGACTCAGAAATATTGAATTCGCGGGTCGTGAAGCTTAACCGGCCGCAGATCCCTTCTCGAGACGTCCTTTGGGTCGATGCGCTAAGTGTGAAAGCCATACATCGATCGAGTGAAATCATATTCTCGCCTCTATCGGCGGAGGTGGGAGTTTCACCGTGGATGGAGGAAGCGATGGAAACGGGAAGGCGAGAAGACCGAGCAACTAGACGTAGTCGTTGGCCGTCGGCGCGGGAGACTCGTCGCTGGCAGCCGAGGCAGGAGGGGAAAGGCCAGGATCCTCCGACGATCCTTGCACGTCCCAGGCCTCCGACGGTCCTTGTACGTCCCAGGCCTCCGTCCTGCCCTCTGCCTCTTTCTGGCCTGCCGAAGTGGAAGAGAGGACCGGATGGGGATCGGAGAGGCTTCCAAGGCTCCACGCGCGCAATTCCGTGCAGCCCAGCGAACCGTTCGTGAAAGCGTTTCGCACGGTTCCTGCCACGTAAGGAGTATTCCCTCCGCTAAATTCGACTCGATAGAGACGCTCAACCTTTGTTTCTCTCGAAGGGAACCATGAGAACTTATCTCCAACCTTACGGCTTTGAAGCATAGGGAAGTGAAACTCGTGTCCCTACTTGATGCGGGGAATGGCAGGATAAATTGTGCGGGGTCGCGAGTAAAACTTCCGTTTCCTTTGCATTCTGATCTCACCAACCTTCCAGTATGGAGCATTTAATGAACTTCCCTCAACTTTTAAAACTCGATGAGGCTTGCCAAATACAAGCTGCAGGGTTACTCGACTGTTTCTTAGACGTACATCTACGGGGTGATCTCAAAGTCGCGTAATCTATATAATCACGTTCATCTCAATTTCTGTAAAATTTCGTGATTGGGATTCTGGGAATCACCCTGTTCTCGTGTAAAAATTTTTTAAAATGAGTTGTACGAGTTTGGAGCCATCCTGCACATGATCTACCTTCTTGTCATCGTTCTTTCTCGTTGAATCGACTTGTCTTCAAAATACAGCAGTTTTATCTTTCCATATCCACTCAAATCCGAGGTAATTATTAAAAAAATTTAGCTTCTCAGCAGACCTAGGTAATAAGAAGTAAGGTGGATTCCCAGTGCCTACCGCGAGAACAGCGTTTGCTGGGTGCGTCCGTGTCCGTATCGGTGCCCGAAGGAGAGGACTCAGGATCCCGCATTCTCTTCCTCTTGCCCTAAGGATAAGCCATTCCCATCACACAGGAAAAGTCATCGATGCATGAGTTATTCGAAGTTGAATGATTTTTTTTTTCCCGGGAGGACTTGAAACGTCTCCCGCCTGACTTTGTTTTTCCCGTCGGGGGGGCACAGTGTCATCGCTGCCACTAGTTTTTGCGTGGAATCTTCGCGCAGCTTCCATATCATCAGATCATTGACAATTTTCAGCCTGCTTCATATGGAGATCTCTGATTGAGCGAGAAAGCTTTGGTTGCGGGAGTCTCTTGGATTCTCGCGTCCTCCACGGCGATATTCCTCGGCGACGTGCGAGTGCGAGAGTAGAGAAGGCAAAAAATGGAAAAATGACAGACCTCGCTGGGATGGCCATGCGAGCGGGAGGGAGGGAAGTCAATCGAGTTCGGAGGGAAGTCAATCGAGTTTGGATGGAACTCCGCGGACGCAGTGTCCGTGATGCGCTTCAGGTCCTGGCGGCTGCACCAACCGAGCCTCCAGATGAACTGCATTCGGGGCAAGGAGCGACTTTCAACAGTGAGAAAAATGCGCAGTGTAACAGGGAATCGAATTTTAGAAAGACTGAATTTCAGAGATTCTTTTCTTCTTTGCCACGGGAGGGCCTATTCCTCTCGAAGCACCGTTATTATTCTTTTGTTGGCCGCAGTCATCGTCCGATTGCGATATTCCTCTTACCAACCCTTCTTTCCTTTACACGTCTGTTCGTTGCTGTGCCCAAGTTGAACGAGGGACGAGCGGCTTGAGGTAGAGCTTCTGTTTTATGTGAACTTGAATTTGTGAATCTCGGTTTTGTTCCCTCGTGTTCTTCATTGATTCGTGTGTTTAAGGAATCGTTGCAGCACTGACCGTCCATACAGCATGTCAAGAAAGTAAAAAGGAAAATAATGAAAAGTAACGAAGGAAAACCGAAATGAGATCGAAAAATCAGCAGAAACAGGTCTAAGCAAGAAGTGAACGCGACGCGAAAGAACAAAAGGATGCGAAGCAGAGAGAGAAGTGCCTCGACGCGAATCGGCAAGCGAGAGGTGCAGAATCCAGGGCAGGGGACTATACGTCTCATAAAACTCGAGGGGGAAACAATTCTTCCCCCCCCCCCCCCCTTCCCTGACTGGGATCAAGGTTGAGGACTCCATCGCAACTAAGTAGGAACTCCTGATTCGACCCCAAATAGAGATGAGGTCCCTGCTAAATGTACGAGTGTGTGCCTAAGCCACAGGGAGGAAAGGAGAAAGGATGATGGAACCAGACCTCAGGCATAAATCGGATGAGTCGCTGAACGTCGACGAAGAGTCGCTCGTTCCTCTCGCCGAGACAGGCCCGGACGGAAGAATGCACGAACTCGCGGATCTTCTCGTTCCGGACGCGGAGTTGAGTCGCGTCGTTCATCTCCGCCAGGATTCTCTTACTCCTCTCCATCTCGCCACCGTCCGACCCCGTCTCCTCGCACAGCGCCTCGTGCTTTTATTTGGGGGGGGGGGGGGGGGGGGGGGGGGGGCACATGCAGGGACCTCATCTCTATTTGGGGTCGAATCAGGAGTTCCTACTTAGTTGCGATGGAGTCCTCAACCTTGATCCCAGTCAGGGAAGGGGGGGGGGGGAGGTTCAATACGACCGAACGTTAGAATGGAGGTCTCGCTTATCTTTTGCAGGTCACAGACGTCCCTGAAGCTTCTTCTTCTGGTTCTCAATTTAGTCGACTATTTCCCGAGAAGTCTAGATCTTAATTAGCGGAACGAGAACGGAAGGAATGCCTCACAAGGTCCATCATGAGGTTCATGCGTGCCAAGTTCTCGTACGCACATTCCGGATTCATCCTGAGGAAGGGAAAAAAACAAGCGTTCGTTCGCGTCGCCTTTGACTTTTCTCATTTTCGCTCTCTTTCGCTTCGGCAGACCTGATTTGGGTGGAGATTTCCTGGATTTTGTGGGCTTCCATCCGGGTGAGGAGCCGAATGAGGGCGAGGTGCCGTTCGTTCGTGGCATTCAAGCGCCTTTCTCGTTCTTCCGTTTTCTCCCTCAATGCCTAGAGGAGGCGGGAAAATGGCTGGAAACGAAAGATCGACGACAGGATCCGAGGTAACTTGATCCTCGAGAAAAGAAAAAAGGCAGATTTAGCGCCTGGATCATTATGAGGTGCGGTGGTAAATTCGTGGAGCTGATGGGCGCTTTCTCTTGGAGGCTTCCATCCTCATTACTCACGTTCACGCTCACGCATGGAATTCATAATTAGTCATTACGGGGGCGCAAATGAACGTTTGACTGCAAATGAAGTGAATTATAATACTAACTAGATAATTATATAGAACTGAGCATGATATATTCTTTTCACTATTAACGAGCTACAAACTACAGTTTGTTTTAAATGCTTTCTACTTCCTTTTTCATTGAAGAAAGTAGGAAGTTGCCAGATCAATCTAATCTGGATCTTAATTTTCCAAGGGAAACTTGGGTTCCAGTGAAGCGGCCAGAAGCCGCTCGAAAGCCAAGACAGGTGAAAGACGGGTGAGCCAAGTGAAAGGAGTCGATCATGACTGCTCCCGAGTTGTCTACGGGGTTGGGGTTGGGGTTGGGGTTGCCTATCGTCTTGGTCTGTGCATGGAGAATCTGGGAGACGTCTTGCATGTTTGGACGTTCCTTGGCCTCGCTCGAATGGGTCTTCCGTAGATTCTAGGTCGACTCGGTTCAAAGTGTGCGCAAGTAGTGTGCGCAGTCTCACCTGGGTCTCCTGGTTGTGTCGAGCTTTCATTTCTTCCAACTTCTGTTCCACCCTCTGAAAGAGACCGAGAAGAGTCGGGACTCGATGAGATGAAAACTACCAAACTCGCGAAAGGGGGAGGGAACATCCGGGGAAACGCACCCGATCGACGGCCAAGAACGACTGCCGAGCTCTTTCGTCGTGCTCGGCGATCTTCCTCCGCAGCTCGTCCCGTTCCTCTCCGAGCGCCTCCAGCTGCTGCTGCCGGAGGCGATTGTCCCTTCGGAGCGAGGGGAGGCTCGCGGCGCGCTCCTTCAACTCGGCGATCGCCTGCCGCTTGAGCGCCGTCTGGTCGCGGAGGTCCCGGCGGGTCCGATGAGTCGACTGGAGGGCCGAGGTCAGAGCTGCCTTCTCCTCTCGCGCCGCGGTCAGCTGGTTCTCCAGTGACTTCATCACACCCTGTGTCATGGTGCCGTTTCAGTCGTTGTATCGTTTGTAAGAAATTCCTGCTCAGTATCTCTCATATTAGGATTTACTCAGACACCATTTTTTTGCGAATTTCGAGCTGACCTCCATTTCGGCGAGGGGATCGAAAACATCCTGGATCTTCCGAACGGCGGACTCCACGGTCCCCGTCGTTTCCGCCATCTGAGCTTCGGCCCTCTGGATCTGTTCCCTGTACCGCAGAATGTGGATCTGCCAGAATTCCCTCTGCCGCTCGAGGTCCTCGATGAGGGTCTGGAGCGGACGGAATCGGGCGGGGAGTCGTGCCGTTTGCGTGTCTGCGGGGACGCGGAAGAGGGCACTCGATCCGTCGCGGTCCCAAGAGTCGATTTCTTCGGTCGTCGCGTTTTGTGCGTTTCCGTTCGGATGATCGGAATCGGATTCCCTTTTCTCGGTCGGGTCCCCACGCCTAGAACACGATGGAAACGGTCGACGAGACGTGCCATCGTGTATGTGGGAATGGGGGAAGGAAGAGAGACAGACCATCCGAAGAGGCGGAGCAGACCATCCATGCGATCGGCGAGATGAGGTTACGAGAATTTGATCGAGACGACACGGCGTAAGCTGAAGAGCGAAGGCGGGGCCGAAGAATCCAAAGCAATAATCACGCATTTGTTGCTGCCATGGATGGGTCTTACCGCTCCAAGCCCTTCCACGAAACTTCAATTCCATTTTTTCAGTCATTCACGTTTTATTTCCTCTTTAAGCCTGTGATATTATGGCATGAAGAGTAATGATCAGTAATGATTTATCGCAGTTTCCTTAAAAGAATATAATAATAAACTTGGAAGCAGGAAGCGTTGGAAGAATTGTGCGGGAAGAAAATAATAGGATCCTGGAACGGAGTGTCCCGCTACCGGAGCTACCCTCTTGTGCCTGAGCTGCCTTCGGTTCCGGGTCACCTCTTCGAAAGACGGCGTCTTCGACTGGGCGCTTCTTTGAAAGGCTTTCACCGAAACGTCCAGTCGAAGAAGCCGTCTTTCGAAGTGACCTGGAACCCTTACCCTCATTCCAGCGAATGAAGGTAGCCACTTAACAGTCGCAATCAAGGCTTCACGTGAATATCAACTTCCATTTTAACCGCCAGCTTGGGAAAAAAAAAAGCTTTTCCAAAACGACACATTCCAGTTGGAGCATGGTACACAAGGCAAGACCTAGGATGGCTCCATATTATTTATTCGAGGTGGGGGGGGGGGGGGGGGGAGAGACT